TTCGCATTTTTGATAAGGGGTACCATCATCAAAATTTTCAAAAAATGGCCAGAAATGAAGTTTTCCAGATTTGAATGCTAATCAATTGGGAATCATGGCAATCAAGTTACGAGCCCTACGAGGTATTACATTCCTCATTTGGGCCATTTTTGGCTATGCTATGGCCTAAAAACTGTTTTTTTTGAGCCCAAAATCAAGTATACGTCTTTTGGCGGCAGAGAGCACAGTTTTGTTGCCGTTTCTTAGCTCTAACTTTGTCAAAACAAACTGCACGGCTAAACCAGTGACACTTTTATGCAGCTATCAACCAAAACTTTAAATCCCTATACCTGCTTTTACCATTATGGTTCTGATTCTTTTAGTGCGAGTGCTGATTTATGGCTAAAAATTCAAAAAACCTATTTCTGACAGAAATTTGCAATACTATTTCCGGGTTATTAGCTCTAGCTCGGTCAAAACAAGACGCACAGCCAAAAGGAAGACTGTTCTGTGCTGCTAACGACCAACACTTACCTCCCCTATCCCTCGTTTTTCGATTTTGGGAAAATCAATTTGGGCCCAAATTTCGCATTTTTGATAAGGGGTACCATCATCAAAATTTTCAAAAAATGGCCAGAAATGAAGTTTTCCAGATTTGAATGCTAATCAATTGGGAATCATGGCAATCAAGTTACGAGCCCTACGAGGTATTACATTCCTCATTTGGGCCATTTTTGGCTATGCTATGGCCTAAAAACTGTTTTTTTTGTGCCCAAAATCAAGTATACGTCTTTTGGCAGCAGAGAGCACAGTTTTGTTGCCGTTTCTTAGCTCTAACTTTGTCAAAACAAACCGCACGGATAAACCAGTGACCGTTTTATGCAGCTAACAACCAGAACTTTAAACCCCTGTACTTACTTTTACCATTATGGTTTTGATTCTTTTGGTGCAAGTGCTGATTTATGGCTAAAAAATCAAAAAACCTATTTCTGACAGAAGAGATCCCGATTTTGTTGCCGTTTCTTAGCTCTAACTTTGTCAAAACAAGCCGCACAGCTAAACCAGTGACAGTTTTATGCAGCTAACAACAAGAACTTTAAACCCCTATACCTACTTTTGCCATTATGGTTCTGATTCTTTTAGTGCGAGTGCTGATTTATGGCTAAAAATTCAAAAAACCTATTTCTGACAGAAATTTGCAATATTATATCCGGGTTTTTAGCTCTAGCTCGGTCAAAACAAGACGCACAGCCAAAAGAAAGACTGTTTTGTGCTGCTAACGACCAACACTTACCTCCCCTATCCCTCGTTTTTCGATTTTGGGAAAATCAATTTGGGCCCAAATTTCATCAAAATTTTCAAAAAATGGCCAGAAATGAAGTTTTCCAGATTTGAATGCTAATCAATTGGGAATCATGGCAATCAAGTTACGAGCCCTACGAGGTATTACTTTCCTCATTTGGACCATTTTTGGCTATGCTATGGCCTAAAAACTGTTTTTTTTGAGCCCAAAATCAAGTATACGTCTTTTGGCGGCAGAGAGCACAGTTTTGTTGCCGTTTCTTAGCTCTAACTTTGTCAAAACAAGCCGCACAGCTAAACCATTGAAAGTTTTATGCAGCTTACTACAAAAACTTCAAACCCCTATACCTACTTTTACTATTACGGTTCTGATTCTTTTGGTGCGAGTGCTGATTTATGGCTAAAAAATTAAAAAACCTATTTCTGACAGTAGAGATCCCGATTTTGTTGCCGTTTCTTAGCTCTAACTTTGTCAAAACAAGCCGCACGGCTAAACCAGTGACAGTTTTATGCAGCTAACAACAAGAACTTTAAACCCCTATACCTACTTTTGCCATTATGGTTCTTATTCTTTTGGTGCGAGTGCTGATTTATGGCTAAAAAATCAAAAAAACTATTTCTGACAGAAGAAATCACGATTTTGTTGCAGTTTCTTAGCTCTAACTTTGTCAAAACAAGCCGCAGTGACAGTTTTATGCAGCTAACAACAAGAACTTTAAACCCCTATACCTACTTTTGCCATTATGGTTCTGATTCTTTTAGTGCGAGTGCTGATTTATGGCTAAAAATTCAAAAAACCTATTTCTGACAGAAATTTGCAATATTATCTCCGGGTTTTTAGCTCTAGCTCGGTCAAAACAAGACGCACAGCCAAAGAATGACTGTTTTGTGCTGCTAACGACCAACACTTACCTCCCCTATCCCTCGTTTTTCGATTTTGGGAAAATCAATTTGGGCCCAAATTTCGCATTTTTGATAAGGGGTACCATCATCAAAATTTTCAAAAAATGGCCAGAAATGAAGTTTTCCAGATTTGAATGCTAATCAATTGGTAATCATGGCAATCAAGTTACGAGCCCTACGAGGTATTACATTCCTCATTTGGGCCATTTTTGGCTATGCTATGGCCTAAAAACTGTTTTTTTTGTGCCCAAAATCAAGTATACGTCTTTTGGCGGCAGAGAGCACAGTTTTGTTGCCGTTTCTTAGCTCTAACTTTGTCAAAACAAGCCGCACGGATAAACCAGTGACCGTTTTATGCAGCTAACAACCAGAACTTTAATCCCCTGTACCTACTTTTACCATTATGGTTTTGATTCTTTTGGTGCAAGTGCTGATTTATGGCTAAAAAATCAAAAAACCTATTTCTGACAGAAATTTGCAATACTATTTCCGGGTTATTAGCTCTAGCTCGGTCAAAACAAGACGCACAGCCAAAAGGAAGACTGTTCTGTGCTGCTAACGACCAACACTTACCTCCCCTATCCCTCGTTTTTCGATTTTGGGAAAATCTATTTGGGCCCAAATTTCGCATTTTTGATAAGGGGTACCATCATCAAAATTTTCAAAAAATGGCCAGAAATGAAGTTTTCCAGATTTGAATGCTAATCAATTGGTAATCATGGCAATCAAGTTACGAGCCCTACGAGGTATTACATTCCTCATTTGGGCCATTTTTGGCTATGCTATGGCCTAAAAACTGTTTTTTTTGTGCCCAAAATCAAGTATACGTCTTTTGGCGGCAGAGAGCACAGTTTTGTTGCCGTTTCTTAGCTCTAACTTTGTCAAAACAAGCCGCACGGATAAACCAGTGACCGTTTTATGCAGCTAACAACCAGAACTTTAAACCCCTGTACCTACTTTTACCATTATGGTTTTGATTCTTTTGGTGCAAGTGCTGATTTATGGCTAAAAAATCAAAAAACCTATTTCTGACAGAAGAGATCCCGATTTTGTTGCCGTTTCTTAGCTCTAACTTTGTCAAAACAAGCCGCACAGCTAAACCAGTGACAGTTTTATGCAGCTAACAACCAAAACTTTAAACCCCTATACCTACTTTTACCATTATGTTTCTGATTCTTTTGGTGCGAGAGCTGATTTATGGCTTAAAAATCAAAAAACCTATTTCTGACAGAAGAAATCCCGATTTTGTTGCCGTTTCTTAGCTCTAACTTTCTAACTTTCTAATCAATTGGGAATCATGGCAATCAAGTTACGAGCTCTACGAGGTATTACATTCCTCATTTGGACCATTTTTGGCTGTGCTATGGCCTAAAAACTGTCAATCAAGTTACGAGCCCTACGAGGTATTACATTCCTCATTTGGACCATTTTTGGCTTAATTATGAAGTAAATCTTTTTTTTGTCATTCAAGTTTATTATTCGATTGTTAAATATATATCTGGATCAGATAAGACTGCAATATATTTTTTAAATTCAGAGTAAAAATGCCAGGCATGTACAGTATATGTCTCTGTGTATTCCTAATTCAATTATTATTCAAATCATATAACTTCATCTTTCACGACACGCGCTGACTGCGGTGTCGCTAGCATCCCTGGCAGCATGTAATATATGTAATAATCATATTACGTATATGACCGCAGGACCGCGCGCAAATAAAACTGCATGGCAAATGACAAATTTCTGGAGTGTGGGCCAAATCCAATTTCCCGCCGAGCGAATGAAAATTGCCAGCTTTATTCCTTTATTAAATGCCATTTCTTTCCGACGCTTTGTCTCCGGCTTATCCTTCATTTGTCATGCATTTATTTTCCTTTGCATATTAATATTGTTAAAAGCGAGCCGCCCGTTGCGCTCCACAAAATTAGCCCGCCATTCATTGCCACATTCCGCTCATGCCATCTTGCGTGTGTGCGTGTGTCTGGATGGGCAGCACATGTTGGTTGTTGTGCGGGTGGCTCAGATCCGAAGGTTGGCGGCGGAGGCCATATCAATTTACCCACCGGAAGGCACGCAGCAGCAACATCAGTAGCAACAAAAGAATGCGACCCGATTCAGTTTGATTCGCTCCGTCTCAACGGGAGTTCAAAAATCGTAAACATATCCCACTGTGGGTGTGGATTTCATACAGGAAAGATTACATCAACGTAGTGACTCTTGTAAAATAAGCAATCAAAATGTTAAAATATTAAAAGCAATAAAAGTTCTTAAATCTTAACTTAAACTATGAAACATATTGATATTATTATATATAAATTATTTCGAACTTTACAAAAACTGAATAGAAAGTTATTAATATTAAAGAAATATATTTTTATCATTTTTGAATTGAATATCATATTTATTTAATTTTAATTTACCAAACACTTTTCATTGTAATTGTATTATATGAGTACGCCTGTCTGTTTGTATAAACTTATTAATGCGTATTCATTGTCACATCCGGCGTGAGGAAATTATATTCCTCAGTGGACAGCCGATCCTGCTGCCCCCTTACCACCCTTTTTCCACCAACTTTACCACCGCTTTTTTCAACACCCTCTCCCATAATCTCCCAACTCATTTGGCGGACTCGCCTTGCTTTGCGGAGAACAGACGCTTTTCTTTTGTCGATTTAATTGAAATAATTGCAAAAATGCAAATTGAATGGACAACAGTTGACACAGGATATTAACCATGGACGGCGGCCAGCAACAGGAGACGGTGCTGGAACCGGCGAAAGGACATGCTCCCGCCGCGCAAGGAGCCTTAATGAGCTAACGAATGTACGGCGGATAATTGAGTGGAGACCACATGTGCAGCTGGACAGTGACCAGGTCGGGATCAATGAACTCCCACGTGGATCGCGGATGGAATGTTAAGGATCTAGGTCATAATATCTACAAAAAATATGATGCTAATTCGATAATAAATGATTTCGTATATATAACATTATTAACTGTATTTATATTTATGTGAATAGTTTATTTGAATTTAAATTATTTTTTTAAGTGTCCATGATCTGTTGCATTTAAAACTCAGCTAGAGATTCCAGTTGGCACATCGGGAATCTGTAATGAGTGGCCAACATTTGCCACATTGTGCGGCAGTTGTTCCCGATGCCCGTGGGCGGTGTTCGAAAGAGGGGCGCGGCCGGATGTGGCGGCTGTGCAACGAACTTCGTCCTAAGCCACGTCCTCATCGAATGTTGTCGTTGTCGATGATGGTGATGTCGATGTTGCTGCTGTGTCTGGCCAACTTCCGTTGCAGTACCAATCCCTAAATGTGTGTGCGAGTCCCTTTATCCTGTTAGTGTATATGTACGTGTTGTGTCTTTGTCCTGTATGTGTGCGTTGCTGGGTACGTGTGTGTGTGTGGGTGAGGTCGCAGGTTGCACCATAATTGTGTTGATTAGCTAATTAGATGTAATTTCGCGGCCGGAAATTTGCAGTTGCTGCAGTAGTCGAGCAACCATTTGGAGGACTATTTCTCATCCTACGTCCATGAAATTTTTAAGTGCAAGAGAAGGGCTTGGAAGGGCGTCCATAATCTCGTCATGAATATGTTTGTTTAGCGCAGTGCCATGTCTCGCCTTAAAGGGTTCCGCTCCATCAGATTCAGACTTTGAGACGAGGTTGCACCCAGCACCCTACACCCGCTGTCCTGGCCCTTGGTTGATGCTGACGTAAAAGTCGCGCCATAAAAATTCATTGCCAAAGCAGCCAAAGTATTGCAGCCGCTGTAGATGGGGATGGGTGTGTGGCAGTGGATAAGGCACTGGATGTGGCATTGGCAATTGCCGAGAGTAACCGAGACTGAGCAGCAAAAAGCTGGGTAACGGATCTGAAAGTTGAGCTGAACCTTAAGTCGCGGAATTGGGCGGAACACTCAGCTCGAAATCATTTATTTGGGCTAACATGGCGTATGATTGATGTTAGCTAATGGCAAGATCTGGCACTTTGAAATCTTTTTAGATTAATAATAATAAATTGGATTGGATTAATATACACATTATAACACTTCTTATAATAGTAATTTTTATAAAGAGTTTCTTACATTTATGTTTAAAATAACCAATTTGTCGTATTTTTTTTTTTTAATTAGTATTTTAATTATTTTGATTTTATTACTTTTTAGCCATATAAAGGGGCAGTACGTTTCTTAAAACTCTCTTTGTATTACATAACAAAACGGCTGTGAATGATTCATAAAAACCAAAAATGGGAAACATTTTATAAAGGGAATTGCATAAAGTTTTCCTCCTTTTTGCTTGCTTTTCTCCTAAACAGCGGAGCGTATTAAAGAGGCATCGGGAGTGGGGAGTGTTGTGGAAAATGGTTTGGGCAATGAAGAAAATGGAAATGGGTTTGGTAGATGGTGGATGGGTTGTATCGTTTCAGACGCTGCCTCCGACTGCTTCGAAAACGACATCGCAGGCAATGAGCTTAAGTTCAATACATTTACTTGAATTTTCAGCGAACGACAAGGACGAAGACGATGTCGTTGACTAGTTGGCTTCCAAGGATGAGTCGGAAAATTGAGGGGCGCAGAATTGGGTTTGGGTGGATGGGAGAATCCAGAGAAAACGGGGGAAATCTACGGAAAACTATGGTTTAGATTTTTTGATCATTTTTCTTATGTTAAATATTGGTAAGTTTTAATATAAAACAAAAAATTAAAAAATTAGATGAGATCAAATATATATTAAAAATTCAAATATAATTTAAAAATCCCTTAGAAACTTACCAACCAATACATTGTTTTGGGAGAGAAATATTTATGATTGCCAATTTGTTCAATGCTAACATCAAGTAAATAAAATTTTTCAAGTGTAGAGTGCCGAAGCCGGGCTTCGTTGTGCCCATTACAGACAGTTTTTGTGGCGAGAAATTTCAAAAAGCTCAAATGTGCGAGGCGATAAGCAAAGCAGCAAGAGATTGGCAAGGATGAGGGCTCGGGAAAGAGTCGGGTAAGGGTTCAGGGGGCAATGGCAGCACTTACATGTAACCAGTCGATGGCGACAACGGCAGCCACAAATGTTGCAAGGATTGCCGGCAAGGAGCACACACAAAATTGATGTCTATGTGTGCGGTAAGAGGATGGTTTGGGTATACCCAAAAAGGGGGTGGTGCACTTTCTGGGGGGTTTTTTTGGGTGTCTGAAGGACAACTATTCGTACGGACGTTGTGGCAGATCGGAGGGGGTTGATTTCGCTGGCGCAAGTTTTGGTTTTCAAAATTTATAGCTTTTAGATAAAACGTTTTGCGTTTTTACGATACGAGCAGCGAACACTTTGGCCAACTATCCTAGAAGCCATCCTCACAGCTGGAGGGGTTGTCCTTTGTTGTGGAAAGAGGCGGAACAGAAATGGGAGCGGATCCCGCCGACTCTGTGGATTATGAAGTAATTTAATTAAAACGCCTGGCCCGCAAATAAATCCGGCATTATTTATGCTTTCTTGCTGGAAAAACGTGACATTTCCGAACCGGGTAATCAGTATCATTCTCTCGGTCTGCTCGGTGAAATATATAATTATTAAGAATTTATTTAGGTCACTTTGCGCAATACTTTACAAAGCAGTTCTAATTTTTTAAGCACTACAATTTCAATACATTTTTTTAATTTTAATTTTTAGTTAGTTTTAAATTTTTGTCTTTCTTAATTTGTATCTGAATTAAAATGTTGTTTAACCTCCTTCTAAGTTGAATTTTAGATAGTATTACTTCCAGGGCAAAGATCACCAAAGCTCCTAGATTCGCCCAAAGGATGAGCCAAAAGAGAGCGGCCAGTTCTTGCATGGAGAGCACATTTTGTCGAATGGTAGCCACCAGCTGCTCTTCCACCTCCGGCAGCTTAGGGTCGCCATCGATCCCATCCAGGGTACTATACGAAGTCGAGGCAATCCTGGCCACACTCTCATCAGTCTCATCCACGGCACTCACATATTGACGCGTCCAGTGCTCCAGGAATCCATGGGCATGGGCATGTTGGATCTGTTTGTTGAGCACGCCAACCAAATGGGAATGACGTCTCACATAGAAGGCTAATTGTTGGGTGTAGATGCGTTCCCTCACCAAATGCAATCTCCTGCTCATCGGATGGACTTTCCTAAAGTATCCGAAGTACTCATACGGAGTAAGAATGGCCATCCGGGCAGATGAGCCACTTTGCTGGGCCAAAGCTGGAAAGGATTGCAGCTCACTGCCTTCCAGGTGAACCAATTGTTCTGGCCGCAATTCCGGCAAACTGGCCATAATCCTAGCCTCATTGACCTCCGCTAAAAGTATGGTGTAATGCTGTGCCAGCACTTCGGAAATCGTTTGTGGTGGATTTCTTTGGGTATCCTGCCGCAGCAGCTGGTACATTCCCGACTGATACGCGCTTCTCAGCACTAAAGTAGCAAACAGCCAGGTGAGCAGCACCAATTGCCCGGAAATCTTACGTGGTAAATATCGGTCCTGCAGATTGCCACCCATTGTCAGAACCAACAGCTCGTAATACGAATTTCTTGGCAATTTATGACCACGCAACCAACGAGACACCACCATCAAGAGCAGACATGCCAGGAACAAGACCAAACCAATAGCTCTCCACAAGACCGGGCCAAAGGGAAAGGCCAGCTTCTCGTAGGCGGAATAGGCACTCTGCAGATTGGTCACCAACATGATGTGGCTCATGAAGTAGTAAGTGGACTGGGAGTAGGGAATCTCACTGCCAGCACTTGGTTTGAAATGGAATCCACCCAGGGAAAAATCAGCATGACGGCCAAAAATCTGATAAATTACAAAGATTTTATTACAATTTCTTAAGATTTACTCTTAAACTCACCTCGTCGAAAATTTTACCTGATTCATCAAATGTGGCCAGCACTTCGTCCTTGTTCATCCAATACAGACCGACACTAAAGTTCAAATTGTCTGCCATAAACTGGAGGAGAGCACCCTCGATGCCCACAAAGGATTCGCTGCCATCGCGGCGCCATACCAAATATGGCATATCCTCCCAAGTGGCGCAGGTCAATAGACAGCCATAAAAATTTTTCAACTTGGGTTGGAAATAGTCTTGGCTAACCCACCGTCCGTTAGCCACTTGGTAACGATTCACCACATTAGCCGAGATGACTTGACAGCCATGGTGCGCACTGAATGGAAAGTAACTTACCATAAGAAGCTGACCACCAGGAGGACGCAGTACCACGACCACATTTAGCACACTAAGACGCCACAGAAGTTGAAGAGCCATTTGAATCTCCTCAGAATATGCGTCCGTTGGCAGAGACATGTATATTAGAGTATATGATAAGTCTTGGGTGGCTCGGATAAGTCCGTAAATCGCTGAGAGTGCCGGAAGATCATCTACCAAAACCAAGACAGCATGAACATATGGTTTATACTCCATGGGTTGCTGAAGAAACAGTCTATGTGCTTGCAAAGCAGTAGGTAGAGATCCTAGGACCTGGTCAAGCAGCTCCTCTAAATGCCCACCAGTGGATTGGGAACTTATGTGCGTGTAAATATACAAGGTCTTCAAACGACCCATCTCCGAGTTAACAATAACTTGAGCCAGAGATTCCGCCAAATACTTATCCGATCCGGATGTCATTATTTTGCTCACCAAAGAGCACCAAGAAACCATATATAACAAGAACTTCATGGCAAAAGAGTTACCAGTGAAATGTGGAAATATAAGGACATTCGGCAAGAATTTTCTTATCTCTAGGGAAATTTTCGAAATGGCTCTGTCCAATCGAACTAATCATGTTACAGTACGGCCGAATTCGTTAGGGAATCGTATTGCTTACATAGTAATTATGGAGATTAACCAACCTAACGGACCCTTGTTTTTACATTAATAATATTTAATATTTATTTTATCGGCATTATAATAATAGTCTAATCATCAACATCATCATCATCAAAATTGAAGTAATCGATATCGTTGTCATCTTGGTCTTTTCTATTGCTTATATTTCTGGATTCACTACTCTCCTTGCGCTCCTCAATTTCGCGGTCGTTATCGTCATCCGGTTCTGGTTCTGGCTCTTTCTCTAGGGAATCGTTGTCCTCATCCTCGAATAGACTGCGCTCAGCGGCTCCTAGTTCAAAGACAGGTTCATCCTTCTCATCCTCCACCCTGGACTTAACATTAGGTTTACTAATTTTGCCCAGAACTGGAGGCTGTACCTCAACCCGGGTTAGATTCGTATGGTGATTCAGCATGCCCTTGTAGAGATGTGGGAACCTACGTTGAAAATCCATTTTGATACGAAGAAGTCTTTCCAACATTCCGGGTGTCAGAATACCATGCTGCGACTCTTGACCCATGATGTGCGTATCCCTCCGATGACGACCATCCTTCAAATAGGCATCATAGCTGCCACCGCCCGTGTAGAGAGCGTAATGCGGATCGTATGCCTTTCGATTCCAGGGATCATCGGGTCTGGCCACAGGCAATAGACCCATGAATGGATGCAACAATCCCTCGTCGTAGGTGAAAATGGAACCCACTTGGGGGTCAGATGATGGTGCGTTAACTATTTCGATATCAGATGGTGCTGGTGATGGACTGACGATATGGGCGAAGGATATGCAAATGAAAAATGGACATGAAATGGTTTTCAATGATTAGTGAATATGCATTATACATTATCTAGAATATGAATATTAGAGTTAGTTAGGATTTTTTGATTAGTTTAATGGATTGAGATCTTGTGCTCCAGGTTGGATGGGGTTCTAATGGTGGTAGCAATGGGCTTGTGTTGCCTTCGACGCAACCTTTTACGCTTGATGACTTTGATGGGTTTAATGGACTTGGGGATTTTCGAAAGATTATTGCTCTGGGCTCTCAGAAGACTGGACTTTTTCTCCTTTTGAATTTGCAGGCGTAATAGATCCTTGAGCACATCAACCAAACTATCTAATTTAGTGCTGCTCACGCTGGCCTGTGTGGTGACCTGCTTACTGATCGTTTTGACCCCGGGCATTGACTTTTTGTTTCGCTGGGGCATTTTAACTTGTCGCGTGGACCGCACCCAACCGGCGTCACTTTCCTTCCTGATCCTAGGACTGGGTGTTCTTCTCGCCCTGCTTCTTCTACTTATAAACTTTCCCCTCATGGCATAAGGAGTGGGTGTGGTGGCGGGATCACTTGAATCACTTCCACTATCATTTAAGGCCGCATTAAGTAGCTGGGCCTGTTGTTTCACACTTAGGGCCCTTTTCGTCTTGCCCTCCGTATCGGAACTGGGCTCATCCGCATGGAACTCCGGATAGGGGGAGTACTCCTGGCTTCCGTTATCATAGTTGCACGTCGTTGGAATCTCAATATTTTGACCCTCGGAAATCTGACGATCATGGCTTTTAGTTAGATAATCCGTATTATAGCCACGATTGGCCAAAATGCGTTGCCAATTTGTATCGTCTTCGTAGTCCAGTTTATTGGATGGACCATGTTGCTCATCGACTTTAGATTTAAGTTCAGAATTTGGTGAGCAACCACTAATTGGTGGTGGAGTCTCTGTGGTCGTGGTAGAGGTACTGGTGCTTTCATCGTCCTCTTCCTGTTCTTCCTCCTGTTCTACTGTGGTTTGCTCCTCTGCAGTCTTTGTTTCCTTCACCTTGGGTTGATTCTCCTGTTTGGATGGCTCCTCCACCTTGGGTGGTTCTTTTTCAGTGACTGCATCTTCTTTAACAATATTGTTTGAAATAATCGAGTTACATCTTAGGTGCAGCTTAATGATTTCATATTTAAGCTCATCTACAATATTGTGCAGCTGATGGATCTCCGCCTCCTGCTTGGAAATCGACTTCGTTACGTGGGAGCTTTCAGCCTCCGAGTCTTGCTGCATCTCGAAATCCTCATGTTTTGGATTTTCTGTAGTTGTGTCAGTCGTTCCGGTTACTGGCTTGGCTGGCTGCTCTGAAGTGGCGTCACTGCCTCTTGGAATCGTGGCTTCTGTGCTTGTGCTTATGCTTGGCGCTGCTGTGGAAGTGGTTAAGCGCACAAAGTCCTGATGATTGTACTGTTGCTGTGTGTTGGGATCATTTTGCAGTTGCTCTTCTTCAATGGGCTCCTGTTGCCCACCCTCTTCATATTGATCACCACCAATTTCGAGCGGTTCCATACTGGCCCTCTCGAGAGCTTCGCGAATAGAGGCTGCATTATAGCGCATCAGTGCCTCGGCGGGATCTTCATCCGGACTCAAGGTTATCTCTTTCAACCCCAATTTGTATTCTCGGCGAAGTTCATTGAGAGAACCCTCATCTATGGTCTCCAGGGTTCCATACTCAACACTTCGCTTACTCCGACGATTTGTTTTACACTGGCAGGTTCCCGAACCTCTGTGCTTGGCTACACCCGATCCTGATTTTCCGCACTGACAACTCCTACCACACAGACAATCCAACCTTCCACATCCGCAACCCTTGGATGTAGTATTCTCATCTCTTGTCCCATGCGCAGACCTATGGAAAATTGCTAACCTTTTATGGACTCGATGCTGTTGCAGTTGCTCTTGTGGAGCTGGTGTTGTCGTCTTTGGAAGATTAGAGCTGCTCTGCTGCCTCTCCGATCCACCGACGTGGCCTGGTTGTTTGGGATTTATTGTCTGAAATGCGTCGCCTGTTTAATGCCATGAGAAAAAGGCGAATGAATCGTATGAAATGGATCAAATGGAGGGAGGCAACAGTTTACGTGTTCCATGTGTGTGTGTGAGGTGGTGCTCAATGTGGTGTTTCAGTGGTTCTTGGTGGTTCGATTGGTTCTACATAAAACTTAACTTACCCTTGCCATCGTTTGATGTTGGCGCAGCATTTCATCTACCTCATCATTTCCCACGGCTGCCCGATAGCCTTGACTTTGATAGGAATTTACGGGATTTGCTACACCATAGGCATTCGATCCATAGCCACCGCCGCCATATGTAGTTCCATAACTACTTCCGTAACTTTGGGCCGCCGGACGCTGAGGTGCTGAATAGTAATAGTTGATCACCGTGGGTGTTGCCGACTTGGACTTGGACTTCTTGCGCTTGTTACCGCCAACGCCCAAAGGATCGACTGTGGAAAAGACAGATGGCACTGAGTCAGGATTGCGTAAGACTCCAAAGAGATTACCTTTGTGCCTGGCATTTCCTTCGTTTTCCGGCATCTGGGGACCCGCTTCGCCCACCATTTCATCTTGTGAATCACCAGCTCGTTGTTCTTGCATCATAGGTAACTGCTGATTCGTCTCAGCAGCCCATTGACGGTTCTCTGATTCGCGTGGCTGTTGCTGCATTTGTCGTTCCTGCATCATCATGGGAGGCTGCTGAATCATTACAGGCATTTCTTGCGGGATGGACTGTGGATTTTCTTGTGCCCATTGGCGCAGCTTCATCATAGTAGGATCTTGTGGCGTTATTTGCTGGTTCTCCATCATCTGTCTTTGCTGTTGGATATTGGCAAGATCCTCTGCCCACTGTCTGTTTTGCATTTGTTGAACAGTTTGTGGCTCCTCAGACCATTTTCTTTGCTGCATCATTTGTGGATTCTCCGCCATCTGAATCTGCTGCTGCATTATCGGATTCAGTTGGGGCATTTGTTGCTGTTGTTGGATCATCTGATTTTCTGCCCACTGCCGTTGCTGCATCTGTTGAACCATTTGTGGATCCTCGATCCATTGTCTTTGTTGCATCTGCTGCATCATAATGGGATTCTGTTGGGCCATTTGTGTGCGCTGCATCATTTGGATCGCTTGTGGATCCGGCATCATTTGCCTCTGTTGCATAATCATGGGATTTTGTTGGGCCATCTGTTGCTCATGCTGGATCTTAGCCTGATCATCTGTCCACTGTCTTTGTTGCATCGTTTGGATAATTTGTGGATTCTGTGACATTTGCCTCTCCTGTTGAATGATGGGATTCTGATGGATCTGTTGTTGATTTTGCTGGATCGGGGCTTGATTCTCAGACCGCTCTTTCTCGCCTTGTCCGGTTATTTTCTGACTCTCCTCGTTGGCCAAACGACAGGCATGAGACATAAGCTTAACAACGTCCTGCGTGGGATTCTGCTGTTCAATTTCTGACCTCTGTTTCACGCCTTGTCCGGCTGTCTTCTCGTTGATCATGCGACAGGCATAAGCCATAATCTGGACGATGTCTTCCTTTGACATAGTCTGTTCCTGGGCCTTAGCCTGACGTTTCAAGCCATTTATCTTCTGGCTATTGATACCAGTAGTTCTGGCCTTACGTTGCGCCTCCTTGTTAACCAATCGCCGGACATAATCATCACGAAGGGCTTGCTGGATGTCAGCCCGTGTGATCTTGTGCACGGGTGTTCGGCTCAGTGGATAACTGATCGTGTAAGGAGAAGCACCATTTTGCGCGGCAGCACTGGACCTCATCTGTTTGGCCATCAATTCAATCTTCTGAAGCATTTTTAGTTCGGCTATCACTTGACGCTCAAAGGCCTGTAGCTTGGCTTCCACGCGAAGATCCTCCAGTGTCTTATCCTCCGTCAAATACTGGCCGTGAGTGGTGGGTATCCGGAACCAGAGAAGCGGCACTTGCTCTAGGTCTTTGTCCTGTTCTCGCTGATTTTCTTGCTCTTTTTCCAGGGCCGACTTGATTTTCATCTGGGCCATCTGAGCTTCTTGCGAGTAGGGCATCTCCGGACGAACTCTCACCTCGGAAATGTCTGATGCTTGAGCACTCAAGCCAGCTGGAGCTGGCTGTTGTTGAAGCGCAGGGAAGAATTGCCTTTGCATTTGTCCCAGGATATCAAAATTGGGTGGAGGAATCGTAGGTAAAGCCTGGCCTAGTAGAGTGGAGGGATCAAGGTTAGCAGGAGTCAAGAAGGGGAAGGGTGGAAGTGGCATTTGTGATAATTGTTGAGGTGCCGGAGCTGCTACTGGAATATCTGCATCTGTAACCGGTGGCGGAGGTACAGGAGCGGCAGCAGGTGGTGGAACTGGAGCAGGCGCACCCAGAAGGCCAGGCATTTGCGAGAACGGAGCCAAAAATGAACCTACTTGCGGTCCCAGGTCAACGGTGGGAATTTGGAAGTCCGTGGGCAGAGCAGGCCAGTTCATTAGCTGACTTAGAGGATTGGGCGCGGAATTCTGGCGGGTAACTCGGGTCTTGGCCGTGGCATCATCGGCCAGAACGAGCACCACCTTAGAGGCCGCTGCCGAAGGCTGCAGATTATCGGGAATAGCGCCTAAGATCGAGTAGGCCGGAAAGAGGCTGCCCCATCGGAGAAGGCTACCCAAAGCTGGGAACATCATGTAGAAAGCGTCCATCTGGGGATTGCCAGTGCGAATGGGAGTAATGGAAGGCATTTGGCCAAGGATCTGGACGGTGATTAAAGGAAAGTATTGTAATTTTTTTTTACACTTCTAGGGAATCTAAACTTCAAACTCACCTCCTCCTGGGTGGGAGCCCTTGGTCTGGTGTCCGTGGTATTGCTTGTTGATTTCTCGGTATCTGTGGCAGGATCGCCAGAGGTAACCGGACTTTGACCGGCAACCTGGACGACAAGAAGTGCCAGGAGCGGCAGCAGGCTGTGCAATCTCATCCTGTTGATTGGGCAAAACTCGAAACACGGAAGATCGATCTGTGTACGCCGGAGCTCTTTCGCCGACTGACTACAGATTGCCGCAAGTCGGTGGCCCAAATAGTTTTTTTGCCACCGCGTCGGCGGTACAAAAGTGCAGACGTCGTCGAAATCGTGACCCGGACCCGGGTCCATCACACGCACTAGAGAACGGGCTATGTTTCCGTGTGTGTGCTCCCAATCGCAAAACCAGACCGCAGCAGCCGACGCAGCTGCAAGTGCTGCAAAAACCTTGCCCAACTATTCCGCTCGACAGCTTTTTCCACGAAATCAGCGCAAATGATGCACACTAAACAGAACGAAAAATAGTCAGGTCTGGAATCACACGGAAGGCGCCACAAAATGAAGTAATTTTGTGATAGTAAGATATATTTTTACTTTACTATAGATTTTCTTAAAGTTTTTCGTAATAGAAATCGACCTATTGCTTTAGATTAAGAAGTAAACTTTTATCTTAACTAATTAAATATAAAATTATATATTTTAAATATTTGTATATTATTAGATTAAGTATACAGACAACTGCTGTTAAAATAATAATTAAAAATTGTATAAATACAAATTATTTTTAACAAAATCCGCCCCTGCTTTTTGTTGGGGGCCGTGGTGGGGCTGCCCTTCAAGTGTCGATCCATGAAATTCTTGCGATCGTCTTATCGTTTGTGTGTCACCAGAACTCCAAAAATTACCGACAGCACCACAACCACCATCACCAACACCACCACCACCACCACCATGGTTTGCTGAGGTCAGCGGTGGTGCAGCTTGTAGCGACACGAAAAACAAAAGTTTCTGTCATCGCAGCGGGTGGTTTTGCCGAGTTCAGCGAAAAGTGCGAAAAGAAAGAGCCAGTCCATTTCTTCAACGCAGTACAACAACCTTTGGTTGGGTCAGATTCAGACACAGTTTTATATTAACCAAATTTTGAACATTCTCAAAATTACTCATAGCTCTTGCTAACTACATTTAATCACGATTTTTACATTTAAGGTGCGTAAGCTGTCCGAATAAGAATTCATTGAATAAAAACGCAAATACTATTTAAAAATATAAAAGATCGAATATTAATTATCTTTCTAATATAATGTTTGTTTTACTTTTATTTTGTTGTCGTCAATCTCTTTGAAAATAAATTTCTGACTTGGCAAATAAACGCAATGCTAAGGTGTAAACAAATTGGTTTAGATGTTATTGATAACTTGAAAATAACTACAAAGTAGGTAACTTGCCCTTTTTGTATTTACACAAAATGGGAAAACAATAAACAGCGGATGCGCATATAGAATTTAAATAATATTATATACATTTAATGTTAATTTATTGTGCATTTGCATTTACAGATCCCGCTGATATAGCTTTCAGCACGCAATGTCACCTGCCAGTTAAGTGATTCCTGTAAGTAACGAGCTGGAACACTGCAAAAATAACCATACTGTATGACATATATATATATATATATATTATTTGTTCCATACTTGGAAAATATTTTGTAAAATTACTATGAAGTTTACTGTAAGACAAATTTTATAAGCAACTTTTATGACAAATGATCTATATTAAAATATTAAATATTTATAGCAAAACTTTTGCAACATTTTCACCAATTCATATTTCCAGTGTAACAACTCATAATGCAATGATAATGGTTGGCAAATTGCAGGACCTTAGTTGGCTAATAGCCACTGGTGGATCAGGATGTTACCCAGCAGTGTCCACAATGTGAGCCTGGTTTATGCCCTGGTCTGGGCCATTGATAACTATTATGGTACGTCCACCAGCACTCCACTGACGATAGTGCAGTTCGCCACCAGTCGCGAGAGTCGAGCACACCACAATGACCTGATCGATGCCACTCTGGTAAGATCCTCAGGTACGGGAAGAATTCAATTTCTGCTGGAGAATGATCGCGTGGAGATGGTAAATCCCAATACTGAATTACCACCTCCAAGTGGTTTGACTGGCAGACCAACGGCCATTTGGTTTCTCGACAGCCTGCGATCCTACTTCCGACTGGAAATGTACCTAAATCAGTATGGTAGCCCATATAAGCGAAATGGATACTTTGTGGTGGTCTATACCGGGCTGGAGGATCAGCCTATGGAATCCGTGAAGATCATGTTTCGGCGATTGTTAAATATGTATGTGGTGAATGTAAATGTGTTCCTGCAAAGAGAGGGAACGGTCCAGTTGTACACCTATTACCCTTACGGTCCTCATCGCTGTCAGTCGTCGATGCCTGTTTACTATACCGCCTTTCAGGATTTACCAGCACCGGCGACCGGATATGGTCTCACCAAGCCACTATTTCCCAGCAAACTAGCAAACATGCATGGCTGTCAACTGGTGGTTGTTACCTTTGAGCACCGGCCATATGTGATCATTGACGATGATCCCAGTACTCCAGGGGGTAGGTTATTGCGTGGAATTGAGGGTATGATATTTCGAGCCCTGGCTGAGCGACTGAACTTCACTATTAAAATGGTTGAGCGGCAAGATAGGGACCGTGGCGAAATTTTACCCGATGGAAATTTTACCGGCATTCTGAAAATGGTATGAAAAGTATATTTAAAGTGTAAAAATGGTATATGTATGATTTACGTATACGTAATTTGTATTAAGTATACGTAATCCTTTGCAGATGGTCGATGGCGAGGCAAACATGACATTTGTGTGCTTCATGTACAGCAAAGCACGTTCGGACCTGATGCTGCCCAGTGTTTCCTATACCAGTTTTCCGATCGTCCTTATAATCCCGAGCGGTGGATCTATGACACCCATGCAACGATTAACCCGACCCTTCCGTTACATCATATGGTCCTGCATTTTGGTTAGCGTGCTCCTCGGGTTCCTGCTGATTGGCTTTCTCAGGATTGTTGCTGTGCCGGGATTGAGAAATCTAGTGCTGGGCAGGCAGAACAGTCGCCCGTGTTTGGGCATGTGGGGTAGTCTGCTGGGCGGTCTGGCGCTGTATAATCCGCAAAGGAATTTTGCCAGATTTCTCCTGCTGATGTGGCTTCTGCAAACACTAATTCTTCGAGCAGCATACACGGGTCAATTATATCTCCTTCTGCAGGATGTGGAGGTAAGATCTCCACTCAAGACACTCGCCGAGGTACTGGCCAAGGGCTATGAGTTCCACATGCTGCCCGCACTGCAGACTGTTTTCAGGGACTCGCTGCCCAGCACCCGTGTTCAAGTGGTGAACAATCAAGAGGCATCACTGTATCGCCTTCGGGACGAGGACGATCCGGGTATAGCGGTGCCACTACTACAGCCAACTGTCTATCAGTTTGACTATCGATCGGGCCCAAATATGAGGCATCTTACCGCCCTGCCCGTGCCCTTAATGACTGCTCCCCTAACCCTCTATATGCGACCGCATTCCTATTTTAAGCGACGCATCGATCGGTTGCTTATGGCCATGATGTCATCGGGCATTATCTACCGATATCGCAGGATGTATTTAGACCGAATCGAACGGCTGGCCAAGAAGCGTAATATGGAGCCAAGACCTCTAACCATTTGGCGGTTGGGTGGGGTCTTCGTCTGCTGTGCAGGATTACAAATGCTGTCTGTCCTGATCTTTATTCTGGAACTTTTTGCCAGAAAGCATCCACGATTACGGATGGCTTTGAATACAATCAATCGATACACTGGTTAAGTATTATAATTAAAGTTTTAACCATAACAATTTAATAAAAGAGATTTGCCCATAAAAAATTTGATAATTAAGGTTGAAACTGGAATATCATACTTTATATTCTTAAACATTATATAATTTGCCTTTCCATAAGCCAGGTTAGTCCTAGCCAGCGCCAGCGTCGTTGACTTAACAACTCCAGGCCAAAAACACCAATGGAAATCCAAAGGGCTGCCATCCAACAATTTAGGGCCGCTAGAACGAAACCCATGGACTCAGCAAATCCTGTCGCTGCACTCTCATGAATTGAGGATTTACTTGGGGCATCCGTAGTGGTCGGCATGCTCTTCCAAGCCAGAATCTGTGAATGGTGCTGAAAAATGCCAAAACTACGCATATTGAAAAGCAAATTATTAATCTCCCAGGCAAAATAGGAGCCAAATGGAAAGTAAATGCACAGCATATTGTCAACGATTGGTTCCGCCAAAATCACGAGCTTATTGCGATGGTTCCTATGTTTCACCAAATGATGAGCCAAAAAGGCGCGACTAGTAAAGGCCCCCGTTTTCGGTGGAGCCTTCAAAAGAGCATCAAAAACATCCACCGGTTGTCCTGCCGAAATCGAAGTTCTATTCGTAAAAGCCGGTATTTTCAAGGTCATCCGGAAGGTGGCATGATCGGTGATAAAATGATAGCCACTATGCAAGGTTTGCTCCAAGGTGCGTGGTGATGGCTTCACCGGTGAGTTGTGTATAAAGTTAAAAATGGAGGCCTCATAGCTGGCTCGTATAACAAAGATCCAGAGCATCCAACCAGCCAAGACGGGAGATGGCATTCGCCACCATCTCCCTAGAATCCAATAAAGGCAAAGGATTACACCGAGAAGCAACCAGGTATATATTTCAAAGGGAAACATCATTACCTCATAGATACTATATCCACCTTTGGCTCGCATCACAATTATGTACGACATCTGGCTGTAAGGACTTGTGGCAGACAAATAAGTAGATCTTTCTGGTGTACAGGCAGCACATCCAATAGTCATATTTGCCTTTCTCTCCCGCAGCATTTTATAGGCACCCGTGAGAGTGCCATTTACAAAACTGGAACCACCTAGAAGTCCATTCGGTTCATTTGGTATCAATTTCAGTGTAAAGTTCATCTTTGTTGCTACAATCCGGAGAAGCCTTCCGTCCAAACCTTCTAACATGGTCATTGGATCACTCCTCTTCCAATATATCTTCATATACGGCGGTATATCCCAAACGATCACACTCAATGGACAGCCATGTAGATTCTTTAACCGAGCCGGAAAGACATCCCAAATATCACCGTCCTTCACGTCGACTTCCATGGGTTCCGTGCTCATGCAATTGGTGGAGGTATACGGCAGGACATTAAAAGCACTGACTTTCTGTAAACTAGGCACCAGGATCAGTACGTTGATGTTATACCGATCTTTCAGAAAATATTCAAAAATCCTGGACATAATGGGGCTTATCTTCGAATCTGGCAAGGATGTTAGCAGTACAATAACGCACAGATTGTTGTGCCTCACGTCATCAGCGATGGTTCTAAAAAATAAATTTGTAAATCAATAATTAGATAAATAAAAAATAATTCTTGTAAAAGATATTGCAACTTACATAACCTGTTCAGCATTCTGGGCAAAAAGCAACTGGGTGATGACATGGGGGGCCATTTCCACATCCAATTGGGATGCCAAGACAATGGGCACTGGGGAATCCGATCTATAAAAACTTTGATAGAAAACTCGATTCACCAGGATCACTTTATCTCGATCCATTTGTTCGTAGGCGGTGCTAATAAAGACATTTAGATTATGAACCGCGAACCCATTGTTAAAAATCTTTTGTAGGATTTCGGAGATCTTCGTTGCCAGTTGATCTTCTAAAGCATATTGGTCTGGCCATGAAATGGCCCGCACTCCAAAGAGACCCAAAAGCACCGTCACAACACAACGGAGTTCCATGACGAAAGTGAACCATTTTCCAACTCTTGTGCGAATTTATGGATTGCATTTTCGCCATTTAAGAGGTTTTTTTTTTTGTTTTGCCCAGGGACTTTGTGGTTAAATCGAAACGCTATTAATTTTTAAAAATCTGCAATGCATACAGTCGGTCTCATAAATGTAGGATTTAGAAGTATATTCCTTCTTTACAATTATTATTCAAAATATACATTCTATACAGATTACATTAGTTAATATTTTCTATTACTTTTTAACTTCTATTTACCTTTTCCCTTGCTTTATACCAATGAAACGTAATATTACTTGAACTTCATTAAAACTCTATCCCAAGCGATTCATATTAATTCTAGGACCCGGGCCTGTAAAGGTAATGCATTACCAAATCTATGTTCATCACTTAAACTAATTGCTGTGTATAGGCGAGCACTCCTGGTCACCACCCAGCAAGGCCGCCACCAAAGCACCCAACCACCACCCTGGCCCGTTCCGGAGGCATGTGCGTGACAGGTTTCGGTGTCAGTATTATGCATGAGGCGCATAACCATAAATTAACACCATCAGCGACACAGACCAACACACCTGTGGGTGGAAGAGAGGAGTGGAGTGGTAAGTGGCCACGAGTGGGTCAGGAGGTGGTTGTTCAGTGGGTGGATTTCGGATTTGCAGGGAATACCCCGTCAGTGTCAGGTTCATGCAAGCCCCATGTCGCCCGTAAGAGATTTACAAATAGCTGGATAATGTCCTGGCCTCCAACCAAACCACACGTACTGCTAAAGTCATTCACACTTGGAACAAAAATCTATCTTTTTTTTTAGTAAGCAAAAAATGAAATCATAAGCTAATAATATCCAAATTATTAAACTAAACCACTTTAGATCATAAGTTAGTGGATATAATTAACTACTTGGTAGTTTTATGTATTAGGTTTTGTTAACTTTTTAATCTTTTTAGGCCATGTATATTATAACAATAAAATTTATGTGAATAATTTATTATTAAGTACTTAAATATTTTTCCAAGTGCAATGCTATGAAAAAAGTTTTCTTAAATAAAGTGAACGTAGTGATGCAAGTTCCAGAATAAAAACTATCAGACCAACAAAGAGGCCCACAGTTACCATTAAAAATATGGCATATAACTCCATAATGCCAAGGATCTGGAAGCTCTGCTCGTTGCGCAGATAGGTCTCGACCAGTTCCCACCTAGCCCAAACGGCCAGCAGGCCCACTGACCTCATCCACATGATCTCCTCGTTCAGTTGATCGATAAGGAAGGAGTGCTTTGCCAGATACATGGTCAACTGCATACTAATTATGTCCTCTGGAACAATCTCGAAGTGTGCTCCTGTTCCCTGCTCGCCCCTCTTATGGACTTTTTCCGCACTTAGTCGATTAAAGTGTATAAAGATATCCAGGGCAGAGGCAGTGACGTGTTGTCGAAGTTGATGATTTGCCTCTAGAAAGTACAGAGGATCTAACTCAGAGGTAGCCTCTAGCAGCCGGAATCTCATGTGCTGCACACTGGGAATCTCGTCTACCACTTCCTGGACAATTGGTGTCAGCACCACAGTATAGTTCTTCTGCACCAGCGATTCAATTGTCTGTGGCCATCGATTAAGCTGATGGGTTCTTATAAGATGATATAGTAATCCTTGATAGATTGTTCTTATGATCAAGGTATACATCATCAGCAATAAACAATAAAGACGAGCAGTATGCGCTTTGGGAGTCTCCAGCAGCGGCATACCCACAAAGATTAGCTCTAGATTTAGCCATGTACGGGATCTTATTCGTTCCGTTAACATCCTGTCTACGGCCAACTGAAGGAGAGCGGACAAGACTACCACGCCGAGGATTGCCATCCAGATCTGTAGGCGGTACGGATAGAAGAGGATGTCGAAGGAACTCAATTCATAGCTGGATGACAGGACACCAAAGACCTCGCGAGTCTGATGGTAATTGTTCGTCGAAGTGGCCATCATACTTCTGCCCACCGTCTGACGGATCCCACCCAGAGTTAGATCCGCCTCGCCATGTTGCAGCTAGAAAGTGATAAATTTAGTATTATTATTTTTTACTTAATTAGATTTCTTCTATGAAAGAACTCACCATCTCCAAAGCCTCATCCCTTACATTTCCGTGCACTTTTCGCACTGCGATGGTAAAGTTCATCTTCTCGGCTAGCGCTAAAAGTAGACGCCCTTCGTAGCCACCGCTTACAAACAGGATGGCCTCTTCATCTTCACTCAACCTTAGAAAAGGCGGGACATTCCAAAGGGCACATTTTAAGGGACAACCAAAAAAGTTCCTTAACTTCCGAGGGAATAACTCAGGTTCCACTAACGTACTACCATTATAGCGATTGATCAACTGCGGTTCCGAGTTTGCACAACCATTTTCCCCGAAGGGATAATAACTATAGAACAGGATGTCCCCATTGGACTTTTGCACCTGGATGCTGCAGTGAATCAATTGGTAGCGCCAGCAATAGTCAAAAATCAATCGCATCTCGCCCTGTAACAGACGATCCCTGGCCTGCAGGAATATGAAGTAGTGCTCATTGTAGTTATACTCCCGGGCATAGTACTCCATCCGGATTTCCTCAAACGCGGCGAAGGAGTCGGTGAATATGACGTTGTAGTGCCGACGACCTGGAACCGGACGCCATGGCACCCCACGCTCCACATTCACAATCTGCAGCGGTGCCAATCCCCATTGCCTGAACAATGTGTTCATCATTTCGTTGTAAAAATTGCAAGTGTGATTACTTCGACAGCAAAGGGTTAAGACCAGTGATGGCGTCACACTTAGTATATAGTGATGTACCACGTAGAGCAAAGACCGGGCCACGAACTCGTTAATGTGGTTCATCTGCTCCCCGGACAAGTCATAATAAGAGTTGAGCAGTGCGCTGATGTTCATTCCGGCGGGACTTCGAGCCGCTCAATAAAGAACTTAGATATCCTGACCAGGTTATTAAGTCTGAATCATTATTAAATTGAATGAAACTTATACGTTAACTACCCGGAAAAGTTTTGTGATTAATTGTTGTCACTAAATAGTTTTTGTAACCCGAAATATAGGTCAATACCGTGTAAGAAAAGTAATCAATAAAAATGTTAGTTACTTAATAATGTTACATTATATTGTAACAAAGATTACGAAGACATTATAAAAAATTAAAAGAAAATGAATTTAAAGTATTTATTTAACAATCCAGTTCCTTCTCCAAAACACGAGCTCTCCGACAAACACTACACCGGCCAGCAGGTACATCGCCGCCACGACCATGTAAATTCCCGAAAGCTTGGCATTGTTGATGTACCGCCGGCTGGTCATCTGCACCTCATCCCGTCTTAGGACTGATGCAAAGGACGCCCTTCGCCAGGCGAGGATAAATCCTGCTGCATCAAGTCGCCGGATTGCATCATCCACCTTCTCGTAGAGTAACGAATGCTTAGGCATGTACATTCCGGCATATTCGACATTCACGGGCTGTTTGACCACGTGATAGGCATTTGGATAGCTGGAGGAGTGCATAAAGGATAGGGCTACATCCCGATTAGCGACGGCGAATATTTTACGATTCCTATATTGCTGGAGGGCATTCAAAACGTCCCAATCGAATGGCGTGTCCAGAGAATGAAAACTATCCGGGTTCCGAGCTACTTGTGGCATCTCGAGTAGCAATCGGTGGGTATTCGCCGTGCATATACCCTGGAAACCATCCGCCATCAGTTGCTCCAGGGAAAATGATGGTGTACTGTACAGTTGCAGGCGGATCAGGTGAAAGAGCAGGGATTGATAGGATACTCGCAGGGGTATACTGGCCCACAGCCAATGGGCGGCAATCAAACGGTGCCTCCAGGGGCGTGGTAGGCGTGCTACGGCTGCCCCCAAAAGCAAGGCCATCACCTGAAGTCCACCACCACTCTCTCCATGGTTAGTTCTCCTTCCTGGCAGATAGATCACAAGGTGGATGAGCAGTGACAGGAGCAGTAGCAACCAAACGGATAGTTTAAAGGGAAACACCAGCAAGGAAAGAGAACTTAGGCGATAGCGTTCTGTCCGCAAAACAGCCACCAAATTGGCGGAGTAGTATGACATGGGCGTGGTCAGCAGTTGATTCCGGCGAGCCGTCTTCCGGAAGTACCCCATGCTTATGTTAGCACTACGCTGCAGGAGCTATAAATATAACAAATGGATTATTGGCTATTTATGGATACAGTTAAGTTTCAAGATATTTCATTTTTGAAAGCGGTTACAAAAAACCTGATATTAAAAATCTTAAGAAAACATTTTGAACTCACCTTTTCGATGGGTCCATCGTTGGCACCTTCCGCCAGACGATAGGCATTCGGTCGCAGCAGGGCAATATCGATCACCTCCAGGCTAAAGTTCATTTGACGTGCAAGGTGCTTTACCAGCTGAAACTCAAAGCCACTTGCTCCGCTGCGATTGTTCTTTGGATCCCAAAACAGCTCAACGAAGGGTGGCTGGTGCCAGGTGAGTACAGTTAGTGGACATCCGTGCATCTGGCTGACTTTATCTGGAAACATCTTGAAATTCCGCTTCCATTTGCGACCATCAAACGTGTTTACTAGCACGGGATGTGCCTCCTGGCAACTGTCCGCCGTATATGGAAAGTAGGTATAAATAAACACCTCCACTTGAGCGGTTTGGACCATTACATTGCAGTGCAGCCAAAAGTGGGCCAAACAGTGTTCCAGGATCAACTGCAGCTGCTTGGGGACCAGGTGATCCCGTGCCTGCAAGAAAATAAAGTAATAGTCCGGGTCATCAAAGTCCGCATTGTTGGCCGTAATGTTGGTGTCCCTGAAAAGGTAGATTATTATAGTTAAATATTACATTTTATTATTTTGATAAACTCACAACAATCCTACATATGAGTCTACCATTAACAGGTTAACTCGTTTCCTCCCGGGCACCAGATTAGCCACCAAATCAGGACGAATCCGGAAAAGTTGCACAGCCACCATTCGCCATGAATCCATCAGGTTGTTCAACATGTACTCGAACCAATGGGCGGTGCCCAGGTGTCGAGTGGAGATGGTCACCACCAGAGTAGTGCTTATTTGGGCTAACACATTTTCGATTACTAACCGCAGTGCCCTGACCACGAAGGCATTGGCTTCGTCCCCCTGCATGTCGATCCGCGAATGCTCCAGGTAACTCCTATAGATGGAAAGACCGTATCCGGAACTCAAGCTAGAATTCGGATTGTTCATGGCAAAGTTGAATGCTCGACTGTAAGGAAAGCACATTCAAATGGACTGGGTTATTGGGCTTTCCGGTTTATCATAGCCAGATCTTAACAGAGATTGCACTAATTAAAATCAAATACTAAAACAGTCTAATTACGATATGAAAATATTAGGGCTTGTGATTAGAAGTTGTAGGAGCTGTAAATGTTTTTAATAAATTAATACATTCCTAAGAACTGATTTAATTTATTAATCAATTTATTTAAATATTATCTTTGAAACTTTTTTATTTATTTTAACTATATACTCAGAGTTGAGTGTACACTTACATTAATCAAAGAAAAAATACCCACCACCTATAAATAGAACAGACCTGCACATTTCCAAAAATTTCCGATTGTCGACACCTGGTAAGGTACAACCATAACCACCACCTTATAGACCATATAAAGTTAGATAATAACGAGCGGCCAACTATCGAAAATAAATCCCTGGCTAATTGTCCAACTTGGTGCGTGACCTACAATAGTTTTGTTTGACTTAAGTTGATGAGATGCAAACAGAGACGGCATGGGCCAGGAATTCGCCTCGGCCACTTAATAAATCCGGCTGTATTCTTTCAGGATTCGGAGAGACAGACGGACATGAACGTGACTAGTCTGCTGAATTTTGAGTCGATGAAGTACATCGGCGCTCAGACGCAGGCGGCGTCCATAAATCATCACGTGGCCCAGGCTCTTCGGGTCTTCATTGAGGATTTTTACCAGCGAATCGCCCCCGCCTTCATTGTGGTCCTCTCCTGTCGGCGACCCAGTCCGATGAATTTCTACCGCAATATCATGCAGCTGCTCTACGAGAGCGTGGATACAATGATCATCCAGTTGGTCCTGATCGAGCTTAATCGTCCTCGACGAATCGAGGGACCAAGAACCCACAATCTGCTGCTAGTGGACTCTCTGGATGCGCTGCTGTAAGACGTGCCATTATTGGCTAAGTTATTGAAAAAATCCTTTTTTTTTTGGGAGAAATCAAATTTCAAATTTTTCGATAAGGGGTAACATCATTAAATTTTGCTAAAAATGGCAAACTTTTAACATATTCAACTGTGAACGCAGATCTGTTATTCTGTGAAAGTAAAAATTTCTGTTTTTTGTTGCTAACATCAGGATTTTTAAGGAAAATCTTTTTTAGGGACATTGAAATCCACACATACACTGCGGAGTCAGACGGCAGCGAGTACTACTTCATTTTCCTACAACAGAGGGACGCACTGATTCCACATGATATGCAGGGCGTGTTTGCGTACTGCTGGCGCCACCAGTTGATTAACTGCAACGTCATGACACAGAGTTCCGGTGGTCAGGTGCTCCTCCACACCTATTTCCCTTATGCGCCCGGCCATTGCAACGACTCGCATCCTACTCAGATCAATCAGTTCCTGGGTAAATCCTGGCAACATCAAGATTACTTTCCCTCCAAGTTACACAATCTCAATGGGTGTCCTTTGCTGGTTTTAGCAAGGAGACTAGCTCCGTTTTTCGAAATGGATGAAAGTCATCGGGAACTCCGAGGACTGGAAGGGCGCTTGTTGCAGGAATTATCCCACAGGATGAACTTTAGCATTCAGTTTACGGGATTGCAGGATCAGCGAAAGAATCGCACAATATGGTCCGAAAAGCAACTGCTCCAGAAGTTGGTAAGTTAACATTATCGTAATCGAAAAATCGATTAATACTACCATTGGCAGGTCCACGGACGTATTGCCCACCTAGCGATTGGTTATGTGAGGAAGCGCATCCAGTACTCGTCGAACCTAACTCCTGTATTTCCCCACTACTCGAACCGGCTGGTGGGTTGTCTCCTACTTAACGCACACAATCTGACCAGCATGGAGATATGGTCGTTTCCCTTCCAGGCACTCACTTGGATTTGCCTGTTTTCCAGTTTTTTTAGTATATCCTGCCTGTTGCTGCTCCATGGACGCGGGGTTGGGGATCGTGTGGCTCTAGTCATGGCGGTATATGCCGCTGCCCTCGGTTTGCCGATCGAACCTCCGGAGCGTCCATCACTGCAGTTGATCTTCGCAAGTTGGCTATTTTTTGGTCTGATCGTTAGGTCCATGTATTCGGCTTTGCTGTTCCTTATCCTGCGCTATCATCTACATCAGCGATTACCCGAAAGCCTACAAGATCTGACCAATGGTGGCTATGCGGCAGTGATGAGTCGGGCCACATTGCAAGATTTGAGGGAAGTGCCTAGTCTACACGAGATTCTGGAAATAAAAACCATGATTGTTAGCTCGGAAAGAGAGGATGAAGTTCTCCGCCAGTTGGACCGATGTTCCCTGCGAGATGGAGCTGGCTCACATCCTTTATTCTTTGGACTACTGTCCGAGAATGCATTGCTTTATTTAACCCAACGAGGCCATCGAGCAGGAGCGTATCACATTATACCCCAACACGTTTTAGAGCAACAGCTTGCCATTTATCTACAGAAGCACTCGCATCTGGTGGGTCATCTGGACCGCCTAGTCATGTCCATTCGATCTGTGGGCCTGCTGCATCACTGGGCTGGTCAGATGGCCAGCGAGCGGTATTTCCGTAGCCGATTTCTCTACCGGGAGAAGCACATCCAGTTGCCTGATCTTTGGGCAATATATCTACTAGCCGCAGGACTATATTTTCTTTCGTTGGTCGTCTTTATCTGTGAACTGCTGGCCGCCAGACTTGCTGGAAATACCGGAGTCTAAATTATAATAACTATTCAAAATATTTTAAAAATAAATTCCACTAAAATACAATTGAAAAGAACAATCGAAAATGTTTACTTATTTAAGGGAAATTAACAAACGGGTTTTATAAAACTTATAATAAAACACAACTACAGAAACTTAGGGACTTGCAGTTTTTGGTTAAAAAAAAAAAGTAAAAGTAAACGGCTTAATTACAGATTATTTTCAATCGCAATCTAATCATGAATATGAAAATGCATTTTTAAAGACAGAAAAAATAAAACTCGAACTGAGTGTTTTTTTTCTTTTAATTCTTTATTTTAATTTTATTTTGTATGCATTTAATGAATTTATTTAATTAAGATTTCAAATTTTACCGCAATAAAACCTAGTCTCTATTTAATTAATCAATGGTTCATAATTTTATTATGCAAATCACAAGATTTCGATAAATGCAGCTAAGCGCAAAAAAAGACACTTAACAATTATAAAAAAAACATAGAGCTTTTAACGATCACTGCGTTAGATCCATATTAAATGCAATTCTGGTTGAGAGTAGGGTTTCCAGGTGGCTTTACAACTTCTCTAAAAGAATGGAGGAGGCTCCACCACCGCCATTGCAAATTGAGGCACAGCCCAATTCGCCCTTTTTAAGGCTATGCGAAAGATGGGCCACCAGACGAGCTCCAGACATTCCAATCGGATGTCCAATGGATACAGCTCCACCATGGACATTGACCTTGGTGGGGTCCACATCCAGTTTTTTGATATTGGCCAACACCACCAGGGAGAAGGCCTCGTTGACCTCCCACATGGCAACGTCCTCCTTACGAACGCCGGCACGTTTTAGTAGTTTGGGAATTGCCAAAGCTGGAGCAATGGGAAAATCAATGGGATCGGTTTCCGCATCCTGGAAGGCCACAATTCTGGCCAAAGGCTTAATTCCCGCCTTCTGAGCGGCCTCAGCACTCATTAAAACCACCGCGGCACCACCATCATTCAATGTTGAGGCATTTCCAGCGGTCACAGTACCATTTTCCCTCTGGAAAACAGTGGCCAACTGTCCAAATTTATCAAAGTTCACGCGTTTGTATTCCTCATCCTCGGAGATTACAATCTCTGGCTTCCTTTTTTGCTGGATCTTCACGGGAGCAATCTCTTCCTGGAACACCTTATTAGCCCAAGCTGCAGCTGATCTCTTGTACGACTCAATGGCGAAGTCATCCTGTTGCTGTCGCGTGATCTCCAGTTTCTTGGCCGTATTTTCAGCACAATTGCCCATATGGAACTTGTTATAGACATCCCAAAGTCCATCAAAAACGATGCCATCAGTGAGATTTACGCCACCATAGGGAGTCGCGCCTCTCTTCAGGTAGTAGGGCACATTTGACATCGACTCCATGCCACCGGCAACGACCACATCCGCATAACCGAGCATTAAAGATTGAGCGCCCAACATCACAGATTTCATGCCCGAAGAGCAGACTTTGTTCACCGTGGTGCAACACACGTTGGTAGGGAGTCCAGCGAAAATGGCAGCTTGCCGGGCGGGAGCTTGTCCCAAACCAGCTGAAACCACGTTGCCCATTATAACTTCCTGGACATCGGTCTTTGCAATCCCTGCCTTTTCAATAGCGGCCTCAATGGCCCGAGCTCCCAGTTGGGTGGCCGTCAGTGGGGCTAATTGACTCTGGAAGCTGCCAATTGGTGTACGGGCAGCCGAAACTACCACAACCTCAGCTATTTTTGAGCTGTAAGTGCGCTGGGCGCTCCAGCGACGCGTGACCTGAAGTAGTCGGGCGGACATCTTGGAATTTAGTTAAATGTATAAACTAGCGCAGCAATCACACTTGGAAATAACAAAAATCCAATCAGAAGTCACACCAGAACCTGTTGCTTGCGTAACAAACCGGTCTATCGATAGGCAACAGCTGACACGGCACAGGGCTGGCAAATGTCAAACCGAAAAATAGGTAAAATCATCTTATGTTTATATTTTTGTTGTAGTTTTTAAATTAATATTTCAAAATTGATTTGTATGTCAATTATATAATCTTGCCAATATCAGACATACATTTAAAGCTGCATTCGATTAAAAATTATATAATTAAGTTTACTTTATACATTACACAGCACTGAAACTGCGTAAATTAAATTTAACGGAAATTGTTAAAGCAATTTCAGCCGTATACATATAAAAAGAAAGCGTTAAACATATACTTAATAAGCATAGTTTGAATAATTTTATTAAATGCCAAAAAAAAATGCTTAAATATACTTGTTTATTTAAACTAATGAAAATTGCACAATGAATGGCAGCGAAAAAAAGTAAAATCTTACTGCTAATAATACGCTTGCAAAATATGGCAATAAAAAAAATTGATGTTAAAAAAAAATCATATGTATATTACGGAACTTATTCCACATCACAACCTCTTAGTTTCCATGGTTTCCATGGCTCCAGAACTCTACAATGCCTCGCACCAGTCTGCTTAGATCACCATCTGATCGCGCGTTGATAGCTTCTGATGGCCGCTGGGCACCACCAATGATCGCCGCATGCGATTTCGCTGGAGTGAAGAGTTCCTCTCCCTCACTGATTGTCGGAGATGCTGGCGACGTGCTCCTCCTGGCCCGGTACCGCCGGCTGGTCCACTGCCTGCCTCCCTCTCCGCCGCATTCATGGCCGCCAGCAGTTCAAAGGCTTGTTTCTTTTGCTCTTTGGTCCAGAGATTGGCAACCGGAGGAACTGCCGCCGGCTGTTCTTGAGTGACTTGTGCCTTAAGAGCCAAAGGAGGTCGCTGTACGCGCACTGAAGCGGCTTGTGGACCCTGATTCACCGTTGGAAGGGATTTGGAGGACGCCTTAGAACCACGACTCAGGCCAAAAAGAGAGAGTATAGACTTCCTGCGGGTGGAGGAGGCTTGACTATCCCCGGAATCATTACTAGACACGCTTATCTGCATGGGAACGGAGGCAGGTGGAGGATTAATTGTCGGATTAACAACCGGAGGAGGAATATTCTCGATCCCGTAAGTGACAAATTTCTGAGGCGACTGAAAGGTAACCTTTCGCAAATTATTCAAGGATTTGGGAGCCGGCATGGTTGCCAAATTGAGTTTTGCAACTGTGGGAGACGTCTCATTTAGTTCGATAGTGCAGTAGGTGTCATCATGCTGGGACTTTACTGGCTTCCTGGGAGGAATGGGCGGTGCTAGTGATTGTCTACAACTGCAGGTATTCTTCTCCTGCTGAAGAAGTTTTTCTTGGAGCTGCCGCTCCAGCGATTGGACGCGCTGCTCAGCCAACTGTATCTCCTTTTCTCGGGCCTGTAGCTCCTCTAACTTCTGCTGTAAAAGCGATTCCTGAGCACGGATAGCATGAAGACGGGTCTTTAACACTTCATCAAAAATGTTTTGGGTGATGGCTCGAGGACTGTCAGCGGCCTCCTTTAGTGGTTGATTACTTAGGATTTCCTGGTGCTTTTGCTTGTCTCGATAATTCTTGAGTCGTCGCTCCTCCTCTAGTTCCACCTGCCTTTCCTCTGCTTGCTCTTCTCTCCTTATACTTTCATATAGGGCTGGATCCGAAAGCTGAAGTTTCTTTGAAGGAAAGATTTTTCGCTTAGCAGAGTAGAAGAGTTCACTTCTCAAATCTGGAGTGAAAACGCCAGTCACACTGAGTCTTCTTTGTCCATAACCTTCATTGAAGCTGTATTGTTCCGTAAACAAAGTACTGGAAAGTTCCGGCGCCACATCCAACTCATCTTCGTCTTCGAAGAGTTTACCTCCGATGGGAAACTTGTAAAAATCGTCTCCTGCTTCAATTAAATTCGGAAACTTGCCATCCAGGTCACTGATATTCCGCACCACTAGTGGATGCCTAATGATGACCTCGATGCCTGGACGCTGTTCATGATCAACAGCCAGCATGAAGGCAATGATCTCCTGCAGGTCGGCACTGTAGACTGTGGGAATGCGGCTGAACTCACCTTGGGCAATCTTTTCGGATAACTGATCAAAGGCTCTTCCCCGAAACGGCGGTCGCAAGGCACACATCTCGTAGACCAAACAGCCTACGGCCCAGACATCGCTTTTCCGGTCATATTTCCTGCCCCTCACCAATTCCGGACTCATATAATGTGGCGTGCCTACAAAAGAAGCTGCGAAGCTTTGATCCCTTCGCAGCATCCTGGCCAGGCCAAAATCTCCCAGTTTGGCATTTCCGGCAGCATCCAGGAAAATATTAGCTGGTTTGATATCACGATGCAGTATTGTGCCGTTAGGAATTTTATTGTGGCACACCTGAAGAGCTCGGCACAGTTGGAAGAGCACCTTCCATATATAGGGCTCCTCGAAACGTTGCCTTTGGGATCTTGCTAGCTGGACGATCTGGGCGAGATCGCCGCCGGCACAGCACTCCATTACTATATATATGGATTTGGCCTCTCGATTCACCAAATGATGGTAGTACTGCACTATATTTGGATGCTGGAGCTGCCGCAGAACACTGATCTCGGAGACCAAAGCCTCGCATTTGGCCTCATCCAATTCATCGTAGTTCATTCCTTTCCATGCAAACAGCTCCCCGGTGTTCTTATCACGCACTTTGTAGCAGGTGCCGAAGGATCCATTTCCCATCACGGCCAAGACCTCGTAGTCCTGCAGGGTTTTTCGCGAAAAGTCCATGCCTGCAGATTCCACTTCACTCATTTTTGATAAAACCTTTTAATTCTATTTTAGTATTCGCGCCACCTATTTCTTTCGATCCGCTCACTTTAAGATCCCAAAATGAATTAAGACTGGTTTTTGGGATGCAGGATTTTTGGGCTCTCTGGGTTTCTGGAATTCTCATTTTCGGGTACCTGAAAGAAATAGAGAGAAGAACAACAAGTGGACGAAGGAGAGAGCTGAGCACTTGGCGATGGCCCGCTAAAACTGGATATACAAGATAACTGTGCTGAAGATAACACAAACAAGGTAGATGTTGAAATAGCTTAATTGCCTCGTGATTTAGTATGAGGAAAAAGGAAGGGATAAAATAGTTATTATGTTACACTGGCTTACCTGCACATACATATGTATATGTAACTATATTTTCATATACAATTGTACTACAAATCTTAAAACAGCTTCTATTAAAATGTCCTAAAATATACAAGGCAATTATCTGTTTTATCTATTTTATCAGAATAATTAGAAGGCAAGCTAACCTGACCTTCATTACTATAACCATGAGCCTATGCAATGTACAATTTCATGTCTAGGTTAGCTATTTCTCCGCTAGACCCAGCAGCACTGTCATGTTTTTGTTCCACGTACATCTCTCGTTTACTTCCAGGAATGAAGATCACACTACTGCTCTCTCGATCGCAACTAGCAGTATAGGTAGGCACTTGCAAATATGCTAAATCTCTTTCTCTCGCTCATTCTCTCCCCCGCTGTGCCAGTGCACTTGTGAGTCAAAAATCTGGAAAATCCCACTCCCATTCCATTCGATCCCACTGCGCTTGTGTACAATCTGCTGACCATCGAAGACAATGGGCTAGAAAGAGGCAGCACGCACAAAATACAATTCCAACGATTCATCACGCTCAATTCTGAACTTGAACCCAAGAATACGAAACCCCTAACTGTTGGCCATAAAAATAAATTAGTTTTGCTGCATTGGCATTTCAATTTGCTGCCTTGTTTGGAAAAGTGGAAATGTCCTTATCGGATTTCATATTTCATATTTAGAAGAGATCGGTTCTCCACTTATCGCCAGTTCTGTCTAAGGGATTGACGGGATGCACTTGAAAACTTTAGCAGAGCCGCGCTAAGTAGAATATTGAGGTCATCTTTTGTACAAATAATAATCATAAAATCATTTATATTTTGTATCAATGGATAAGCAAACAAATAATTCATTGAGATATTCATAAACTAAACTTGAGATATTACTACCTAAGCCCCTAATCCGAACTAAAAAGAACTTAACTATCGAGTCTCTCTTTCTCTACCGCCGTAATGCCCAGGTAGAATCCATCAGAAACGAGTTGTCTCCTTAGATTTTCTTTGTTTTCGTCTTATCGTTAGACGTGTGTTGATGTTTTTATGGTTTTCCTCGGTAATACAAACAATGCCATGCAATCCTTCACAAATAAATCACGTTTCTAACCACAGATCTGTTTTTCACTGCAGGTAAACGACGAGTCTTTTTCACATTTCTCCGGTTTATTGGTTAACAGTGAGTGGGAAAAAATAATATATATGTATGACTACTGCCAGGATTACCAGGATGGTTCCTTATCCCCGCTGCCACCGGAGCGACCGTACAGTGCGCTCTTGTCCCGGAACATGGTCATGCGTTCCGTTTCTTTTTTGTCCAGGAAGTGTCCGATGGCAAATCCGAGTAGTGGCAGGGCGCCCCACAGTGCACGCTTATCCAGTCCTAAGACCATGATATTATCGCCTATGTGTTTCTTCTATCGCTGATCCTTTAGCTGGGCGCTGTATGCCAACTGAAGCTGTTGGCGTTTCCACTCGCGGGTGTGCGACCAATCTGCGTAAATCGATCCGACTGCAACAGTGGGAAAGAATATCACTGCGCCGTACTTTCGAGCCAATTGCACCAAAATCCCACTGCCCATAGGTCTGCAAGACAAGCACACGAGATGCGGATTTATGAGACACAAATGTGATGTGTGTGCGATTTGTTATGTTATGGAGGAGACTTTTGCCGGATTACGTAATGAAAATGACTGATATCTCCCAAGCGACGAGTTATTTCTATTAGTTTGTCCAGCCCATGCTTACACCGCGCCTGGATCAAGCCTTAAACAGCGTTTTTAGTGACTTTTTTCTTGGTTTTAAACACCAAATTGATAAATTAGTTTTGTTTTTAACTTACTTATAGCATCGATAGCACCAGGGCTGTCGACTCGTTTTTAGTTCAGTGAATTTTATGGTGGTAGGCTATCGATTATCCATGGTGGGGATGCCACCTAAGGAAAAATCTTTCAATCAGCTATAAGCTGGCCATTTTGTAATTTGAGTGAATTAGGCAAAACAAATCTTTAAATGAGAAAGACATGGATCTTTATATGACAAAAATACATTAAGAAAATGTACGGACCGACTTTCGATAATTAATACTTAGAAAGTCTTCTACAAATATTTCAAATTAAGTCGCTTATCGATAAATGGGCTTGGACTTATCGAATTTTAGTCATCTCTAAGCCGCCCGTCAATTGTTTTCATGAATTGACGTGTCTTGTCAAATGCGAAAAAATCCAAAATAAACCGTAAACACACTCGCATGGAGTTCCTGAAGAGTGGCATAAAGACGGTGCTGGGCAGCACGGAACCTGGCCAGCAACCAAGTGCTGCCGAGACAGTGGAGAAGCTGGTGGACCGCGTCTACTCCTCAACGCTCCTGGAGGATCGACGGGATGCTTGTCGGGCACTGAAAGCACTGTCTCGCAAATACCGTATCGAGGTGGGTGCCCAAGGCATGCCACCGTTGGTACAGGTGCTTCAGAACGATGGACAGGATGCAGAGATCATTAGCTATGCCTTGGACACACTGTGCAACGTGGTAACCAGCGAGGAGTTCGACGAAGAAGCGGACAATCCCACGGTTACGGTGAATGTGGGCGAGCAGTTCACGGAGATGTTCATCAAAACGCCGGAGCATGTTACCCTGGTCATGAGCTACTTGGATGAGTATGATTTTCGAGTTCGCCGTGCCGCCATTCAACTGATTACGTCCCTCATCTCAAACAAGACACGGGAACTGCAGGATCTGGTCCTCGTCAGCCCAATGGGCGTGTCAAAGCTGATGGATCTACTGACGGACAGCCGCGAGGTAATCCGCAACGATGTATTGCTGCTGCTAATCGAACTGACCAAGGGCAACTCGAATATTCAGAAGATTGTGGCCTTTGAAAACGCTTTCGACCGCCTGTTCGAGATCGTGCGGGAAGAGGGCTGTTCCGATGGCGGTATCGTAGTGGAGGACTGTCTCATACTGCTATTGAATCTCCTCAAGAACAACTCTAGTAATCAGCAATTCTTCAAGGAGGGGAGCTACATCCAGCGATTGGCACCAATGTTTGAGCTTTCGCAGGATTCGGAGGAGGCCGGATGGTCACCACAGAAGATCTCGAACTTCCACTGCTTACTGCAGGTAGTTCGAGCACTTGTCACTCCCAGTAATCAACAACAAGTGGTAGCCGCTTGCCAGCGTGTCATGCAAAAGTCCCGTCTGCTCCATGCTCTCTGTGAGATTCTAATGAGTAGCGGTGTACCGGCAGATATACTTACGGAGACTATAAATGCGGTGGCAGAGGTGGTGCGTGGCGATCGGGACAACCAAGATGAACTGGGAAGGGTTATGGCCCCGAGTAGTCCTCCCAGACCGGCAATTGTAGTCCTCTTAATGTCTATGATCAATGAGAAACAACTGCTGGCTCTGCGATGCGCCGTTCTCTACTGCTTTGAGTGCTTCCTTTATCGCAATTCCGATGGTCAGCGGGCGGTGGTTCAGACCCTTCTGCCCTCCAGTACCTCCGATGTCAGTGCCCTGTCAACGGGACAACTCCTTTGCACCGGACTTTTCTCCACAGATGCCCTAGCCAACTGGTTCTCCGCTGTGGCCCTGATGCACTCTCTTGTGGAGAATGTAGCCCTTAAAGAGGAATTACTGCGCGTTCTGCTGGCAACTCCCGGTGGTCAAAGGCCCATTACGTTGCTTGAGCAGTGCACTAATCTCATGCAGCAGGAACGTTATCGGTTACAGAGCAAGGTGGGTCTGCTAATGCTTCTCAGTTTATGGCTAGCACATTGCCCTGGAGCGGTAAAGGCTATGCTAGAGACGCAGGGCACCATGGCCTATCTGACCGCCCAACTCTGCTCTAACGAGCACGACGAACGTGAGTTTTTGGTCCAGGGCATGTGTGCCTTCCTCATGGGCCTGTGCATTCAGTTCAATGATAACTCGTTGCCCGGACAAAAGCGCGAGGACATCAGCCAATTGATTATCAAGCGAATCGGCCAGGAGAGCTTCTGCAACAAACTAGCGGAGGTGTCGAGGCACGAGGCCTACAGTCGGGCTTGTAAGCAGGCGCAAATACGGGCAAAATCGGCCGGAGAACTTCTGCTCGACTACGAGTATTGCAAGCTGTACAAGGGATTAGAGGCACTGATTGCCAAACTGGTCAGTGGATTCGATGTGGATGGCATAGAACTGACCGAACTCACTCTGAGTTCTGAAGCTTCTGCTTTGGTCTCACAGTACAAAGGGATAATCCGTGGCATGGATGCCCAGATTCAAGGGCTTCAACAATCCACTAAAGACCTTGAGCAGGAAAATGCAGAGCTGAAGGAAAAGCTCGGCGAAGAGCAGTCGCTAAATTCCCAGCTTTCAGATCAAAACACATTGCTTAAAGCGCAGCTGGGGGCTTCAGCGGGTCAAGTAAAATCCGCTCAAGGAGCAGAAACCACGACTGCCAACGTGGAGGAGCTAAATGCCGCACGCTACCAGGCTAACATGTACTTCGCTGAAAATATAAGGCTGACCAAGGACCTGGAGACGCTACGTCAACAGTTGACGGCCGAGAAACAGCGTGCAGATACGGCACTAGAATCACTGGCAGCTACGCAAAAGGATCAGGAGGATTTGCTCGAACTGCTGGCCGACCAGGAGTCCAAACTGACGAGATATGAGGAGGCGGCCACGACTATTCCCTTCTCAACTTCTAATCAAGCTCCTAGTGGGCCAGTAACTGAGGAAGAGAGTCCAATTCCAAGTGGCACTGCCAGCAGATAAGGATCGTTGCTGACCACGTATTAATACTGGAATTCCCTCGACTGCCCTTAAAACACTTCTAACTATTTTATATACACACATTCTACTTTATTTTTATTTATATATATTTTACTCACGTACAGAATATACGTCTATAGATCGAAATTTAAACAAAATCTAAGATGTGTTTTTGGCGGGAACTACAGCAAATCGCAAAAGATAGATAGATATTTAAATACGCGCACATTTTCCTATTTTCATCTCTTTCCAATTCGTTTCTTTCCTTTTTGCTTTTTTGGTTTTCTAAAGGCCAAATATTAAATACCCTTTAATGAAAAATTTGATTTCTTATTTGTCATAAGCGTCTTTAAAAAGTTGAATTTATGCTCTCTTACTTATGTACTCTTTTTGAACTTTTCCCGACCAGTTAATTACAATTTATTTATATTTGAATATTCCGTTTAAAGAAATGAAATATATATTAATCAGCTAATAATGCCAAAACATATTAAACATGAAATATTGTCAGAACTGTTGCATTTACCTGACGGAAAAATAAAATAAATAAAAGTTAATATATTAACATTCAAACGCATTATTTTGCCTCTTTCTTAGGGGCACATCTTACAGGTAAATCAAAAGACAACACCTTCACTGGAAAACAAATTCAACACTACACAACGCATTGTATACCATTTTTTCACATTTATTTAACATAAATGGTTACAAAGTTTCTTTTTTCCTCTCGTAGATCATTCAGATCTGATCTACGTTCAGTTTCTGCTTAAATGAAGAATGTGGGTTCCGTGTCTGCGGCATTTACTTCTTGTCGCTCGAGATGGAGCTCTTGGACTCGCGGATAGAGGCGGAACGGCGACGCTTGGCCTCCTCACGCTTAGCCTTAGATTCCTTCTTGCGCTGGACCAACAGCTTAGCGTAGTCGGCGGCAGCCTCCTTGGAAGCCGTCTGGCGCTTCTTCTTCAGCGCAATACGACGGTGCTTGCGCTGCAGCACAACAGGGGTGATCAGACGCTGGATCTTGGGGGCCTTGGAGGTGGCCTTCTTGTTGTCCTTGGCGGGCAGAGGGCGACGCACAACGAAGCGACGCACATCATCTTCCTTGCTCAAGTTGTAGAGCTTGCGGATCTTGCTGGCACGCTTGGGTCCCAGACGACGGGGGATGGTCGTGTCGGTAAGGCCGGGGATGTCTTGCTCGCCCTTCTTCAGCACAACCAGAGCCAGCACAGACATGTTGGCGTCCACGATGCATCCGCGCACAGACTTGCGCTTACGCTCACCAGTACGGCGTGGACGGTAGCACGAGTGTCCCTTCTTCAGGAGCAGGCGAACACGACCTAGTTAAAGGTATATTTGTTAATTCATTCTTTTTTAATTATGATGTTTGGATATTGCCAGGGATTGGAAGGTAACTAGATAAATTATCATTCCGACATTGAAAATTAAATATACTCTGTTTTACCAAAATCCAAACATTTCTATCTAAAATTGTTTACTTTTTCTAAACAGATAACCAATTCCTAGGTTATGTCCAAAAAAAATGTGGTACGGTTGATTGGATTAGTTTTGAAGAAATTAAAGCATATTCACTATTTTCCCAATGACCAAACATCGTTTTATAACCTTATTATGATGTCCTAACTAACATTCTAAGATATATTTCTTATATGGCATACTGTAAATTACTATGAAGGAAATAAACAAATATTTTAAAACCGCAAACGTAAGTTTTGTTAGAAAACAGTATTTTTAAAAAGGGAGATAGATAAATCTTTAGATCAAATGCAGGTATTTGCCATAATTGGAATTTTGCATAAATAATTTTTGAGCTTTTTCCTAACAAAATTATATATAATTCCATGAGGATTGAGTACAATATAGAAACTATAAAAAGTAATAGGAACCAACTAAGGTTGTATAGACTCTTTTACGAATTTGGCAACTAAGGCAGCTACAAACAGTTAAACCCTCTAGATCCCTCCAATCACTACATATCTTATAAAAATTGCAATTTTAAACTCACCGTGGGTCAGGACACCCTGCTTCATGGGGAATCCCTGCTTGTCGTTGCCACCGGCAATGCGCAGCTGGTAGCCCTTCCATTCGTCACCGAGGATATCGGCCTCCACAATCTGTCCCATACGCTTCTCGTAGAAGACACGCAGCTTGTGCTCATCGACAACCTCGAACAGCTTTTGGCATCCCGTAGCGGGATAGGAAACGTTGAGCTGCAACACACAACAAAAAAAAACAAGTCACACACAATGTAGATGTTGTCCACAAAAAATATACAATATAAGAATTGGATAAAATATCATCTACGGATTTAAACGCAATCACTGGTTATTTTCGCTCGCAATTCTATCTGTTCACAACGCCAGTACTTGCGCTTTAGCATTTTGGCAATATTTCTTAATGTACACTGGGCTTATCAATTTAAATTCACAAATTTTCAGCACACCTTCATATTGTCGGTCTGTTTGCACGCAACGCAGAAAAAAAAAGAATCGGCCGAGGTCTGTTGGCTGCCAGCGCAGGGTTGGAAAAGACCGATAGGAGGAAGTAGAGATGGGTCGTCGATTGTTTGCCGGCATATATCGATAGATGTCGGTCACGGCGATATTTGTTTACTATTTTATTAATATGGATATTAGCCGGATTTTGGTTGAGTATTAATTTATACATACCGGTCCACTATTAAATAGATTTTTGTAAGCTTTCTTCTGTCTTCTATTTACATTTTATAAGATATGTTATGAAGTAGGAAAATGTACTTTATAATAGTTTTTCTTTGTTAATTATTTTAAAATTGTCTATAAGTAAGTATAATTTCAAAATCATTTTACTTTCCTAATATTAATATTTTAAAGATTGAAATAAAAAACAACAAAACATTATTACAATTTTAAAATCTTCGTCTAAGGTCAACGTAAGCTTTAAAAATTATATACGTGTGTCTGAAATCTCTTATTTATAAAATGTATACAACTAAAAAGAAATCGAAAGTAACTTATTTTTCCTATATTTATATATTATGGGTTTCATAAAAATCTTTTTTATAAAGTGACTTCACATATTTGTAATTGTCATTTCAAAGTATATAAGCCTATCGAAAGCCAGCACTTTCATAAGGTTGCCAGACTTACAAAAAATGTGTTTTGTTTTTTGAATTGCTGACTAGCTGGCAGCTCTACTAATTTGTTGCAACACGTGTAGTGATTACCTTTTTTTTGCATTATTATATCGTTTGAATTTTAAGAATATCAGGGCAAAATGGGCAAGCCGAAAAAGGCCAATGTTGCGACGATCAAGAATGTAAACCTGGAGAAGCAGATCACGGAGGGAAAAGTTGCCAAAAACAAGACCAAGGATAAGGTCAAGCTGCGGGCCGAGGAATCGTCGGTAAGATATGCGGTTTTCACATTGTGTTGATTTAATAATGTTAAAACCTTTCCCTAGAACATAGATGCCAGGAGCAGCCAGAAGATCCTAGCCGCTGCCAAGCTGCAGCAGTTAGAACTAGACGAAGAGAATTTTCCCAGCTTGGTGTCCGTTAGGAAAGTCAACTTCAGTTTAAGTAAGTGCACAAAATAACCACTTCTCATAATAGCTTAGGGATTTCAATTTGATTATAATAATTATTTAGTTCTGAACCCGATTCATCTCAATTTGACCACGATTAACTAAGTGTATAACTTTCCTTTCTCCGTAGACGACGGCAATGCTAAAGAAGATGAAGAAGTTAATGAGACGGACTTTATGGCCGATCTGGACATGGATGACGACGATGTGGCTGCCTTTGAGCGCTTTCAGCAACCAGCGCAGGAGGGCAAGCGCACGTTGCATCTCTCCAAGATGATCATGCAAAAGATCCAAGAAAAGGAGGCCGACATACACACCAAGATCTCTGACGAAGGTTCGCTGAAGATCGAAGAGATCGACCCAAAGGTGAAGGAGATGTACGAGGGTGTACGAGATGTGTTAAAACGCTATCGCAGTGGGAAGATCCCCAAAGCTTTCAAGATCATACCAAAGCTACGAAACTGGGAGCAGATTCTTTTCATCACCGAACCTCATAATTGGAGCGCTGCTGCCATGTTCCAGGGAACCCGAATCTTCTGCTCGGTACTGTCCCAAGCGATGGCCCAGAGATTCTATAATCTAGTGCTACTTCCACGTGTTCGTGACGATCTCTGCGAATATAAGAAGCTGAATATGCATCTGTACAATGCACTGAAGAGGGCTCTCTTTAAGCCGGCTGCCTTTATGAAAGGCATCATCCTCCCGCTGCTGGAGGGCGGCGATTGTACGCTGCGCGAGGCCATAATCTTTGGCAGCGTGGTTGCCCGAAGCTCTATTCCCGTCTTGCACTCTTCCGCCTGCCTGCTAAAAATATGCGAAATGGCTTACTCAGGCGCCAATTCCATTTTTATACGCTACTTCCTCGATAAACGGTATGCTCTGCCCTATCGCGTCGTGGATGCCGCCGTCTTTCACTTTTTGAGGTGAGTTCACTGTGTGATCATTAAAATGAAATGATAAAATGCCAAGATTATTTTACCTTTTTGAATAACTTTTTTTTTTTCAGATTTGAGAACGATAAGCGAGAATTACCAGTACTATGGCATCAGAGCCTGCTCACCTTTGCCCAGCGCTACAAGAACGATATATCATCCGAGCAGAGGGATGCACTGCTCCAGCTCCTGAAGTATGTAAATTGAAACATATTAATAACTTGACCACTCATTGCTACAACTAATGATTTAAAATTGCAGGAAAAAGAGCCATTTTAAGATCACACCCGATGTAAGGAGGGAACTACAGGCGGCAAGCTGTCGTGATGTGGAGATGATGGAGACAGATAATGGTTTGGCTGGGCAACCAGCCAAGATGTATACAGATGCCGATGTAGAATACGAGGGCTGAGAAAGGATTGGCGTAGATTACATTTAAGATAAAATTGTTTTACTATTTAATAACTCGATAGTCTATATATAAATGTATGTAAATATACCTACATATGCAGTTAAAATCTAATTCAGAGGTTTGTCTTGTGGGGAAATAAAAAGCACCATTTTTGTTTTGAATGTTTTAATAGAAAAAACAAATGTGTGTGTGTGTGTGTGATTTTATACAATTTTGCATTAATTTTTAGTTACTTTTTGGTTTTTGTTTGTTTGACAATGACGGTATCTTTCGGGTCCGTCGCAGTCGCTTCGGTTATTGACCAAGGGACGCCCCCGATTTACATTATGTATGTAGTTTTATATTCTCAATTTTTAAATGTAGTAATTATTAAATATAATTCTGTAACCAAAATCTTTCTAAAAGTTTCGTTTTGTCACTTTCTTTAGTCTCTAAGTATTGTTTCGTTATCTCACTCCAACATTTGTTTTGTTTTTTTTTTTTATATCATTTGTGTTATTTTAAGGGCATACTCCAAAGATTCAGACCAAGGACCGTTTTTGGGTCGGGATCAATTTGAATACTTTACAATAACTACACTGGACCATTTGAAATTAGTTTACCCAAGTACTTAGGCCTCGAGCCATATAAATATTTTTGTTTCATATTTGTTTTTTTTTTCTTTTTTTTGTGAGTATTTCAAGCTGAGCTTTGATTTCAAAATACAATTTGTAAAGGGAGTATATATAACCGACCTTTAAAAGCAATATGAATTTGAAAAGCCGTCTGTGAGAAGGGATTTCAAAAGTTTTATTTTATAGTTTTTTTGGGATTTTATATAGGCGGTGATCGTTTGAAGCTAAAGCTTAAGACAATATATGCTCGAATTTAGATGGGGTACCGTGGGCATTGGCGATATGAACACCAAAGGATTACTCCTCACCAAATCGAAAAATGAAATTGGAAAGCATTCAAATTACTTCTTGTTCTTGATTGTGATTTATTAAATTTAATTTAATTCCTTTTCCTTAGCGTTTTTTAAGTTTTGGCTTTGGGACCGTTTTGCATTTAAACAATCAAGTATTTACCCATTGGTCCGAGTTGTGTTGTATTTTCGAATCCAAAAAGATACAAATATACAATTAATTTCATCTGCCTCAAATGGTCATTGGTTCCGCAACCGAATTAACAACAATTAAACGATATGTATCCATTTTTAATGGCACAGTTATGTTAACATTAAACATTTGTCTTTTTGTCTACATTTTAGGTTTCAATAAATCATGGATCAACTTAGTTAAAAAAATAAGAAATTTCTAATCAAGCTCACACATTCATAACATTTGTAATTATTTAATAAGTTTATCAACTTTTCTCTAACATATTTTTTTGGCTTTTAAAACTCTTCAGTTATTGATGGATTTAAATATTGAAAAGTCTGAGGCAAGGAAAAAGTACTTTGAATCAAGGATGAAGCTACGAATTCGATCGGTATTGATTATTATTACGATTAGAATGATCCCAACTGATATGCTGTTTGATTTCAAGAAGCTACAACCATTTTTTTCATTCACAAGGCCTTGGATCGGAGGTGTATACTGTATGTATGAGATACACAGCTACTCACACGAGCTTAACGGGATTCTTGAGACGACCTTTGGAAGGCGATTCGAGCGAGAAACAATTATGCTTGGACTCTCAGATCTTACAAATCTAGATATTTCCATAATGACGTGGAGGTAACAAAGAGCTAAATGTGAATACGTTAGATGCAATAATGTATATGTATATAGGATCAATATGTTTAGCCAACATAAACACGGCCGTTTTGGTAGTACAATTCGATTCGATTATGATAATAATGTTATGTTCTAGCGCTAAAAATGAATTTCTCATCTATATTTCGCGTACGCCCTTACTATTACGAGTTTTTTTTCACTTAGTTTTCGTTTTTTTTCTGTTTAGATCTTCGATTTCCGGTTTTTTTAAATACACTTTACTTAAGCTTAGTATTTCGGTTTATGCTATGTATCATATGTTAAACAACCCATGATTAGAGTAAAAGTAGAAAATGCAATCCTGGACAAGATTCTTTTGGTGTATGCATTTCCCGTGTTGCAATCTGAGATCTAAGATCTCTGGATTCCGCCGCGTCGTCATCGCCCCAATTCCCAACCACGTCCCATACCCAATCTCCGTCCTAATCCGGATATGGAAATGGAACCAGAGATGTACACGTACACTAGAAATAACACAACCATTGTGGAGGCGTTGGCTTTTTGGCGGCATCCATTCGCATGCTGCATGGCGGCGGGCTCCTCACCTAGAATTTTAATTTATGCATTTTTCGAGATTCTCTACAAAATTCTACTAGAGATCATCCACTTACCGTTCAAAACATGGACCATCACCGTCTCCGTAATCTCATTGCCCAGCATGCATGTGTAGTTGCCAGTGTCCTGGCGATTTGCATTGGCGATGTACAGGCGGCTCAGTGCTCGTCCTGGCAGCATGTCCGTCTTGACACTACAAATTCTCAAAAATATATATATATTTAGGAAATTGAAATAAATGAATGACAACGGATATTTTAATTTCGCATAATGTTTAATATATGTTATATATATGATTTATAAACCATCATAATATGAGAAATCAATCAATAATAGAATAGTAGAATAGAATTGCCATTAAAAAACAATAACTTTTTGTGAAAACATATCCAATAAACAGCCACTATAATATATTCTTAAAAGAATAATCTTCTGATATATGAATAGGAACTATATGGATATAATTTTCTTTACATCTTTGAAAGTACTTAGGATACCTACCTGATTCCACCGCGGCTGGTGTCATAGTTAAGAAGACGCGGCCCGTGCCGCCAGGTGATATAGGAGGAGGGATGCGGAATCTTGGAAATGACGCACTGCAGCTCGATTGTGCTGCCAGCCTTGTAGTACTTTTCCGGCGTGGCCGAGCCCCGTTCGTCGAGGATCTCCACGTGAGGAACTGCATTAAGAGGACAAATTGAATTAGAATTATTACTAATTAACTTCATTCCTGGGAATCTACTCACCAATTATCGTTAGGTAGACGAGCAGGACAAGTGGCGGATGTGAGGACACCTGGCACTCATAGGGACCCTCGTCTCGCTCATTGGCGAACTGGATGAGCAGCTTCCAATCGTTGGGCTCCTCGAACTCCAGCGAATATCTTGAGTCTCCGCTATATGTGTGCGTGCCAAAGGTAATCAAAGTGAGATCATCCCCACGTCGCCGCATCCAGGACACCGTCTTGCCCTGAAGATCATTGACCCTGCAATGCAGATAAACGCTGGACGAGAGCTGGGTGCTAATGTTCAGAGTGGTATATGGATCGGCAAAGAAGGGGAACGGTTCGTGGGTAGTCGTATCGGTGACCTCCAGTTCCTCATCCTCGGGCGTGTCGGTGAACGGCGATGAGAACTCCTGCCAAAAGTTCTTTGGAAACGTGTCGAAGGGATCGCCAGCTCGCGGCCGTTTTACTGTTTTGAAAAAATATTTAAAAATTTTTGAATAAAATATTTTAAAATCCTAATACCTAAAGAAAATTATCGACAAAGAATGTACAAATTAAGTATTTTTTAATATTCAATATATATCAATATATTCTTCTGGTTATAACTATATTTTATTATCAGATCAAATTATTGCAATATTTATTTTCCAAATATTTTTTGGATATGGATTGGAAAACAAAAAATTTAGGCTTAGGTAAAAATTGCCAAAGTTTAGTTGGGTAAAAGTTTGCGATGTGCTTAGGAAAGGCAGAAGAAGCATAAGCAGACTTACATGTGGTCGACGTCGAGCCCGAGCCGATGTGATGGAGTGAGGAGTATATAATCGCCAGTATCCAGAACAGCCTCGATCTCATCACTGCGACGGAGTATCTTCATATGCTGAGATACGGGATACAGATACAGGATTCGGGATGATGCATTAACTGGCGCCACTCACATATGGACGCGCCTGTAATCTATTCTATATCGATCCAACTCCAACTGCATCAGCGTCCCACTGCATCGCCAGCAGGATTCCACGAATTTCAATTTGCTGCTTATCGATTTCGCTCCGCCAATATATTATTTAACATAGCGTATTTAACATCTTCAGGAGTCAGGAGTCCCAAGAGTAATTTACGTGTATTTTTGTTTGACACTTTTGCAGCGCGCTGGAGGGGAAGGAAAGACGGAATTGGAAAATCGGAAAAGCGTTTATTAACCAGCTCGTGTTGCGTGTGTATTTATCCTTTTGCAACTGCTGCTTGGATAGCCAATAAGCGGGAATGTAGGTCAGGGCATGCTCTGCGCATGGCCAGCATCCGCATCCCTATTATCCTGTCAGTAGAAACCGAAACGAAACCCCCTTTCCCGAGCCCCAAAATAAATAAGAGACACCACTCACCTCTTAAGCGCAATCAATTACAAAGTGCGGTGTTTTCTAACAAAAAGAAATGATTTTTGGGAAAATGAATTTCGCATGCACTTAGTCAAAAAAGCTCTTTTTAAATCGGCGGATTTTTTAGATATATACATATGTATATATCAAGATACATCTAGACGCGTTTGCCGGCCCGTACGGTGTTGTTCCCTCACCCACAATTGCTGCGGCACTGAATCCGCTCCGAAATGCCATCATTTCTCTCGGCATCTTCGGATTCTAGAGATTTCCGCCAACTGATTGGGATCCTTAGAATCGGTTACAATATATCAAAAGTAAGAAGTTCTAAAAGAAAAAGTAAACTAAATTAGATAATTTTTAAAACATAAAGATTGTAAATATAGATAATTTACCTTTCGTTCATAATATAAATAAGCTTCAATTCAAAAACCGATAGATATCGATAGGCGAAGGATTAACGTGTTACATACTAATCTTGGTTGCTATATGGACTTGTCATAAATCAACCGTTAATGTAGCAGGCCCACTCAGAAAACGAATTTAAACTACTTTTATTGTCTTTGTTATTAAATGCATGCATATGCTGTTAAAATTTAATTGTTTATCGCACTTATTATTGAACTTCCTGCGCATGTGCAGTAAAACTAAATCTAAATCGGTGGTTGCCCTGGTTTTGTGTGTATTGGTTAGAGCATAAAACGTACACTGGCGACGTAAAAATATGTTATTTGTTTCTTTTTCTGACAAATAATAAATCTAAATCATTATAAAAATGTATGAAAAATATTTTCAGTAGCTTTAACAATTTTTTTTTTGTTGAGATTATGTTTTGTAGAGCTTTTAAGTTTTTATTTTCTTTAAAATCAAAAACGCATTCAGAACCCCTTAAAACATAACAGTTCTTAGGTAAATTAACTTTAGCTGGCACTGTTTTACAGCCGCCCTTATCGTTAATTTTTGGTGGTGTGCGTGTCCGTAAATGACATAAGTGGCACACACACACACATGCACAAACACCACCCTGATGGGGGCCCACGGATACGGGAAAAGAACCGTTCATTCGCTTTTGTGCCGTTGACAATTGTCATTCAATCGCTTTTTCCATTTCTTTTTTGTTTTCTCATTCCGCCTTATGTTTCGCCTTTCGAAGAAAACGCATATTGAATATAAATCAGCCAAGAACAAGTACGAAAACGAAAATCAAGAAATCGAAAATCAGTGCTGATTTTGAAGGGTGTGTGTGGAATTACTACGAAACGAAACACAACTACAATACGAAAAGGCAGCGCTGTTGGCAGAGACGAAAAAGCAGCGTCGTTAGCATTTCCATTTCGGCATTGCAGCTCAAAAAATCGGCGAATCAGAAACTAATCAGCCGGCAGAGGCTATAGCAGTGGTCCGATCCCGATCACGCTATATACACACCACGTTTAATAGAATCGGAATATACTACCCAGTAAATCAATGGAGGAGAACAATTCCCGAGTCCTAAGCCTCCTTGGCGGTCTAGCCATAGGAATCGTAGGCTTCCAGGTCTTTCGAAAGGTCCTGCCCTGGATTTATGCCAATGTTGTGGGTCCCAAGGTCTTTGGTTCCTCTGTCGATCTCTCAAAAATGGGCGAATGGGCAGGTGAGTCGGTTGCTAGAGAGAGAGAAAACACATCAGAAAGGAGTGGTAAATGGGGCCGTTCAAGTACACAGTGAAAAAAGCGTACAGCTAGAAAAAGTCCACATATTATTCATAAATTCTGATAAAAAAAAGAAGTGTTGTGGTATTTTAATAAGTCGGAATGTACATATGTATACTTTGACAATATTTTAATTGAAGAAACCGAGGTATTATAAAATTTGATTTAGTTTTTTTTAAAATACCTTCTTTTGAAATACACCTTCAATAATTTTAAGTGAAACATTGATACTTTATACTTTTTCACTGTGATCGATCAGAACATTCCCCACGCACCATTAATATACTGATAACCCATAGAACTCTTGGCTAACTTGTATACGTTTCAGTTGTTACCGGGTCGACCGATGGAATTGGAAAGGCTTACGCCAAGGAGGTATGTAAACAACGCCTATATGGTGACCCAATCTTGGCCAGCAATCAAAGTCCATACAAGCACAAGTAATGACTATTGCAAACGGGAAGCGGGTCAAACAAAAAAATTAATGAGTAATTAGTACTTACTGTTTTCCGAATCGTGTGTCGCCCACGATGACTTGGACATTGATATTGCGGTAGCCAATGCATTAGCCAAGTGAATCTGCACTTTGAAATCGATCTCCAGTCCCTAGGTCACTCGCAAAAATTCCCTAATGGTGTTTGCTTAACTGAAAATTTGCAGTCTTAGCACTTGTACTTTTTGTTTTTATTTATTTTTATAAAGTGCAGTCTCGGGTGTTTTTTTGTTACTTTTTTTTTTTTTAACAGGCGGTTCCCGGTCTTATTTTGTAATACCCACTTGAAATCGCAGCTAGAAGCTATAGAGAACACGTGTCGCCCGAGAAGCTATTCCTATAACTATATACATATGTATATATACATTGGTTGGAGTACATGGCTCCGCCCGGAGCTTCTGTTAATTTGACATTCTAGGTGCGTCGAACGCACAGAAAATAGTTCAACGTTCACTACAAATTTATTTTTTTTACAAGTATAGTACACTGAAAACACTTCCTGTTCTTCACATTATTTTGATTTCTACGTTTCAAACCAAAACCATGGCATATTGATCTCTTATAATAGGTATATTATTTTAAAGTCGTACAAGTAAAATCCAAGGCACTCGGCTTTTTTTTATCTTTGATCCAGAAATTAGGTAACCAAAAGTCGATAAATATAAGCAGGCTTCATTTACGATTGACAACAAAATATGAATAAATGTTAAAATTTTTCCTTAGTTGGCTCGCAGAGGACTGAAACTAGTGCTAATCAGTAGATCCCTGGAAAAGCTAAATGTGGTGGCCAAGGAAATAGGCAAGTCAACTCATCAGATACATTTAACAGCTCTAACTTTAATCGCTGTTTTTGGCATACTTTTAGGTGATAAATACGGCGTGGAGGTGCGCGTGATCGATGTGGACTTTACCGGTGGCGTCGAGATCTACGACAAGATCCACGACAAGACCATTGGCCTGAATATTGGTGTGCTCGTCAACAATGTGGGCATTAGCTATAGCCATCCCGAATACTTCCTGGACTGCTACAATGCCGATCCGAACTTCCTAAGGAATATTGTGGCTGCTAACATTCATTCGGTGACGCATATGACCGCCCTTTTCCTGCCCGGCATGATTTCTCAGCGTCGTGGAGTGATCATTAATCTGTCGTCCACCGCTGGAGTCATTCCCAATCCCCTGTTGAGCGTGTATAGTTCCACTAAGGTCAGAGTTTTACTGCTTTAAATTTTTTCAAACCATCTCTTTCTAAATCCAAAAAATTTTCAGGCATTTGTAAACAAATTCAGTGACGATCTACAGACAGAGTACAAGGAGCATGGAATCCTTATTCAGAGCGTTCAGCCTGGTTTTGTAGCAACCAACATGTCGAAGATCCGCAAGGCTAGCGTGTTTGCTCCATCACCGGAAACATATGTTCGCTCAGCGCTGTCCACCTTAGGCATTTCCACTCAGACCGCTGGCTATCTACCCCACGCTCTGCTCCAGTTGGTCATCCACTTTACGGAGGCTGTCTTCGGCGAGCAGTTCGCTCGCAGCGTGGTCTTAAAGAATATCCTAGGCACCCGAAAACGTGCCCTTCGTCGCCTGGCCAAGGAGCAGTAAAGAGTTCCACATAAGATACAGCGGAGAGGGCGTGAAGGCATTTATTCGGAGTTGGTTGTGGTGGAGAGTCAGTTGGGTTGTGGGGAAGATCCGGCTAGTCATATATGTAGCTTATGAAGTCACAGCGTGTCATACGAATCAGCAAACAGAAAGCTTAAAAATACCAAAAATGTTTCCCAAATAAACTAAGTCTAGTTAGTTTTTGTCATTGAATAACATTGAAGATTCCCAACCAGTCATGTCATGTAAACAATAATAAAATTTGTGCAAGCGCAAAGTCACTGGATATACATATGTACATATTTATGTATGTATATATGCATATATGTGATTTCTAATGACAAACAATGGTTTTTATTTACAGGCCTTAGAGATTAAGTATTTAAAGGCAGATCAGTAGTTTTCCTTTTTTATTTAACAGAAACTAAAATTTTTCAAAATAGTTAAAATCCATATCTAATTCTTATTAATTTTATATTATACTTTTCCCATAACATATTTTACTCGGTAATGCTTTTTTTGATTTCCTGTTTTTTGATATATAAATGAAATTTGAATTTCAACTGAAATTTGAATGCGTACCGATAGCGGTAGTTTCGATGACGACCTAAACTATCGATGGATCATCGATGGGCGAGCCCTTCGGTCTATCGCCGAGATGATAGATACAATATTTCGCGCAGGGCGAAGCAACGGCAAAAATCATAAACATAACAGTAAAGATAGTGGATAGCCGGGCGTGAAAGCGGACTTATGACGTGTTATCACGGGCTAGGCCGATAAGCCCTAGGGGAGAGCACAACTGCGCAGCAGCAGCGCCAAAAACAACAACAACCAGAATCAAAGGAGTGTGTAATCAGTAATCAGAGTGTCGCTTGTTTTGATTGCCTCGGAAACGAAACAAAACGAAATGAAACTCCGCTCCGGATAAAGCTGACCAATTCAATCAACTTGTTGCGGATCCGTAGCGTCGCCCAGTATTGATTTAGCACACATAGCTTACAGTTGTGATTCCGATTTCGATTCCCAGCCAACCAGCTGTCTTTGGTTTCGCCTGTGCCTGGTGTCTCTGCTCTACCCATATATTCTATATGCGACGCTTCTCCAAAAAAAAACCGATACAGTACGATACTATACCATATTTGTGTTCGTTTTTCATTCGTAGAGCGTAGAAGAGGCGGCGAAGGTAGTAGTAGTAGAGGAGGAGGAGGAGTAGGAGGTGGACACCATACCAAAGCGGAATTGACGCAATTGAGAACTATTTTTAATGGTCAGCGGGTCGAAAATGTATGAAACTCATCAAATATTCAGAAGACAAGCAGCCAATAAGGCGAAGAGGCAGTGAATCGGAAGTCCGGAAACGGGAGTCAATTGACCGATGGAATCAGAGGAGTACACAGTGGGCGCGATGGAGACTCGTCGTTTGCCTCTGTTTCCCATTGAACCGGAGCCATCCGTAACGACTACGCAGCGCTTAACGCTTCTGGCTACCAGGTAAATCTAAAAAATAATTTACTACCATTCAAATAAACTAACTCAAAAATCTTTTACAGACTACTACGTGTTTTGCAATTAAACTGGAGGATTATTGTCTCGGGCATCACACTTACACTGTTGGCCGTCATCTGGTATTATCCCACCTTCTTTCTGTTCTTCGCCTTCGTAGTCTATTCTCTAGTCTTGGTCTTTGCGGGTAAGTCTTCCGCTTCCATTCCAGGGCATTGAAAATTAAAAGATTGGGAATGAGTCACCTTATCAGACAATCAGTTCCGAACGAGCGTCCAATTAAAATTGCCAAATATCTAATTGCCCTAATCTCGCCGACAGCTGTGGCCGGCACTGTCTATATCCATTATATATTCACCACCAACGATCCGACGCCACCAAGTCGCGTGCCCTCGCGACTGCTCTACAATGCCACCAAGTAAGTTTCGGACTTTGTTCTATACATATTTACATACATACATATATTTTATATCTCTATATCCTTGGCCCAACAGAAGCAACATCTTTGATCTGCCCAAACCCATCAAGAATCCATCGAATCTACCCTTGATATTTGGAAAAACAGTCGATCTGCAACTTCAGCAGATCATTGAGTATGTGCTTCGAGATTTTATGCTGCCCTGGTTAGGGTAAGTCCATCTTTTGACACCGTAGAAACCGACAAGTAATCGTTGACTCATATTTCAGCTACGTAGTCACCAAGCCCAAATTAATCAACGATGTGGTGCGCGAGGATTTGTGGAATGCTATACAGAAGATCCATGAACGGGCCACCAGAATGGACGCCGCAAAGATCATAGCTGTGGACATGGTCAACCGGGTGACTGTACATCTGGAGAAGATCCGCATTGCGGAAGCCAGAGCGTGAGTCTTTTTATTTAAAATATTTATTATTTTACGGACTGACGGTAACCTTAACAAATGTCAACCATTTTTAAAAATTTTAATTTGAAATAATTTGAATACAAAGATTTTCCATAAAATTTGAAGATTTATCTTAATAACATTTTTTTTAATCATGCTTCAAACAAAGAAGTTAGAATTCCGATAAGATATTGGCATTTTTCCGTTTTATATGGGAATTTAATAACGAACCAACGAATGACTATTTTCGGCTATGGGTAAAATACTATTATTGGGGGGACTAACCAAATTTTGCATTTTTGATAAGGGGCAAAAAGTCAAGATAAGCAAAAGGTTACATTAAAGTTAATTTGCCTATTTATTTGAAATCATGGAAGAATGCTGCGCACTGCATATTAAATTAAATATAATTTATATGCGTCAGACAATAGCCATCAATTACTAAGCATCAATTCAATAATCGGAAAGGCCGTACCTGGGATTACTCTATTGCTTTCGATTGTTAAGGTTTTATGCAGCATAATAAAAAATTAATTATTAATGAATATTTTAAAAAGCAACCTTTTTAATTACTAATGCTCCCTACCTAAATTAAATAATTGTTATCCTTTTTCTAGAGCTGAAACCAACACTCCGCCCGTTTTTAGTACCAACTCGTACCTCGCTGATGAGGAGAAAGAGATGGAGTTCCTGCGCAAGCTATGCGAGATTATGGTGATCCTATTGCTGCCCCGCGGCTACTCCCTACCCCCATTGAAGGTTCTACTCAGCGAAATTCTCTCTTACAAAAGTTAGTAATGGTTCGGAACACGAGTATATTCAATTTATATTGATAAATCCTATACGCTTAGTATTTTTTCCGATGATCAAAATGCTAACAGCACCAGATTACATCAACCAGAAGGTAGTGCAGAACATAGAGACTCGTTTGGCGGCGGCAGCGATGAGCAAACGGAGCTACGAGTATGCGGCAAGTTTTGAGGATTTTCTCAAGATTATTAACAACTCGGGCAACCTCGAGGAGCTCTCGCTCATACGCAAGAGCATTGTCAACGACCTCATGCATGCCACCACCATGCAGAACTTACAGCGTGCCAAAGGCCTCGATCCGGATCACGAGGACCATTCACTCTCCAAATCGGAACTGACGGCTGCCGTCAGGCTGAAGCGATACGTTCGGCAGCTCACGATGGCTAAGGGCGAGTGCGAGAAGAACCTGGCCAAGTTCGGCTGGAATGGCAATTATTCCAGCGATATTGTATGTGATCACTAATGCTTTCCATTTCTAAAGTACTGATTATTATAATTTTTTGTTCAGGACCTAACGCTTGTTGAGATCCTGAACACTGCGGTTGGTCGGCGCTACTTCACCCTGTTCCTGGAGCCACTTAAAGCGAGCGCATTGATTGGCTTCTATCTGGCCGTAGAAGAGATAAAGCACGCGCACAAGTCGGCCAGTCATCAGCTAGGTACCGAAATCTTTTACACTTATATCCGGGTGCCCAAGTCAGAAATCCAGATCGACAAGCACGAGCGCAAGTTGATAGAGACGTTTTTGCTAGGGGATGCCGAACCAGATATTTTCTACGACATCCAGCGCAACATACTGCGGACGTTGGAGGAAAAGTATTATCCGCCATTCGTGCTGAGCGATCAGTATCGTCAGCTTAAAGAGGCACTGGATTCAAATGAAATCGCAGATCCTACTCTACTAATATGCCACAACATTGGTGATACCGCGGAGCCTCTGACAGATGAGCAACCGGGAGTATCGGATGGATTAAATGGCGGAGCCGGTGGAGCCATCGATGTAGCCGCCCATACGTCGTATGCACGACGAAAATTGGAGCAAATACAGGAACGCATTGACAAAAAGAACCAGGCGCTGGACGCCCTAAAGTACTCGGTGAAACCAGAGTCCAAGGTGCTATCTATTCTCGAAAAGGAGATGGAGTGGCTGAAGAGCGAGAAGCGTCAGACGGAAGCGCATTTGCGACGCACTGACGCCTGGACTGAGCACTTGGGCAAGTGGAAGGCCACTATCCAGAGCGTAGAGGTAAATGCCTATTATCTGAACAACATAAAATAATGATTTATAAATTCTATGCTGTCTCCAGGTATCCGATGAGAAGGAATCGTTGCAGTTTATGATCCTTGTTCATGTGGATGAAGATATTAATGCCCCAGTTCAACCGACATTATCCAAAAATGGCGACAGCGGCCATGCTAATTTACGAAAACGACCCTCAGGCATCTCCAGTGGCTGGGTTGTGATGCGCTCCCTTAATCAAGTGCACGTGTGTATTTCCTTTAAATTAATATGATAAAAGTTCTTTGAAATGACTTAAATTTTAAATAATTTTGTAGGAGCTGCAGCGAAAGCTGAGGCACGTCAGCTCAAATCTGAAAGCCATCGACCTGCCTACGAATTTCAAGTTCTTCTTTCTGAAAACAGATCGACATGGACAGGAAAAGGCCAAGGCACAAATTCAAAAGTTCTTGAACGTAAGTTACTGTTTTAACCATAGCATATAAAGTTTTACTTATCTTCCAACTTAGTTCATCCTGGAGGATGACCATCTGAATGGCAGCGAGGCGATCTACACATTTCTTAGCCCCAGCTCGGATCACCTGAAGCAATCGCTACCCTCGCCAAAAAAGTCTAAGTTCTCGTTGGCTACACTATTTCGCAGCGATGCTGGAAAGGCTCACGAGGCCAACAAAGCTACCGATCCTTTTTGGGGGCTTCAGCGCGACGACGAAGACATATCCACTTATCTAGATGGTGAGTCCGGCGTTGAGGCTAAAATGCTAGCTTCGGATTTGGACAGCAAGGATTCAATAGCAGAACCGATGTACGCCTTGATGGGCGAGATCTTCGATATGGGCGGGGTCTTTAAGTGGCTGCGTAAGAGCCTCATCTCTTTTGTGCAGATCACATACGGTCGAACGATTAACCGACAGATCCGGGAATCGGTAGCCTATCTTTTTGAGGAGTCTATGCTGCACAACTACTTTTCGGCCATCCTCAAGTCTTTTTGGCCGGGTGGCGTCTTGGCCTCGGCATATCCGACGCGATCGGACGATATGCGCGAGATGACTACAACGGCTGCTAAGGCACTGCTAACCGACCACATCCCAGAGGTGCTGTGCAACCTGGTCGGCGCACAAGCAGCCAAACGAGGTGTCCTAAAGGTGTTCGAGGCCCTGCAGAATCCCGCCTACAACAAGCAGTTATTCTACGTAAGTTGTGGGGTTTCCACTTGCAAAATAAATAGCTTACTTGTATTCATTGCATACTGACGTAATTAATATATGTTTTTATCTTTAGGAACTGCTCGAGATACTCATGATTGAGTTCTTTCCCGAAATTCGCCAACTTCGGGTCAACAATATAAATGGAACCAAATTAAATACGGCCACAGCTGGAGCGGCCGCTGCCTCCGCTGCAGCTGCATTGGTGGCGGCCACAGCTTCCGCTAACCTCTCCTCTTTAAATCACAGCGGAGGAAGTTCATCTGCGGTGGGGCACCAGAACCATCAGGGGTCGTCAACGACGAGTGGATCCTCAGTAGGAGGAAGTGGCTCCATCGGTGGTAGTGTAGCGCTGCACCATCAATCCCACTACCATCATGCATCCCACCACCACCAACAGCAGCAGCACCACCACTCACAGACGGGCAGCTCCAAGTAGGGACAAGGTCCCACTTTTACTCTAATTTAACTTAAACTTTTTTTAAATTATGTTTTTCCTTTGATTTTATGTTTGATGTTTAGTGCTTTCTCTTTCTCAGCGGTGTATATTCATAAATTGGCCGGAGAAAGGAATTACAAAGAATAGTTATGTAGAAAAGAACACAACTCAGTAGTTATCAGTATCATTCCCTGTACAAATGCAGATTTCAGTCCTTGTTGATTCGTTTGTCCAACACTTCCTGTAGCCAGATTTGTTTGTTATGTGTATATGTCTGTACATAGGTCAGTATTAAGCGTTGTACCAAATTGTTGTTTATATACTCGTATAGTGAAATATGACACTCAGCTTGTATTGATTATATTATTGTTTATTGATCCCAAAGTTGACAGACAGGAGATATTAAATCGAGGCGTATTAAAGGTGCGTCCCATGGCCATAAGGCACGTGAAGAGGTCACAACTTTCGTAACTTTTGCAGATTTTCTAAATCATCTAAACTTTTTTTGGGGTTTAACGAGGTTTAATCATATTTTTATCATCTGGTGATTCCTTAATAGCAGGATTTTATTTGTATGTTTTTAGTTCTTTAATGATTTCGAATTTGTATTTAATTAATTATTTGTTAAACACTAGTATTCTTTAATTAAAACTCTTTTTTGTAATTTTCCCAACTGACCAAAAATACTATTTTAAATTTTAATAGACATAATTGTTAAGAGCTTTGGTGTTAAATAACCTTTATAACTAAGCGTTGGTTAAAGCTGTCTCAAATACAGTGCGTTTGATAACAATAAAACAGTTGTAAGTCAGGACTTCAAAGAAGCGTTAATCCTAAAGCATTTTGGGTAATCCAATTGCATTTTGATACCAAGATTAAATACACGGATTTAAATTAGTTGATTAAATGATGGCCGAAAACTGTTTTATGGACCTAATACGCCCCTATAGCCAAACACCACCCAACCAGCCCACTCTAGCACTGGGCAAAATTGCACTACGACGATTCATCCCAGTGAGCCAAACGTATCCCACTTAAGACCCCACATCCAGGCAGAGTTTCTAGGCGCTTTCAATCTATTTATGTATTGCAGTTGTACACTTTTATGTGAAAATGCGAAATAAAGATCGCTATTTATGTAGATTTTGGTGCCTTTTTATTGGATTACATCTAGAAAACGGTTATCTTTTCGACAAGCTTCTCCAAACGAATGGATTTCATATCGACGACCACAACCATGATATTCTTGCGCATTCCGGTGGGCTTTTTTACGAGCAATCTTACCTCAAAATATTTCAGCAGGAAACGCCATTTCAGTTCGCTTTTGTCACGCTCGGCCAGTTGCTCAAAATCGTCCGCACGGAGGCCAAGAATCCGTTCAGCCGGATTGCCAGCTAACCGGGTCTCAACAAGTGTGCCCGTCTGGTCGGAAAACTGAATATTAATGTTAAAGTAGCTCGTATATTTAGGACGATCATTGTTAAGCAAAAAATCCATTTGACAGGTTTCGGAAGCGCAATCCTTCAGGTTGTGAAGTATGAGACGTTGGCAGGCGGTGCTGAAATGACACAAAGTTTTAGTAATAGTTTATTAATTTATTTTATGAGAAGGCTTTCCATACGAATTTAACCAAAGGACTTGCCATTTTCTGTTGATGTGGGAGGATAGTCCGTCCAAATCGAATTTGGTGATCATACCATACAGCACAGCTGTAAATTGATTTGTTGAGACATTCTGCAGTTCACCCTCGGCGCGGGAGTATATCTGTCTGACCGTCATTTGGTTCTGGATGCTAGCAGCTAAAGGGTATTTATTAAAATAACCTCAATTAATAAACATTACTCACCTGCAGGCAGGTTATCCAACTCCATCTGGGCGCAGGTATCGAAAGTCTTGAGTTCCACTGTGGTGGCAAAAGACAGCAACAGGCTACAATCCTCACCAACCACCATGGGATTTTCGCAGATAAGCGTACAATTTGAATGGGAGAGCACGGGGCAACAATGGAAGTCCGAGTAGGACACCCGCACATCGACCAAATGCAGGATAGTACGACGGGGTTGCCATTGCTGGGCACGTCGTATCCAATCCGATTGCCAAATGGAAAGCAGCATGCCGTCCGGATAACTGACATCGATCACAATAACCTCAAGGCAGTTCAACAATTCCTGGGACTTGTTGTGTGCCACCTGCAGCTTTCGTTTGATCTGTCGTACTGGACGTACACAAGCTACTGCCACCAGTAAATTTACATGGGAGGTGATTATCTTATCGGATGATCCTAACCTAGAACACACATCTTTCAGCTTAAGGGTTGCGCCAAGTGGCTTTATTGGACACTGGAGAAGCTGCTGGAGGATTAGTATATTGCCAGAGTCGTCTTGGTCGTGTCGCACCACATATCCGGAGCCTTCGTTGACAACCAGGGCGCAAGAGAGCGTTGCTTGTGGCTGATAACGCTGATCAACGGCCGGAATACACATCACCTTGGCGCCCACAATATCTACCACATGACCAATCTGCAACATGGAGGAGTACTCATCCACACAGGCACGCTGTCCCCAGCATTTGCAATTGGTAAGGTGATTAGGGGAATCTCGGATCGTTAAGTTAATTACACCTCGTTCGGTGCCACTCATTTTGTCAAAGAATATATTAGGTGAGGATTTGGATACAATCAAGGCTATGGTGGAGAAGTACGTCATTGTGGGCTGCATCTCAGCCAGACGCTGGAATTTATCTCGTTTTGCCATTTAATTATTAAAGATATTTCGACAATATAGCTTGCAATAGAAAAAAAACCGCTATATTTAAAACGGTCGATAAGTTTTATCGATGTTTCCATGGATAACAGCATAGAAGCGAATCAGTGTAAAATTTAATCTATTACCAACACTAGGCACATATTAATTTATTTATCTTTTAGAGAAATTGCGACATTAAACACTTCCTATTTGTAACAAATATATTTGATGATCTGTATATTTAAAGTATATATACTTAAATTACAAAACAAAAATGGCACTTAAATTGGGTAGTATAAAAAGTAATTCTTAATCTGTTAGCTTCCGTATTTTCGAAAATCGAGAAAAATTGCTTCTGTATTTTCTTATATTTGCTTAAATTACAGAACAAAAATGGAACTTAAATTAGGTAGTATATTTACAACTTAGGATTGCGCCAAAAAGTAATTCTTAATCTGTTAGCTTCTGTATTTTCAAGAATCGATAGAAATTGCTTCTGTGTGCCATCGCTGGTGCCCTGTCGTACCATCCCCAAAAGCTGACACACATATGTGCACATACACACACAAACAGGAAGTGTTCCCAGATTTAATGCGTTAAACAAACTCACTTGTCGGACTTTCCACGGTTGCCAGCGCCCAGAAACTTAAACCCTTCCGCCAGAGGAACTAAGGATAAATCAGGACAAGCGTCTAGTAGAAAGATAACATTCGAGAAGAAGCATTCCGCTTGAGAAATAACCAGCAACTCGCGACCCGCAAATCTACACAGCCCCATTAAAAATGGTCAAGCTGTTCGCTCTGAGCATCTTCCACAAGGGCGCCAGCGAGGCGCGTCTCTTAAAGACTGCAGCCGATCTACAGTCCTTCTCATTTTTCCAACGTGGCACTGTCAACGAATTCATGACGTGAGTATGCAAGTGGATGTCACACAAGGGCGCAGGCTCGAACACTCATCAACCACAACCACCCCTTCCTCTTGCAGCTTCGCTTCCAAGACAATTGTGGAGCGCACACAGCCGGCCCTGCGGCAATCTGTCAAACAGGACGCCTACATGTGTCATGTCTATGTGCGGGCGGACAGTCTGGCCGGTGTCCTGATCGCCGATCATGAGTATCCGCACCGCGTGGCGCACACACTCATCACAAAGATCTTGGACGACTTTACGGCTAAGGTGTCGGCGGATCAATGGCCAAATGGCACGGAGGCCACCATATCGTTTGATCTGCTGCCAGCGTTTCTAGCACGCTATCAAAATCCTGTCGAAGCGGACCCTTTAACGAAAATGCAAAACGACCTGGACGAGACAAAGATCATTCTGAAGAATACCATCGAGGCGGTGCTGGAGCGAGGCGAGAAACTGGACGACATGGTCAGCAAGTCGGAGAAGTTGTCACTGCAGAGCAAGGCGTTCTATAAGACGGCGAAAAAGACTAACTCGTGCTGCAGCTTCACATAGGCGCACCACCCACCGTCATTCTCTCACTACACTGTAATCCTCTCAAGCAACAACAACAGGAAACACCAGATAACGGAAATAAAAGACAACACGAAGGATAACACGATAACACCAACAAACAAAATAAAACCAAACAAAGTGCTAGGGAGCTGCGTGGCTTGGAGTTTGATAATTGCTTTTTATAAATGAATTAGTTAATTTTATATACTATATATACTATACTGTATGATTAGGAGGGCCAGTTGCCAGTTATGTAAGCCCACTAACCCAATGTTTACTCGTCTGTGGATCATCAGATCCTGTTTGTATATGTCTACGCTTTTGGAAATCTGGATGTTAAATAACATTACAAATTACGATCTAAACCCATGTACTGTTCTCGTATCTGTTCCGGAGATCTTAACTTGTCTCTTAGCTACCTATTGATGTTGTGGGCTTTGTTATCGCCTCTCCGGCGGAGACAATTATGTCGGTAGGCAGCACTTATACAAGCGCCGTCGCACATTCGATCTGGGCAACTGGAGATCAAATTGTGTGGGCGTTTCAATAAAAAAGTATTATGGAAAAGTGATTTGAATCTAGTGCGTTTTTACTACTTCTCTAGTTCTCAACGTATACTATTCTGATCTGATCTTCCGTTTTATTCGACTTAAATCTAGTTCCCAAAACCCCAAACAAATCCGAGAAAAAATATTTAAATTTAAAAGTGATTTTTGTTGGCGTTTATTTATTATATAGAAGATATCTATTTCGCTTCTTGTAAAGATTTCCGTTACATATTTCATAAATTTGCGTTTTTTTACGTTTTCGTGTTTAACATTTTGGGATTTAGGACGATGGGAAATTTGGGTTGTCCAATTACTAAATGAGGACGGGGTTGTGTTTATGGGATCGTATAACTTAGTATAAGATAGGTAAATTGATTAAAATTTAATTATCTCCGTTAGTTTTCGGCCTTCTTCCGTATCGGTTTTCTTGTGTTTTGCGACGAAAAAAAAAGGGGAAGGCGGTGCATTATAAATATGTATATGCATTATAATGCATACCTATATCGTTCAGTAATAATTAATATAATATTGTGTGTGCTAACTTAGCTTAAGCTGCAAACATTCAATCAAACGCGTTTGCTTTGCTTTTCGTTTATTAATTTGCATAAACTTTGTATGCATATATGAATATATACATATGCATCGATATATATCAACTAATTCTTCAGTTGCAATTTGTGTTAGTGATCTATAGTAATATTTAGAATTTATTCAAATGGTTTGCTTTGAATATATGCAAGTGTAAATATTATTTGATGTAATGTTCTAAATGCACGCTCCTTCAAAATGGCTTAGAATTTGCATTTATGTATGTTTTCTGGTGTTTTGTTTTTGCTAAAATTTGCATTGATCATCACAACAAATGAAAATCAAGAAAAGTTCTCCTCCTTTTCAAATCAATAAAATAAGTGTATGTGCGGCTAGGTGAGTTTTGTATTCGTTTAAAAACTAGTTTGGATAAATTGTTGGCTTGCTTGCTTTTGATTGAATTTTGTATTATTTAGGACTCATTGGGTGTCCCGTTTTATCGAAATACAAGTAAGGTTCTAACGTGTTTCGTTTACGCAGCTGTTATCACAATGGGTTTTGGTTTAAACTTCTTTTTATTATTTTTAAGTTAGTTCCGTCTGCCGAAGGCAAAATTTAGCTTATAACATATGATCTGGCTGATGCTGAATGATATTGCCCAACAAATCTGGTGTTTTATAGTTTCTTTTTATAACCCTCAAAAACAGCTAACTTTGGCGCTTAAAAGTATGCTTGTTTTTCTGTAGGTCTTGTATGTACAGTAAACAATATAGGATTTTTGTATTAGGTCCTTTTGCTTTTTTCCCACTGCAATACATATGTAAAAAGTTCGTTTTGTGTTTGTATCCTCTATAAAAAAAATTTTGTTTGGGTGAATTCGATGTGTCTCTGTGTGTGTATGTTTATTTATGTGTGAGTGAGTGGGTGTGTGCGGGAATTTTTTCTGCATTATTGGCACTTGTGCGGGACGCACCGTAGCGGTAAATGCATTCACTTTATCGACTTTATCGATATTGACACATGTATGTCCATACATACACATATATATTTTGGTTTACCAACGAAAAGCTTAAAACGAAACAAATAAAAAAGTTAAACAAGTGCAAAAACAAAAACTAAAGCAAAACGCCTTTGTGTTAGGTGTGTTTGTGTTTGAAACGATTTTAGTTCTCTAAGTAAACGAAACAAAAAAAATAATAAAATAAAAAAACTATACAAACTATCGAAATAACGGCACTTCGTTTCGTTTCTCCGTTATTCGCTTGTTCTTGCTTCAAACAATTGAATTCATTTTGTTTTTGGCTTTAGTCTTTCGTCTTTATTTTTGGTTACATTTTTTCAAAAGTTGCAATTCTATACTTTCAAAAATATATGTATTTGCGAATTTCTATCGTTTTAAATCTATCGTTTTAAGAAGAAACTGCGAGCGAGAAATATATCGTATAAGGGGTGGGGCGGAGGCTGAGAGAGATAGAGCGATCGATCAGGACTTAAACGAAGGGCTTTCCTCCAAAGTGAAAAGGGGAAAAAGAATTGTTCACTTTTCCCTTCTTTTTTTTCGAAGTTTTCGGTTTCAGTTACTCTTAAATTTTATCAGTTTCAACTTCTTTTGCTCTTTTTTTCTCTCTTTTTGTTTTGATTTTGTGTTTCCGTATTTTTTGCTTTTTTTTTTAGTTTGTTGATTGGTTTGTATGTTTTTCGCAGTGTGTACACAACAACTTATAGATAAATACAATACAAATATCGCGCTCTGTAGTTTTATTTCTTCAAAAAAGAATGTATGCCTCAAGTCATCCATAATACATTATATTTTAGACATCAGACATTGTCTATAAGCGACAACGACAACGACAATAATACAAATACATAACATATATTCATATTCCTCTTCTGATTCAGATACTGATTTCGATTCAGATACAGCTTCATTTTTGGCTGTCTCTGCTTCAGTTTCAGTGTTTTTTGGCCTGGCCTTTTTGGGGGCACTGCGTTTACTTCATTTAAATTGGTTATTAATTAGTATTTTTGTATTTTCGTTTTGTTTATATAAGTCTATCACATCATCACAATTCGGTTGCATCAAAATCATAATTAAAAAGTAGAAAATTATAAAAAAAAAGAAATTAAAACGTTATTTCACTTGGTAAATTTGCGTATATATACGCCTAGAGTAGGTACAAAAAATAATATTATTTATTTGTAGTTTCCATTTCCAATAATGTTTAATATATATCAAAAAACAAAACTAAAGACCCCGGAAAAAACTTACATAATTGAAATGAAAATAAAAAATGAACTTCCTTCTCTATGAATTATATATGTAGATCTATATAAAAAAGTTTTCGAGTTTTCCCCCTTTTGCTTTAAAAAGAGATCCTTGTGTTGACGATGTACACTATATAAATAGTCCCTTTTTTTTCCCAGATTTGTATTTACTAAAAAGAAACCGTACACGTAGAAAACTAATAAAAAAAAAATAATGAAATTACTAAAATGTTTCTTTCACTCTCCCCAAACGGCTAACAAATATATATATGTATATATATATATATAATATAATCTACATGACTTTCATCTATTTGCTTGTGTATTCTTTTTTTCACACAATTTGCTGTGTAGAATATTCCCTTGTGTCCGTTACGTCTTCCAAACTTCTTCGGTTTTTTGTACTTTCCCGTGGCGAAGGACAACGCACTGCTTGCAACAACTTGGACAACTGCTTGGACAGACGATATTTGGATATATTACTGCTAACTATATAACTGGAGCTGCCAATAAATGTTACTACTATCTATTCACTTGTACTGAACTCTGACCAAAAGTATTTGGAAGAGGGCGCAATTGACAGAAAATTAAAAAAAAAAATGAATATACGAATGGGGAAAACGGAAAAGAGCTTTTTGGAATAGTCAGAAGTATGCATTATGTTTGCTGTATTATTATTATCATTATTTTCGTGTGGCATTGCTTGGCATTATTCGATCTTCTAACCAGGTTTAGTGTTCCACATGCTATTCCTCCTGTTTCATGTTCGCTTTACTTGTCTTTATGGATGAATGTGGCGTCTTTTCTTTTTTTCGCTTTCTTTTCATTTTCAACTGCTTCTGTTCTTTTGTCTTGGAATAATTGAAAAATTTAATTGTAATTTTAATTTTTTTTTTCAAGTATTTGCATAGAACTTTTGAAAAAACCTCGTTAATTTATGCGAATGTTGTGTTAAGGGGGGTTATTTATAGAATTCTATAACGTGTCTTAAACAAAATGAGTTTTTATTTTAATCTTCATTAAAAATCAAGCTCGAATATACATATGTATACATATATTTAGTATACACATATATGTATAAAAATGGGAAATTAAATGGTAACTGTAAATTTGCCTGTCCTTGTGGTGTTATGTGTGTGTGTGTGTGTTTGTCGATTTGGGTGTGTGCTTGTGTGGGGTGGTTGTGTAAATGTTCTCCCATTGCATCAATTGCATTATTATTATCGATTGATTAAATATTATTTCTTTTTTGTTAGTCTTCCTTTAACATACTTCCTACCAAAGCAGCGCTGCCCATCCCTTTTTTTGCTCCTATTTTGGATTTGGCCAAAATATAGGTGTATATTTGTATATCTCAACCGTTAGCTGCGTTTTTTTAAATGGAATTTGTGTAGAATTTCTTCAGTTTTCCCTTTGTTGTAATTGTTTGTTGCAAATTTTGCTTGGCTATATGTATATAAAATAATTAAACATGTTTTTAAATGTGTGTTATTATAAGCAAACCGTTCATTTCTTACCAACCAAGTTAGTAAAAAGGGTTTTTTTCGATCCCTTCTTTTTTTTTTCTTGACAATTTTCGAATTCATTTTTTTTTTGGTTTCGTGCTAGTGAGTTTTGTTTTTAGCTTCGTGTACAGATGAATATATATATATATATAACATAATTAGTAACAGTGTCTGTTTGTTTCTAGTTTTAATTTTGCTTGTGTTTGCCTGGCGGAAAAGAAATAATAATAGCCCTACTTAATTCTTTTTAAACATTCGAGAAACATGCAACTGTCAGTGTGTGTGTGTGTTGATGCCGAAAAGCCTAAGAACTACAATAATTTTTTCACTTTCGAGGTGTTCTTGTTTCGTGTTACCTTGTTTTTGGAAAACTTAAAAGGATATTTACGAGGTCGATGATCCGTGTGATGTCTGTGTGGATAAGAAAAGTCTATTATAAATGAATAACTAAAATACGACGGAAACTTACCCCTGGTTATTGATGTTTTAGGTTGTTTGTCCAAAGAACAGTGACGAATGAAAAGTCGAGTGGAGAGTTAAGGGGATTGGGTAGGAAAGGGGGGTTGTAGGTCAAATTTTATCGCAAACACAAACTGCAAATGCTTCAATGAGCGAAAGAGAACACAATAAATACTAATATTAGTAGTAGGGAGAAAACAAAGTCAATTTTTTCGCTTTAAATTTAAAGAGCAACTCCGCTCTTATATGTTTGTAAATTATATCCTTTTTTCATTTCTGATCGTGTGCATTGGGATTTCATGACTGTGGGTAATGGTTAATTGTTTGTTGTCCATGCCGTTGGTGAAGTTGCTGTTGTTTTTTAAAGTTATTGATAAATCTGCTGTTGTAGCTCTCCACTATCCACTTTTATTCTTTCCGAGCGCATGCATTTTTATTGGTGTCCTGCCTGCTCTATGGTCTGTCCAGGTCCTGGCCCGGGTCCTGCCACGGCTGGTGCAAATTGGTGATGTTGAGCGGCATAATAAGTGGCCGGCATGCTAAACTGATTGGCATAAGGATTGGTGCCCGGTGCTGCAGCTGTCGTCAGCACACCGGCAGCATCGTACATGTAGGCAGCTCCGGGAGCCGGAGCCACAGCTGCGGCACGTCCGGCTGCTGCTGCAGCTGCAGCAGCTACAGCCGCAATCGGTGGCGAATTGGCTGGCGTGTAATGAACCAGCGAAGTGGTAACAGCAGCCGGTGGCGGCGGTGGAGCGTATTTGTTACTATCATCCTTGGGCGGTTTGGGCTGCTGACCTCCCTGTTGCACCTGCTGTTGTTGCTGTTGATGCTGCACAGCCTGTTGGCCATAGTGGGGCACTCCCTGCTGTTGGTATTCTCGCTTTGGATACTGCTGGAATCGTGGTGGCATTCCACCGGCTCCGGCCCCCTGCGGCACAAATTGTCCACGGCTACGGTACGCCTGTGGGATGTACTGACCTCCATGCTGGGCCGTCATGTGTCCCTGGGGGCCACCGCCAACACCAGCCGCTCCACCCACACCGCCTGCTCCACCACCGCCGCCTTGGTGGCCCATTATGGCACGTGGTCCTCCATTGTTGAACGGAGTTCTTGGACGATAGGTGTTGCCATTTCGTTGCTGTTGACCGCCGGCGCCATCCTGTCCGATTTGGTTCATGCGGTTCCAATTTCCACCGCCACCACCACCATTCTGCTGATAGTTATTGCCGCCAGCGGCATACTGCTGGTAGCCAGTTGGTGGGCCTCCGCGGTTATTGTTATAGCTGTTGCCCGCCTGGTAATTCAACGGGTTATTGTTGCGTTGCTGATAAACGCCATTGTGACCGCCAGTATTGCGATCTCCGCCGCCATTGTTGTTCCAACGCTTGTTGCCGCGATATCCTCCCGAGCTGGGCATCGAACGTGCCAAATCCAAAAGAGCTTGAGACGGCGTCTGGCCAGCCTCTTCGAGTACAGAAATAAGCTCACGAGCCTGCTTGGCATTGTCGGGTGTGAAGAAAGTGTAGGCAGTACCCAGTTGCTGGCACCGTCCAGTGCGTCCGATACGGTGCACATAGTTCTCAGAGGAATTGGGGTAATCATAGTTAATAACGTACTGCAGGTCCTCCACATCAAGACCTCGTGAGGCCACATCGGTCGCAATTAGAATATTAGACTTGCCATTACGGAAATCCTTCAACACAGAATCACGTTCATTTTGTGTCTTGTCGCCGTGAATTGAGGTGGCAGTGTACCCCTCGGTACGAATGATTTGTAAGATGTCTTCCACCTAGATGAGGGCAAGGAAATAGATGGGAATTAATAGGGAACTTAAGAAGTTAGTAACTTAAAAAATTCCTGCTGTTTACAAGTATCGATTTTTTATTAGTCACAAACATTTTACTGCCGCGGGCTAGCAGCCATTTAAGTATTGAAACAAGTCAGGAAATATTCGATATTTACAAAGGAATTCTGTACGATATATGATATTGTAATCAAAAATTTAAACTGAATTATACTAAGAATGTGCGTGTCTTGTGGAATAATTTTCAAGTAAATCAAGAATTCCCTTTTCTATTCCTTTTAAAAACAATTTTATTAACTCACCTTGATCTTGGTCTCGACAAAGATAATGATCTTGTTGCCATTGTTAGCTGAATTGTTGCTCGGGGTAATCTCCTTAAGCAGGCGCACCATGCGCTGAGGTTTTTCCATCTCGGTGCAGATTTCAACGATCTGGCGAATGTTGTGGTTGGCCGACAGGCTCATCGAGCCAATATTAATTTGGATATAATCGTTCAAAAAGTCGCCTGCAAGGGCCTGCACTTCCTTTGGCCAGGTGGCGGACCACATGACGACTTGACGATCGGGACGAATCTGTTCAATAATCTTTCTGATTTGGGGTTCGAAACCCATGTCCAGCATGCGATCGGCTTCGTCCAGCACTAGATAGGTGCATCTTTGTAAGTTTGTATTGCGATTTTCAAGGAAGTCAATCAGTCGCCCTGGAGTGGCTATTATGACTTCCACGCCGCGGTCAAGATCTCGTGCTTGCGGCACCTTTGACGACCCGCCAAAAATACAAGTGTGACGGATCTCAGGCTTGCAAAGATGTCCATAATCGCGCACGACCGATTGGATTTGTTGGGCCAACTCCCGAGTAGGGGCCAGCACCAGAGCAATGGGACCCTCGCCGCGCAATATGGGCGGCTGATTGCCAATGTGCACAATGGCCGGCAGCATGTAGGCCAGCGTCTTGCCGGAACCGGTTTGGGCAATGCCCACCAAATCACGGCCACTTAAGGCTATGGGCCATCCCTGCGACTGGATGGCAGTGGGCTTCGTAAATCCCTGGCGCTTCATCTCCTCAATGACATGGGTCGGAAGCGAGCTCTCCTCAAAACTAACCACCGGATGGGGCAACTCGTTCCCCGACACAGTAATTTCTAGTTCGCGTCGTATATCGGCTACCTGCTGCTCTGATTTGGCCAGCGTATTGGGATGAATGTTGTAGAAATCCTTGTGGAACGGCTCTAGGTTCTCCCACTTTGGCTTAACTAGATTTCGGCCGGGGTTCTTGGCCTTTTCGCGTTGGATCTCGGCGCGCTCTTCCTTGGATAGCATGCCCAAGGCCGCAGCATTGTAGTTATTGCTCTGATAGCCACCACCTCCTCCGCCGCCGTTGTGCGGTTTCTGGTAGCGTTGTGCGTAATTGGGATTCTTGCCACGGGGTCCACCATAGCCACCAGCACCGCCAGATCCAGCTCCCCCACCACCACCTCCTCCAAGGCCATTTCCAGCGAAAGCCACACCATTTTGTTGACGATACGGATTACCGCCACCGGCACCGGCTGCTCCCATTCCCAAACCGTTTTGGATGCCATAGGTCATCACGCCGTACGGCTGGCCAAAGTGCATGCTACCTGCGGCTCCGGCTGTTCCATTGATAGTCGCTCCACCGGCAGCGCCGGCGAAATTACTGCGTGGATAAAAGGGACGTTCGTGACGTGGGGCACCATTACCTCCGCCACCAGCGCCTGCGGCGGCACCATTGCCATAGTAACCGCCGCCCGTGTGTTGTTGAACGCCGCCAGCGTTGGGTGCATATGCTCCGGCATACATCGTGTGTTGAATCCTGTCGAGAAATGAACAAAAGATCAGCAAAATTTCACGGGAATACCGCGCCACTACAGAAACAAACACACACTACTATACTACCACAAACACTAAGACTTTGCACTTTTGTATCTCTTCGCTCTCACTATGTTGCCGCTATGGAGTGTAAATATAAATAAAGAAACGCTTTTGACTTTTAGGGCAAAGGGTTGCTTTGATGGTGGAAGAAGAGGTGTTTTTTTTTATTTTTGAGTTTGACAGGCATAGGGCGGGGATCGGTTTTACCACCCACCCACTAACCACCACCGAAAAATCAATACAGCATCGCCAAATGCACAAAAGACGTGCAGAGAGAAAGAGAGTTAGAACGATAGTGAGAGAGCGAAAGCACGCGCAAGAGAGGGACAGGCAGAGTGCACCGACCACAGACCGAGAGAGAGCACAATGCGAACTCGTACATACGCCAACTTACAAAAAATCACTCTAAAAAGTGCACTGCATTTTCACGCCTCACAAACACGCACTCACCTTATTCCTGTTGCGACAAACTGCTGCCTGTATGTGTGTGTGTAATTTTGTATGAGCCTGACTTGTGCGGGGGGCTTTAAATTAATGTATTTATGCGCCGCAATTTGACATTTGTTCCCCGGCCAGTTGGGTTGTGGGTTTTGGTTGTCAAAGCCTCTTAGATTTTTCCCTGCTCTAGTCTGAGTTTCGATCCGTTTCTCCTGTCCCGTTTAATTCAATATTCTATTCTCTCACTGTCGCTCTCTTCGTCACGCTCACACGCCTCTTGCAAACTTCTCTTTTTTGCTTTGCTCGACTTTTGCCGAGAGGTAATTGTAATTAATTGCTATTACTTTGCTACTGTCGCCGCCTTCGCCACGGGAAACTGACCGTAAAGCTAACTAAAGGTGTACTTCGTTAAACACTAGGAGCGATTTATCTAATTCTAATTCTTGTATTTTAGATTTGTACAACAAAAAAAAACGCGTTTGCAGTAAAATTGCAGTGTGACCGCGTCGATATCTATGAAAAATACAGTCCGATACGCCTAAAAATAAATACCACTATATACCAGATCAGCTTTTGTAAATACCAGCTAAGTACCAATTATATTATATGCATGGCTTTTTAAATAAATTCATTGATTATTAAAAAAAAAAATTGGGCTATCTTAAGTACTGATGAAACAAAATCATTATTTTTACGATACTACCGATATTCCTAGTAGTTTGGCAACACCGATTACTAAAAAGTTTTCAAATTCAATTCAAAAATGGGTATGCCAAAACTCTTAGCATCACTATTAGTTGAAGTACAAATCAGACTAAAAATATTAAAACATATTTATTTTTCTTTATTTTTGTAATTTACTGATCGAAAGAAAGGCCAACTCGTTATGTTACGTATTTTAAAACTAAAAATTACATATATTCTAGGTAAGCGTACATTTCGGCCATAAATCAGTTTAACGTCTTGCAGAAGTGCATTAAAGTGACAAAACTCCAACGGAACAAAATATTTAACAAATGTAAAAATCTAAGGAGACAGGCCATTGCAGCTGCACGTACATAAATGTATGGTATTTACACGAATTTATTCTCCACTCATATCACATACATCGACATTCAGAAATCGGAGGGAGTTAAGGGCGTTAATTGGAAGCCAGTCGGACAAGTAGTTTCCGTCGGTCCGCGTCGATGGTGGCCAGAAATTTTTGCACCCTCTCACTGTAGAAATCGGTAGTCTTGGCCAATTGTACGCTCTGCATCCTTTCTGCTCGCCGGAAGTCCTCTAGCTGCCATCGGTCACGTTGGTATGCCAGAATACTGGCAAGGAAGTGCCAGAACGTTATCTGCGGCCATAGGACGTTGCTGAAGTAAAGCACGGAGGTGCTTAGCTGGAAATGATAAACAGGCATTAAGTAAAATAATTTTCATTATTTGAAGAATAATATTTCAATAAATATTTAAAGCAATAATATGTTCTTCAACTTGTTCTTTGTCCCTGTAATTAACAACGCTATTATGGTTCTAAGTACCTATGTAAATTCAGTATTCTTTGAATGTCAGAATGCATTTGATGGTGATCAAAGAACAAAGAGAGTAACTTCTAATGACTGTAGTGCTATCTGCTCCTGGTAGTATCTTTTAGACCCACCTGCCACATCATAAAGTCGCTCAACCTGGTCTCGCCGGAGGTGCGAAACACCAGATCCGGTGGCGGCGAATGTCGCGTGTAAAGGCACTCCTCTAGCAACCTTTCGCTGATGTCGTCGGCGCTAAGATCCTGGCTACCGTGCCGCAGGACAGTTTCCACCGCCTGCGTGATCTCGTCCCGCGACGTGTAGGCAAAGGCTACGTTTAGGAAGAGCTTATCATTGCGCTCTGTACTCAACATGGCAGAGGCCACCAGTTTCTGTAGATCCAGTGGCAATAGTTCGATGTTCCCAATCACCCGAATGCGAATGCCATGTTCGTCCAGTCGGGCAGTCTCCTCCAGCAGGCGAGCAAACTTCTTCCTGGCCAAATTAAATAGTCCCTCCACTTCCTCGCTGGAACGCTTAAAGTTCTCGATGCTGAAAGCAAAAGTGGTCACTTCGCGAACTCCCACATCCAAGCACCAGCGAAGGCAATCCGCCAACTTTTCAAATCCCCGTGAATGACCCTCAATCTTATCTATCTGTTGCGAGCGGGCGAAACGCCGATTGCCATCCATCACAAAGGCTACGTGGTGCGGAATGTGGCCACAGGCGCGCAGCGTCCGCATCGCAAACCGCTCCGTCCACGTGTACTTGTAATCGGAGACCCACGACATGGCCTTTGGGTTGTCTTTGGGTATTCAGATTCGATCGGAAATTTAATATTTTTATTTTGGCCTCTTGCTGTCTTGTGATTAGAGTTCTAATAAATCAGTGTGACAGTTTTAACACGTCAAGAAATCCAGAATGAAACCAGGATATCAAGAGATAAACACAACCGAGGCACAAACCACCAACATACCATAGTGACAGTAATATAAGTACTCTAATATCCCAGACTCAAACCATACGAAATAAATAATGTGACCATCGATCAATTTCTTGTCCTCGTTTTTAGTAAAGACTTAAACCATCGGCGTTTTAAAATCCATCCTAGGATTGAAACCCCACTTATCTTATCGATTAACTATCGCCATATATTTGGAACTATACAACCCTGTTATTTTGACATCTACGACAGCCTTCTTTTTTGATATCCGGTTCACGCAAGTGGTTCGTCATAAATTTTTGTTCCTGCATTTTTGTTAAAAAAACCCTACTTTGAGCTCTTTTAAGACTTTTAAAATGTGATCCCTTAAGAGTGTTCAAAGGGTAAAATGAAAACAATTGGAAAAACTGCCCTGCAACTGTTTTTTTTTACATTTTTGTTTTGTTTGTGCGCACGCATTTGTTTTTGTTTGTGAAGTGCCAGTATGGCTAAAATGTGCATTCCCTTGCTATTCCCGCAGCTGCTGATCGACAAATAACCAGAATGGCTCCCAGGAAGGCTAAAGTTCAGAAGGAGGAGGTGCAAGTCCAGCTGGGACCCCAAGTTCGCGATGGCGAGATCGTTTTCGGTGTGGCTCACATATACGCCAGCTTCAACGACACTTTCGTGCACGTTACTGATCTGTCCGGCCGTGAGACCATCGCCCGTGTCACCGGAGGCATGAAGGTGAAGGCTGATCGTGATGAGGCTTCGCCTTACGCCGCTATGTTGGCTGCCCAGGTTAGTTAGCAGTCAATCTAGTACAGTGAGAACATAGCTAATGGTTTTAATATCCTTCAGGATGTGGCTGAGAAGTGCAAGACGCTGGGAATCACCGCTTTGCACATTAAGCTGCGTGCCACCGGTGGAAACAAGACCAAGACCCCCGGACCCGGTGCCCAGTCCGCTCTGCGTGCTCTGGCCCGTTCGTCCATGAAGATTGGCCGTATTGAGGATGTTACCCCCATCCCTTCGGACTCCACCCGCAGGAAGGGCGGTCGCCGTGGTCGTCGTCTGTAAATTGTGAAATCTGGAGAGCAGGAACCCAGGTTTTTGGTCGAAATTTACTGCATTTGTGTATGCGATAAGAAAGTTCTTCTGTTTGTGTGCATAGATGCACTGTAATAAACCAGGAAATATTATGTAAATGATTCCATGGCATTTTTAAATGTAAACGTGTCTGTTTTGGGATGTAAAAGCTGTTTAAAGTAATTTTAAAAGACTTAGCGTAATAGTTATCAATATAGTCAGTTTTAAGTTGCAGAGTTGCAACATTGGTTTTGTAGCTAAAAGTTCACTGGACAAGAGGTTTGGGTGTTTACCAGCAAATCTCCGCAGGCAGCCAAAGAAAGAAAGCATTTAATAGTAAATAAATATTTAACGTCAAGATGAGCTCGTGAAAGATTATTTTCTATATATATATTATTGCGGCACAATTAGCCTTAATCAAAACGCATAACTACCTAACGAATGTTTCTGTTTTTAAATTGAGACAACTTAAGCGGTTTCAGTTCGCTCGCAGCACGATATTCACGACAGCAAAACGGGGCGAACGCAGCCACATTAATTTTCTGCTCACCTCTGGCAACTCTTCTTCATTCCTTTTCTTTTCGTTGCGTTTCCGGAGAGGTCGTAATTAGGCAATTTTGTGTTTTAACTCTAGACACGTGCCTGATTTTTTTAAATTTTGCCATTTTTTTAGAGGTTTGTAAGTTAGCAAATTTGTATTTTAATCGGGAAAGTAAAATATTTTAAAGGAGGCAGTTGAAATTCACCGAATAAATTCGGTTGTGATTTTGTGCCCCCACCCATAATTTTATGATTTCACTGCCATTTGCAAATTGAGCGGCAAAAACAATGCGATTCCGAAGCTGGTGAAAATTACTACCTATGGAACGATTAGTCTTAGATCTAACACGGTGTGGGTGTATCTAAAATAAATTGTTTGCTTTCTGCTTTTTTTTATTTATTTTTTTTATTTGTTTTTTTTTTTTATCGACTTGAGCCGGCAATTAAAAATTGAGTGTTTTCTGTTCTTTCAGTTGCTGATCGACGACCGGACTTATCAGAATGGCACCTAGAAAGGCTAAAGTTCAGAAGGAGGAGGTGCAAGTCCAGTTGGGACCCCAAGTTCGAGATGGCGAGATCGTTTTCGGAGTCGCCCACATATACGCCAGCTTCAACGATACCTTCGTTCATGTTACAGATCTCTCCGGCCGTGAAACAATTGCTCGTGTCACCGGGGGCATGAAGGTGAAGGCCGATCGTGATGAGGCTTCGCCCTACGCCGCTATGTTGGCCGCCCAGGTGAGCAGTTTGAGTTATCCTTAATAAGCTATTTAATAAATATGTGTAATCTCTTCCAGGACGTGGCTGAGAAATGCAAGTTGCTGGGAATCACCGCTCTGAACATCAAGCTCCGTGCCACTGGTGGCAACAAGACCAAAACCCCCGGACCCGGTGCCCAGTCTGCTCTGCGTGCTCTGGCACGTTCGTCCATGAAGATTGGCCGTATTGAAGATGTTACCCCCATCCCATCGGATTCTACCCGAAGGAAGGGAGGTCGCCGTGGTCGTCGTCTGTAAAAATATGGGCTAATATTTTCTGACGCTGCGTTTTTTTTTATACTATGAAATATTAATGTAGAAATAAAAAAATGTAAATGCAGTGGAAATGGCTTGTTTTGGGCTCAGGTGTTCTTTACTTGACCAGTGGCAACGTATTAGCGGTTGTTATCGATAGATGGTAGTCTTCCTCGACCATTTTAGTATATTTAAATCAGTAACAAAGCGGTCACACTGGATGAAATTCATATACACATACACGCGAACGACGACCGTGTGCGGATTCGTGGATCAAATCGAAATTGGCAGGATTAAAAGCATACGCGAACTCAAATGCAGCGGCTAAAAGGCTGCCCACGCACCAAAGAAACAAACTAGTTGGATAAGAGAAAAACTAATCTGCGGTTAATATGTAAAAATCAGTGAAATTGGCAAGTTCAATGCACGACTAATATATTTGGCCACATATGCCAGTGTGCGTAAGTGCTAGTGTGTGGGTGTATGGTGTCGTTTCCGTGTGTGTGTGCGTCTGCGAAGAAGTATGTGTGCGTATATTCGTATATTTGCAAGACTCGCGGATGAAACAGCGTGAAAAGTGAGCGAAATATCGGGGAAAAGGTACGGAACGGTACGGGAAAAGCGTAGCCAAATAACACCTTGATCCGGACAAGGATAATGGGGATATAGGATCCCTATAGCCACCGCACCACAGTGGGTCGGTAGGGCAACGTCAAGCGAGAGCAGCACTCGAAAGTATAAAAATTAAAAATCAAAAGCAGGAACGGAGCTGAGATGTCCAAGCGGCTGCACTGAGTCAAGTGTTTGGTGTTGTGAAATTTTCCGTCTCCATCTCACCGTTCTCCTACCCCTACGACATCCTTAAACGTTATCCCATCATCTATCAAAATTTTCAATTATACGCAAAAAAGTCAAATTCGGCTACTAGCCAAACAAAAAAAAAATAATCACGCAGTAAAGAAGAAGCAGCAGCAATAGCAGCAGCCGCAGCCGAAAAAAGACGAAAAGAAAACTTGTTTGAAAAAGACCGAACCGAAAGAAAAAGAACAGCAGAGCGTCAGCAGCAGCAGAGTTCGGAATTCAAGAATTCCAGCGTGCTAGGAACGAGCACCGCACTGGACCGGACCGACGACGTCACCAAATATATACGCATCACCATGGACGAGGATGACAACCTGTCCAATGCCGATATCAGCATCGAGGACGAGGACGAATCCTCCCTCGTGGATCTCTCATCGGTGTATGTCCTGCCGCCCATAGTCTCGCCACCAGCGCCAACTGATGTTCGCATTAGTACCAGTGGAGCTGGAGGAACCACAACAACGGCAGCCACCGACAATTCGCATTCCCCCTTTCACGACTGGGATTCCAGTGTGGCGGCCGCTGCTCCACCGCCGCCGCTACCTAGGGGAGCCACTGCAGCGGGCTCTGGATCGGTATCTGGTACTGCAGCTGGTGCAGGGGCGGGAGGAGCATCCTCCGGCGATGCTGGTGCCAAGCCGAGCTTCTTCTTTGGCGCCTCGTCCTTCAGTTTGCGCAGCCGCAAAGAAGTGGCCGCCCTGATCAACACGGAATGCTGCCGTGGCGGCCCAACACCCGATCTTGACTCCATAATGGACACCCTGTTCAATCCGGGCACGCCCATTGATAATCTGGACAACATCGAGTGGATACGATGGCTCATAGCCGGCGGACGAACGCCGCACGAGTTTGTTATAATTGGTACGTCCAGAAAGCGCCTATCGATAAATGTGTTGCATTTTCTATCGTAAAACAGCTGATCGTAAGTCCGTTGCCCCTGAAACTCTCTCTGTGTGTGTGAGTTACCTGTGTGATATATATATATATATATATTTGTATATGTGTATATGTGTGTGTAATAGTTTTAGGGCCCGCGAGGAAGAAGGAGAGGAGATAAGAAAGCAAGGTGCAAGGTAGCGTGAAGAGTGCGAGTGCACCACCATGGCAACAGCAATCAAGCGCACTCACTCGCACATCCAACATACAGACACATATGCACTGATTAGGGGAGTCAACTTTAGCCCAATTTAATCTCAACTGCTCATCAATTTACAATGCTTTATTTGTGCATACTTTTTATGATTAGTTATTTTTTGTGCCAGGCCGCGTATGTCGCCAAAGTTGCTTTTATCATTTATGGTGGCTTGTCTTGTTCCACTTGTCAACTTTCACACACACACACAAACCCACACGCACAGTGGAGTGCAACTTGCACCTTGTATCTGTATGTCAGCTGTTTGGTTCGCCTTGCGTAATAAATGTTTCCGCAGCATCCGTCCCAAAAACACACGCACACTAGTATACTTATGAGCTGGCACCTTTTGTCACCGCTAAGTGCTCCTCTTGTTGTTTTTTGTTTGTTACTCTGTTGCAACAAAGTGTTGAGCAGAACAATTGCAAAATTGCACTGGTGCGGCAAAAGTTGATTGACCGTCATTGTTGTTGATTTGACAAAAACACGCATAGTGTGTGCAGGGGGCGGTAGGAAAGTGCATGATGCGGCCCACTGTAAGCTGTCATCGGCAATTGACCGAAAGACCGTTATGCTATGGAGCTGTGGGGGTGCGGTTGAGGGAATGCACCTTCTTTCCGTTCCCATGTCACCGTCATGTCACTTCTTCCCCTCTCTCTCTTTCTTTCTTTTCCACGGTGGACTTCATCGAAAATGTTCTCAGTTAGAAGGAGATAGATGGATAATAAAAAAGAGAGCGAGAAAGTTGCCAACTAGTCTGTCGATCGATCGTCGTTTACAAAATTGTAAATCAACTTTTTCGCTGCACTGTCGTTATTGGCCAATCCAATTGATTTCCTTCCGCATGCGGCTGCCGACAACGTTGACCTTTTCAGCTAACAAGGTCCAAATGCAAAATACAAAATGCTCGTACATACACATATGCCCATTAAACGCAGCCCGATGACAAAAAAATCAAAGAGTCACGCAAGAAACAGAAAGAAATTAACTAACCAATGAGTGCATCATTTTATTTTTGGAACACAATCGAATCAATAGCGAGGCAAGGTGGCCAAAACAAAACAGCTGGCCTCGACAGGTTTCTTGATTTCACCTCATCGCGAAATATTGCCAGCGATAAGTTATCGTATGATGTTTAGAGGTGGCACAAATATTTCTTATCGATCGATTTTTTCGATTATTTTGATTCTTAGAAAATCAATAAAAAAAAAAGGTTTAGATTTGTATGTTTAAAATTAATATTTTTACAATATTAAACTTTTGATTCACCACGTTAGATAAATTAAAACCACTGCCTTTTTTTATGTAAAATATTGAGTTTTATATTTTACTTACACTCAAATTATTTGCAAGTGTACTTAAATTCTTCATAATTAAATAACCAAAAAGCCTATCTAGTAAAAATATATTAAAATATTATCTTGAAAAATGTACCAGTTAATCCGTGCATTAAACAAAAACTTGATAAAAAATATGGTATGTTTTGTTATCAATGCTACTTTTTATAATATACAATTTTAAATTTGGAGTCCTCAAATTAAAAAATGATGTTTGTATAGCTCGAAAAATAAATACACTGTTTTAAATTTTTAAGTGCTTGTGAATGTATTTCTTTCTTTCTAATTATGAAATTTCATCTTGCAGTGCGCAGTTATGACAACCACGCCAAATGCGGACTAGTGTGGGTGCCCCATGTGGTGGCTTACAGGTGTCGCACCTGCGGTATCTCGCCATGCATGTCCATATGCCGGGATTGCTTCAAGAAGGGCAACCACACGAACCACGATTTCAATATGTTCCTTTCGCAGGCGGGTGGTGCCTGCGATTGTGGTGACACCTCGGTGATGAAGGCAGAAGGATTCTGCAGCGATCATGGCATTAATAACCGTGTCAATCGCGATCCGGTGCCAAACAATCTGTTGGCGGTGGCTGAGGCCATTATGCCGAAGCTGCTGTTTCGCTTGCTGCAACACTTCCGCGAGCACAGCGACACTACACTGCAGGTGCATGCGATGACCTCGTACTCGTGCGAGGAGTTCGCCAACATGCTGATCGACCTGAACAACATGGGTGAGATAATGCGCAAGGTGATGACGCGTACGCTGATCAATCCTGAGGTATACGCCTATTTTATGGAGGCACCGTGCCAAGATACGCGGAACGGTCGTTTCCTGAAAGCGAACCGGGAGAAGTACGAGGATGCGGTTAACAGATTCCCAAATCCAGAGCCACCCGATGAGTACAGGGACTTGCCGGCACTCGGTGACAAACTGGTTCACACCACGCTGCTCGAGGAGTTCATCTTCTGGACATTCAAGTTCGAGTTCCCACAGACGCTAGTCTGTTTCCTGCTCAACATGCTTCCCGATCAGGATTACAAGGTGAGTCCTGATAGAATAATATAAGTTACACATACTTATAATAATATGAACTAATTTCCCATTAAAAGGAACACCTCACCCGCACTTTTGTAATGCACTACAGTCGCATACCGTCCGTGCTGGAAATGTCTCGTGATCCCGACACGCTCAGCAACCGAGTGGTCCATATGAGCGTCCAGCTCTTCTCCAACGAAAGTCTGGCCCTCAAGATGGTCAATGAGCTGTCACTGTTGCACGTGATGATTATCAGTCTAAAGTTGATGATGTCCAAGATACTCATACAGAATACCTTGCATGGTGAGATTTAGTTTTAATTCCGTACTGCTACCTCTTTAATGAGTTATATGATGTCCCTACAGATCCTAGCAAGAATTTCCACTTTGTTATCGATTGCACGCGGCAAGTGATGAAGGACCACTGTTACTGGCCGCTAGTCTCCGACTTTAACAACGTCCTGTCCCACGAATCGGTGGCCCTAGTCTTTCTGCGGGACGATAACCTCATCGACATGTGGTTCCAGTTTCTCCAGATGCTCCAGGGCATGAATGTTAATGTGCGGGAGACAGCTTCTCATGTCGAATTCGAGCCGAACAGCTACTATGCGGCGTTCTCCTGCGAACTGGAGGCGAGTGCCTATCCCATGTGGTCGATTATTTCGCATCTGCAGGATGGCACGCACGCCCACCTCGCTAAAAAGATCATTAACTACTGTGTGACGACGCTGCATGAGTGGCTAGATTCTATTTACTTTATGGAGGCGCGTCTATCCATGGTAGGTGTTTTTTAAATTAAAATTTTTGCGGTCGAAGAGCTGAATTTGAGCTATAAAATTTAATTCAATGAATTCATTCATCAAACGTTTTTTTTCTATATTTATCTGTATTTGAACTAATTGATTTAATATTGCAGGAGGAGATGATGCAGGCTTCGTTCCACTTTCCACTGCATCGGTATTTGGCCGCCTTTGTATGCCAAGCGGTAACCAAAATGGGAATTAGTCTGAACGACGTGTTGCCCTCGCGCCCATATCTCCTGCCCCTCCTGATGATCCATCCGCTCCGTGTTCAGGTGAGTCTTCCTTTATTTACCTTATAATCAATTAAAAAGGACAATAAGCTTTTCGATTCTCAGCGTTCTCAGATTCAAATTCTCTTTATTTTTGTTTGTTATGGCTAAATTCCAATAGTTATATTCTTGTCTTTCCCAATTCTGCGTCTCCTCCGCTTCGTTTTCCTCTGATTTCACTTAGATTACGCGACAGTAATAGCAAGTGTGTATTGATAGGTAGTGTAAAACTAAGAAAGCTATGACATATGTGCGGGATGGAACAGCACCGCCTCTCTGACCTTTTGTCACTTTAGAACTTGTTCTTTGGTACCTGAACGTGGGGCGTAAAGTCGTAGGTTATGATCTTGGGGCCCAAGAAGCCGCCATAGCCATTTCGACCCTTGTAGTAGATACCAATGCCGGATAATGGTACTGGTGGATTTGATATGACGTCCTGAATGTCAATAAAGGGCACAGTGCTTTGGGCGGCATCCTTGTCCAGTCCTGTGTTGGTAAAGTCGATGCACTGATTGTGGCGTGACAGAGGTATCGAGTGAGTTATCGTCCGCGTGGACACGTCGGCATTATTTAGACGCAGTTTCTCCCTGAAAGAAAAAGGTTTGTGTTTAGTACTTCTAGATTCGTAAAGAGAAAATCCTTAATCAGATGCTTGCTTACCTACGTGTCCCGCTGACATCGGTATTATCATTGGACTTCCAATAGCTTCTGGCTTCCGGCTGGAGTAGCTGGCCCGTTTTAAAGTCAAACTCGCTGAAGTAGGCCTCCAAATTCAAATGGGCGCCCACCACTCGAAATCTGACGCCGGTGATCACAAAGCTGTTGTCGTCTGTATCAACATCGTCCAGATCGATGGTTCGACTTTCGTAGCTCATCATGTGATAGTCTACCCCCTTTTTAACATCACGATCAAAGAAGTTGTAATTCTCTACGGGCTTCCACTCAAGGGTGCTCTGGTTGACAGAACCGCGTGGCAGGAGTTCACCTTCTTGGATTTGAATGTGGAAAATTCTATTTTTTTTCACAAAACGCAAGCCAGTTACGATCCTGAAATGATGTCATATTATTATTTTATATTATTCCTGACAAGGGATCTAACAGTAACTCACCTGTTGCGCTTCACGTCGGCGATTGTATCCCGCAGGTTGAAGAATCGATCTGACTTAAGACCCTGCTCATCGCACAGGCAAAAGCAGTAGCTACAGTGCCAGAAGAGGTAACGCCACCAGCTCTCTACCTTGGTTGTGCCTCTAGTGCATTTACCCCGCTGTCCAAGAACGCGTCCGTTCTCGTACTCGATGAACTCGTAGCGCCTGACACTGTTCTGTGGCGATGGACATACCCACATGTCGGAGTCGACAAACTGACAGTTGTACAGACGACCGGAACATTTCGGCTGGCGTGAACAGTAGAGATCCTTGAAACAGCCCTCGCTGCGTGTGGACTGGTAAAAGTCGCAAGTCTCTCGGCAGGTTTCCTCGTTATTTAAATCCACTTCGTTTTCAATATAACCCTGCAGGAGCCTGGTTACCTCATCGTAGGTAACACCCTGTACATGTTTTGACGGATCGCATCGATAAACAATACGATCCGCTCGCAACATCACATCTTTAAGCACTTTCAGTGTTCGTTCTGTCCTCTTCTCGTAGTCCAATCGCATAAGTTCCGCCTCTTGAGTGTAGTTGCCCCTGCCGTAAACCCGCAGCATCATCCATGAGAATTCCATCATCGTGTAGGCTTTCAGTTCAGTCAGAGCTATGTCTGCATATAGCGAGTAAATAAACTGTTGGGGCGATTGCATTGTGTTGCATATCTGATTGTTGGACACCTGTAAGCAAGAAATTTGTCATATTATTGGGAATGTCATTAATATGTTTAATACCCAGCTGCTTCACCGTTACCATTATGGCATTCTTTACTAGGTACACATGTAACGCGACTCTTGTTTTTAGCTCTAATTAGCCGTCACATCTGGCTGTTAAAATCTTTGGCATACCCTCAATAATTATAGCACGGTTATTTACGAATCGCGTGGGTGTTTAAAATTAGCTTTTGCCGAGTGGTCCTTTACAATTTTTAACTGTAGGATTTTGTTACTTTACAAATAAATTACTAATTGCGAATTATTTTCTGATGTTTTTTCTATAACAAAGGGTCAAGGATGCCTTTGTAAGGAACAACATATATATAAATATCAAACTGATCTATAGTCTTATTTAGTGGGGGAACTAACTATCATGGCACGGTAGTAAAGGGTCTGTGAAACCATCACTCGTTCGATTTCCTGCAGGATGCGTGGCATCGATATGGTTTTGTCGTTACGTAGGATTGCACCGGCCAGATTTACAATGGCAAGTTCATCAAGTTGGGCGCTGTTGCTTTGCTTAATAAAGTTGTCCTATATGAAGAATGGAAGAGTTGAGAGTTATTATTATCTGTCCAGAATTGTTTGTGCTCAGTATAAGGAAGAATACCTTATAGGCATCATATAGCTTGCTAATATAGATGAGATCCTTTTCCAGCAGTGACCATTCATAGTGATTGAGGATTTCGTAGCGATTCGCCTCGAAGGTGCGGCTCATTACGGGTTTCGTATCGAAATCCCTATGTGAATCATATACTTTCCTGATCTGAGTTTCCTTATTGTTCTGGCTATTTGCCGTTTTATCAAGATAATCCCACAAGGCACGTTCCAGGGCGATATACTCTGTACGCAAGGCATCAACTTCCAGTTGAGGGGTGCGTGGGTGCATCCATCCCTCGGCCGATGCTGATTTCGTACTTCCAGAAATCACAAATGTAACAACAACAAAAAGAGCCACTAACTTTGCGATAGGCGCCGCCATATTTACTCGCCCGATAAGTTATATCCGCACAGCGAATATAAAATAAGGGGTTTCCTTGTGTTAAAATATTTCCAAATTGTTTAGCCTTGAGCTCTGGTCTTCTTCTTCTACTAGTTTTATGTTTTCATTTCTAGCCTTAATGGGCAAGGCAAGAAGAAGAGCAGCAGCATGTACTGTTGGATTTTGATCTGAATGAACTTCCTTTAACTGGAAACAAAGTATCCAAAGTCGTATTAACAATTAACGGAGATTCCACGGATTTTTGATTATTTGCGACTTACTTCAAATCGCGCTCGCCTCTTGCCATATAATTTCAGCTGGGTCTTGTTGTTCTGAGTGCTGTTCGGCTACTGTAATTTTTCAGTTTCTGTTTTAAAGCGCTCCACGCTCAGCGAGTGTTGGTTTGCTTGTGTCTGTTCGTTGGTGTGTGCTCGTTGGAAATACAACAAAAAATTGCTGACTGAAGCTCTTTTTCATGCATTGTTGTTGTTCTTTTGACGATGTGAGAAGCGTAAACACACACACACACATCCATTTTTACGTGTGGTTGAATGCGAGAAGCTAATATTACGAATTGAGCAAATTTTTGTTTGTTTCTTCGGTTGTATACACTGAAATAATGCCCTACACTTTTGTTTTTTTTTTAGCTCTGATTAATAAAAATCGGAGACGATCATTTTGCCCCTTGCTAACCGTGAAATCGATAACTGGAAAGTTTTACCGATGCAGTGTTTTTGTTTCAGCAGGCATCTAATTGGTATGACAATCAGCTGTGTTGTGAGTGCGTAGAGCTCTCTCTCTCTGTGTCTTTCCCTCATTCCTTTTGACGCAATGCAATAACAAAGAGATGTGCTCTCTTTTGCCACCTCTCTCCGTTGTTTCTTTTTGAATTTCGCAGCATGGGGGCAGCGTTGCTGCATTGCCGTCTGACGTTTGTTTGTGGACTTATTTTTTTTTGTTTTGTTTGCTGTTGCTCGCAGTCTTTTGTTGACACAAGACCTTTGACCTCACGCAAACATTTACTTATATTCATACACATACATACATACATACCTGCAAAAAAAAAGGGGGAGAATTGTCTGCCTCTGTTTCAGAGAGTGCGTGTGTAGGCATTGGCTTTAGCCGTTATTTGTGACAAAAGAAGAGGTGACTAATACACTTAAAGACTTTCTTTCACCGAAAAAAAGACACAAGTAAGAGCGATTTAAATGACGCGGCAACCGGAAAGTCGAGTTTACAGCGCTTAAAACCCTGTGTCTAGACCTACAAATACCCGGCGAACATCATTCATGAATCATCCGATTAACAGGCATGCAGGAAGCAATTCGCAAATTGACACCCCATTCACGATCCGTATTATAACAGTGGAACGTGTTTAAACCACCCTACAATTTAATCAAACCAAACAATATAAAGCTCGACTATTTGCTAACTTTCTATTAGGGTTTTTAAGTTGGATTTTTGAAAACAAAGCGAATTTTTGTCCTCTGTATAAAAGCAATAAAATATTGTCAAAAGCAACCATTCTAAAAGACGTCTACAAAATCGTCCTATAAAGAAGGTAGATAACAAAAATGTACAAAATATTACCTCGTAGGCGGTGGCCAGTTGTTGGAGCAGGTTGGTGGACGTTACATTAGAAGATCTATCCTCGTTGCCAAGTAGTGTGATATGCAGTCTATCCATCAAATGGTGAACTGAATGGGCGTTCGGAGAAACTGTCCATTCAGCAAACGTTATAAGCGTAGACATTTCCAATTTGTCCTTGTAAGCCTCGTATTTTTGCATCTGTTGATATCGCGATGAGATCCTATTGATCGTATCTGAGATATCGTTCATCTTAGCCATAATTGGAGCATTGTTGTGCATGAAACTCGTCACCGATTCAATGGCCAAGGCAACATACTGAGCGTGCTGAAGTGGGTTTTTTTGGGATATTAATCATACTATAGCAGTTTGCGATACAGTTAAAAATATTTGATGATATTGTCAAATCAATTAATAGATAACTAAAATTTGAGTTTAAACAAAAAACACTAGCATATCTCAAAAAATCGTTCTATAAACAAATAACCAATGTGGTTTTGCTCACTGCAAAAATGTAAAAAAGAGTTAGAAAGCTAGTTTAACTCGCAGATGACTCACCTGATCTTCGGTTTGATCTATTTGCTTGCTAACTTCTTTTAAGCGCTGCAAGACCTTCTTCTGTTTTTCCCGCATCAAGGGGAAGTCAATATTTGCCGCCAAAGGCGATGATTGTACAATGTCCCAGGCTTTAAGAACACCGGAGGTGACCTCTTTGACCACATGGATGATGTCCAGAACATCTTCGATCACTCCTTCCGTTTGTGTGGGTTGTTGAAAGGCCACCAAAGTGGCTAACAGTAGGGGAAGTCCCCATTTCATAAATTCCATTCTACAGCCGACTGTGTGTGTGTGTTATTTGAGTTGTATAAATATATTTATTTATTTTTTTTGTTTTTTGAGGACCCGATGATCATTGGGGATGTTATGATGATGATAGGGGTTGCTTTTTAAATATTGTGATTAAATGCTTACACGCACACAATACCAACACACACATTGGCTGGCACGCAACTGCGCCCGCTGAAAATCAAAACGCAAATGCGACAGCCACGAAAACAGAGAGTTGAGTTTTGTCCCGAGCGTCGAGTTTTGACTACTGGGATTGGATTTAATCGGCTGCGCTGCTCTCGCTGCTCCGAGATTGATTAACAGACGTACAGATGTGGGTTTTACTTGTATTTTTCTCTTTTCTTTTCTTTTTTTCTTTTTGTCGCTTGCAGACACCCTGTATCACACAAACACATAGACACATGCGAAGAGAGACGGGCTCCGATTCTTTGTTTTTCGAGGTTCATTTTTAGTAAGAGGGGGAGGGCAGAGCAACAACATAGGTCACAGCATAAGTGGGAGCGAGCCAGCAAGCCCAGAGTTGACTTTTTCGAAACGAGCTATCGACAACTCTTTTTGCGTGTCATCGATGAGTCATGGTTATCGTACACTTACTGGTGTACCGTAAGTTAATTTTTGAATTTCATTAGGTATAATACTGGTAAACATTTAATTCTTAAATTTATTAAATATTCACTTCTTAATATTATTTTCTTTTTGTCTCAGCATTTATTTCGGGTTTTAAATTTATTTCTTGTTTTAAATTTATTTCTTGTTTCATTTTGCCCTTACTTCATATATTTTTTAAAGAAATTTAAATAAGTTAATAAAAATCATTTATTTTTGGTTCTTTTCAGAGTTTCTTTTATGAGATCCTGGCTGGAAAATGGGTGCGCAACGGGCTTCAGATAAAGGGCCAGGCAATGACCTACATCCAGGCGAACTTCTGCAATTCTATGGCGGATATGGACCTGTTTTTCCTGCAGATCTGTGCCACAAACCTACCGCAGTACTTCTTTCTGCAGAACACCATTGAGCTGTTCGACGTGGGTCAGTGGTTGGAGACAGCTCCATTAAAACAGCCCCAAAAGGCGGAGCAATCATCAATGCTGGAGGGTTTTCTGACCTTTCTAGCTACTCTGGTCACAAGTCGCACCAATCTGGGAAACGATGAGGCCACCCAGTGCATTATAGAGATCAGTGCCCTCTTGGCCACTGAGAACAAGACACATTCGCAGCTCCTTGAACTGATGCCTGAGAGGTCGGGAAATGTGCACACTAAGAACTTTGAGACCTTCCTAAAGAAGCTATCCGTTTATAAAGCACCGTCGAGTGGAAGCGAGAATCTGGAGCAGGGTCTCTTTACGCCCATTGACGAGGTGTGGGAGAAACACTACGACCCGCTGCATGTTCTTTTGCGAGCAGTTCATCGCCGAGATTTTCAATCCTCGTTGGATCGGTTTACGAATTATGTAAAAAGCAAAGAGAAGATGCCAGCAAGTGGGAATCTTTGGCCACCATTTAGATTGCCGCAGGCTTTGCCCGCAACTAGCTCCTTTAGTGATCCTTGCAAGATTCTAAACTCTCGCGTCTTTCACTCCACCATCCTTTCAATATTTTTTCGTGCAGTGCATACACGTGACGTGTCCGAACATCTTCTGGCCCTGGCTGTGTTTCTCTTGGAGATCGCTGTGGAAACGAGTGATGATGTTGGCAGTGGTCCTGGAGATCGTGCTCCACCTGCATTGGCAGCCATGGTGGAGTCCTCGGGTGGTCCGGGTTATCATGGTTATGGTACGGGGCGGCAGGAGCCGCCAAAGTTGTTCCAGTGCTATGCTACAGACAATCTCAGCTGCAATCTTCGTCACGTGGTCAAAAAGGTTTCTCTGAAGTCCCGCGATCCGCAGGTGATAACCTCCAGCTATCGCTCAAATCCATTTTACTCGGACCTGGACTTTGAGGTTGAAGCGGATCCGGAGCAATCGTTGCGCATGATTGGTCATGTAGATTCCGAAGGGGATGAGGCAACGGGTGGAGCTGGCCTAGGATCAGTTGGTGTGGGCCCTGGAGCCCTTAGTAGAAGGAATGTCTCGCAGGCGTTAGTGCCTATGAGAGTGCCTGGTATGGAGGTTGCCCTGCCACCTGATCTGTCGGTGGTCGCCGAAACGGGTGTGGTCATCCGGCAGGACAGCAATGAAGATGAGCTATTGGAGGTGAACGATCATGCAATGGATATGAGTCCAGCGGCTGCTCTCGATTTTCATTTCCCGCTGCAGCAGATCACATTGCCTGAGAGCGGCATGGAGGTGGCCATCCGACGGGATCTTCTGCTGGCCGAGACAAATAATATGGGGGCTGTTGGTGCCGCCAATCCATCGGCCACACCCCCTGCTGTGGCTTCCAATGAGATGTTTTCGCCAACCACACCCACAGGCAGTGGCATGCTCCTGCCCTTTCAGAGAGTTCAGCCCGTAGCCGTTCCCAGCAGCGTAAACATGGATATTGTCCCATCAAATTCCCTGGGCGCTAGCGGAAGCTTTACCTCTGGCGTAAGTGGCAGCGGCACTGGACGTAGAATGAACTACGAGTCGGGTGGAGCACGAAAACGATCCGTAGATATTGCCATCGGTGGCAGCAACAAGGATGAACTGCACTTAGACGAAAGCATCTTGTCGTTGCTGCTTAAGCTTCATTCACAGCTATCGGGCACGCTGGATAGCTTTTCGTTGAGCGATGGCGAAGAGCAATCTTCTGAAGACGATTCCGCCATGGATGTGGACTGTAACGAGGCCAGCACGTCCATGGCAGCAGCGGAAAGCACTGCTCTGGCCGAAAGGGGCCGCTGCAGGCGCAATTACAAGAATATCCATGTATCCTCATCCCGTATCGGCGATGGTCCATTCTTTATTGGCAATCTGTTGCGGAAAATTGCCAAGCAGGATGAGCAATGCGCCCTCAGCATCGACGACATCCGAACTAGACTCTGGCCCAATCAGCGCGAGAAGCAGGCGGAGGCAAAAGCTCGTGAAACCAAGGAAAAGGAGGAGCGCCGCAAAAAGGCGCGTGAGCGTCAACAGAAGATGATGCAAGACTTTGCTAACAAGCAAAAGCAGTTCATGCAATCTGCGGCAGCGGCAGCTAGCAGCATGGACTACGGAGCGGAGGATGAGGACGACGAGGAGCTATACGAGGAGCAGCCGCGCGAGAAGGAGTACGACTGCATTATCTGCAATTGCACTACACCCAGCACGGAATCAAATCCTATTGGTCTGGTGGTTCTAGTCGAATCCAGTGGCATTGTTGGTCATCGGCGGCGCATCGCTGAACGACTGCCGCTCCCTCTAAACGAGGACGATGAGTCTCGATTAAAGCACTCCACTCGACTGGCCGCTGAATTTAGCAGGCGTACGGAACTGCTTAGTCTCAAATTCGGCGATGAGTCTTGGTATCTGTCCAACAACATGGCCTATGACAATGGTGTACACGTGCAATCGTGTGGCCATCACGTTCATCTCAGTTGCCTTGAGGCGTATCTCAAGACGCTTTATACTACCCAAAGGCAACCGGTTCAGGATCGTGGCGAGTTCTACTGTCCAGTGTGCCGGCAGCTATCCAATTCGGTGCTGCCGCTGAGTCCACAGCTGGATAGACCCACGCACCTCGTCCGCTCGGGTAACCAGCCCTTTGAGCGTCTCGTCGCCGATCTCACCGATCTGATAAAGGAGAACGAGACGATACCGGTAGGAATACTAACTATTTAGGGTAAAAATTTTAAAGGGTTTTGCCTAAATGTTTCCTTTTTACTTCTAGCAGCCCACAAAACTAACTGAGGCAATGGGTCATGCCATGGAGGTGATGACAAACATTGCCCAGCGGAAGGTAAAATGCGCATCAATCACGTTCCGCAAGCTGTTCATCTTCGTTACCTCGATTGCGCGTACTAACTTGGAGGCGGAAATCATCCAGCGAGGCGGATCGCTCTGCTCAGCAAATTCTACGCGGTACAAGCCAAAACGCGACTGCATTGTACCGTTATTACACGTGTTATCGGTCCATGTGCGTGTCCTGGTCGAGTGGCCGCTGTGGAGCAGCTGGGCGTCGTTAGCCGGCTTACCTGTGAGCGATTCAGAACCGCTTCCGGCGCATTGCCTCGAGTTGATTCCTAGCCTTTTGGCGGATCCCATTGCGCTGTTACTCAAGTTCATCCTGCTGGCTCCGCTGCATCTAGATCAGGGTAAGTAGTTTTGCCTTATATATTAAAAGAGCAATATTAACGATATCTTTCTGCTCCTCAGATTACTTCACCTGTATGGTAAAAGTTATGTACAACCTGCTGTACTACCAGATTGTGGTACAGCTCTGCGTTACCCTCACAGACTTCGAATGCGATCACATTCTCAAAGTTTATGGTAGCAGCAGCACTCCTGCTGCCGATGCCCAACCGGAATCTGCAACGAGCAGCTCATACAATCGTCGCCGTGCCGGTCACCAGCAGCAAAGCTCCTCGCAACTGGGCAAAGCCATGGCTCTGGTGTTGAGTCAGACAAATGAGTTAGCTCACTTACGACGGGATTGTATACCTAGTACAAGTAGTTCGGCGGCAGCGGCGGCGGCTGGTTCCTCCTCAGCAACCGCCTCGGGATCCGGCGTTGCTACAGTCTCCACCTCATCGTCAACCTCTCCGCACGAGGTCAACCTTAAGTCCATGGAGCTACAACTACAATCTCTTTGTTTGCCCTTCCTTCGAGTGGCTGCCCTGCTGCGGCAGCATCTTTATCGCCACGAGATGCCGGAGATCTCGGCCCCGGGACTGGAGTTTGTGCGTCTTGTCTATTATTTGGAACTGGTCACCGATTCAATGGACTGGGATTGTTTTAATGCCAGCAAGGGCCTGTGCTTTATACCCGGCACTGAGCAAACGCTGCCAAAGTTCTGGTGCCAGCAGCTAATGGAAGTACGTCCTCCAGCAGATACCGTTAGAGAATTGGTGCTCATCAATCAGCACTCGCTGTGGCAACAGCCTCGACTACTCGAACTGCCGCGCGAGTACGAACGTTTGTTTACCGTGAGTATTATTGACCCGTATGTACTGCGTCAATATGTAATGATTCACTCTATATCCCTACAGTACTATCACGAGCGACCGTGCCTCAACTGCTACAAAGTGCCCAAGGAGAGCTCGATCTGCCTGCTGTGCGGGACGATTGTGTGTCTCAAGCAGAACTGCTGTGCAGAGAACGACTGTTGCGAGGCTGTTAGGGTGAGTTTTATTGGAAAACACCCTTTAGATCGTAAACTTTAATTTAATGAATGTTTGTATTTAACCTAAACAGCATACGCTTTCCTGTGGCGGTGGCATCGGCATCTTTTTGGTGGTCACGTCTACGTACATCATCGTTATCCGCGGACGACGCGCCTGTCTTTGGGGTTCATTGTATCTAGACGACTTCGATGAAGAGGATCGCGATCTGAAGTAAGTGTTTGACATACATATAATCATTTAAGAAATAATTTTAAACCTATTAAATAATTTGCAGGCGAGGCAAGCCTTTGTATTTGAGTCAAGATCGATTCAATCTACTGGAGTCGCAGTGGTTATCCCATAAGTTTGCTCACACAAAACACACTTGGGTGTTCCATCGGGATCTCTTGTGAAATATGGAAGATCTATTGCGTAGCATCCAGGAGTTGGTTGGCCAGATCTGAGATGGGGTTAGGTGCGTCAGTCAGCTGCCCGTCCGCTCGTCGCCTAGTCGAACCAGTCAAGCACCAGCCTCCCTTTATATCCCTTGTCCTTATCGCCTGTCCAAAACTTCCCTTAATTTTGTCCCATATGTTTAAGCAAGTTTCGCTGTTGTTTCGGAGCTTTGTAAGCGAATGAGGAGTAGGACACCCGGTCACGTTTTGTCTGCTATCCGTATCCGTATCTGCATCCGTATTTGTTTACGGTCATCGCCCCACTACACTCCCACATCTCCTAACGCACCTAGGAACAACATCGGCAATTTGCAATTAATTGATATTACACATTTTTATATATAACAATAATTATAAATATGGATGCAAACATTACGAAAAAACTACAGCTATATGATTGTTTGTTGTCAACTGTTCAACTGAGAGAAGCATAATATATACATCATATATAGAAATCCGCCAATTCTCGCGATCAACAAGAATATTTAACTACAAATTTAGTGCGACTTATAAATATATAAATATGCTACTCACCCATTTGCTGGGCGTAGATGAAGATGAAATGAAACGGAAATTTATGCTCCGCGCTATTCTCTCTAGTTGCGTTCTACCTAAACTAAGTTTAAAGTCTTTAAATTCATAGGTTTTTTTTATGGAAACAAGGCAAGAAAGCAAATAACAAGTGACGAATAACACGATATTCAATTTTACAATTGTCTACTTTGGCCTCATGAGTTTGTGCATGTAAAAAATGAAAAAAGATTATATAGTTAATATATATATATATATAAATACAATATACAAGTACACTAAAGTTAATGCAACAAAAACAAAAAAAATGCGAAAAAAAAAAAAACAATAAACGAAAAGCGAATTGTGAAATCCGTAGAAATTAGTTTGCAAATACCCCATTATACATAAATATTATGTAATTAAGAGTGGTAACAAGAGGGGAAAAATGATTAATTGAGAGGGTAATATTGGAAATGCTAGGATCAGAGATGAATTTGTTATTAGTTTTTACAAATTGTGTGTTTTGTGAACGGCGCTGCAATGGAAATTCGATGTTGTTTCAACCTAAAAAACATGAGCATACCCAAAATGTTCATTTTGAACGATCAAATTGACCCACTGCAAAGATTAGCTAATATTTCAAGAATTGGTATACATACATAAATATAAGCTTTTTCAAAAAAAAAAAATATCTCAAGTTGAAGTAATTTCTTTATAAAAAACCTGGTTGTCTAAAATTTGGTATAAATTTCCATCGAGTTATAGAACAATTGCATGTGAGTTACGCAAAAAGACATGGGAATATATGCTAGAAACTGTAAATACACTCAAAACGAAGCTGCATCTTGTATAATTATGTATTTAATATATATCACATTTTACCTTCTTTTTTTTTTGCTAGTTATACAAATCTAGATGTTTCGGTTGACTCCTAGACTAACTAAATACTACTCTGCAAAACAAAAAGGAAAAGAAAACACGATTTAAGAGATTAAATGGCACAGCACAGCAAAACACACTCCTAATACACACCATATATACAAACACCCACACACACACACACACACACATATTTAGTACACCCAAAAGACATTATGTAAACATATTATGAGTGACCGAACCGAAAAACCCTGAATAAAATTGAAAAATGATTACAAAAAGAAATATATATAATTGAAATAAATATATATACAAAACAATCCCTTTAATGGAACTTGCCGCATTCGCAACATGTTTTGCGCAAAGCGCCTTTACGGTCATTTTCCATTTTCTTAACATGATCGTTCATATGGTTGGCGGTCTGCCGACGTATCTTGACCCTTTCCTCGAGGATCTGACGTAGCTGATCCATGGCACGATTGTAATTGATATCGGGCAGTGGCTCAGCGGTGGGCAATAACTCTAGCTCGGCATCACCTAAATCGACCGCAGCATTGGCAATTAGATCAATGTCGCTATCAATTGAAAAAGCATTGAGGTATATCTTCTTCTTTGCTCCTTGGCCACATGCAGATGCAAATGGTACAGTATCTACATCATCTTGTGATCCCGCTTCATTTTCGGTTTTTGCAATATCTGATGATGACACATCTTCTATTTCAGATTTATGTTCTTTCTCTTCTTTTATTTTATCGTCTTCGACTTCATATATTTTTCTTTCAATTTCTGCTTCGGCTTTTTCTTCTTCTATTTCCGATTTAATTGAGGACATCTCATCTTCGGTCTGAGTATCTTTTGAATCTGCAGATTCGATCCCCTCCCGCTGGACTTCTATTTCAGTTGATTCACTGCGTGCTAACTTTACAAAGCATCCTTCAGTACAGGCGTGCGAGTAGCTGGTAACGCTATAAGCACCCTTTGGGGTTTCCGGATCATCCGTCTCCAGTAAAATGAAGCCCCGTCCGGGTTTTGGGTAAAAATCCATTGTTGGGAGAGGTATCGCTTCTAAGGCCTTGATATGTTTGCATGTCCAATTTTCGGCCTCGATTTGGATTTCCTTAATTAAATCCACGGCCTGCTCTCCGCTGGAGAACTTACCGACTAAAAGTGGTGGAGTAATAGCTTTATTATGTTGTGGCAGTGGTGTACTGGAATTGCGAATAGTTTCCTTAAACCAGTACTCCGGAAGGCTACCTGGTTTATAGATACAGCATGCAACAAATCCCTTGGGCAGGAAGCGTTTGGGTAGAAAGATTGGACGCTTGGTTTTATCACTTGCAGGAAAAAAATTTCCGGGTAACTCAAATTCTGGACATTCCTCGTCGCCCATGGTGGCAAACGCAACCTGTGGCACATGCGGATGAAGTACCGTGGAGAGCATGGCTACCGTAAGGTTACACTGGCGTGGCATCACCACCAGGACATTGGACAGATCCGGGGTGTACATGTTGCACTGGACCGGAACAGTACAAACTGGACAGATAGACTCTGCTTTTTGCTCTCGTGTGAGAACCTTTGATAAGGTATAGTTATTACGAACCATTTGCATTTCCAGGACGTTCGCCTCGTGATTTAAGTCTTTCGTGCATGTTGGCATTTGGGTAATACCAATTGTCACCATGGGCTTTGCCGGAGCAAGGGGAACTGAATTAAAAAATTTCTGTACCTCCGGCGGAATATGAACTTCATCACTACGTCGCCCCACAAACAAGGGCGGAGTTTGACCGCGGTGATTCGGCGGTAGCAAACCGAGGGGATAACACCGCCGGGAAATGACTCCGGGCCCAAAAACTCCGCCGGCATCAAAGCCGGTTGGTAGCAATAGCTTGGGCAAAAAAGTAATCTTTTCCAGTGGAGCACGATTGGGAAAGAGGGTGCGCGGCACAATCAAGCATGGTACCTCGGCGCCATCAAAAAGTGCAGCAGCATTTGGATCGTGCTTATGGACTTCGGCGAAAAGCCGGGCCGCAGCAACACGGTTATTGTGATCACAGAATACATTTGGCATAAGCACGTTACGAAGATCAGGCAAGTACTTGGGTTTATTGATTACCGCCATCTTCTTCGATGAATCTACACAATCCACCTTTTGCACTTCCAACACACCTTTCCCTGCCTTAGCTGGAATGATAGGATGGAGAGGATTAATCTTGTGCTTCAATAAAATCATTTTAGCTTTTATATAAAATATTAATATTTGGCCGAAAAAAAAAAAAATTAAAAGAGGGCGTACCTCGGGGATTCCCACGTCTTTTCATGGTTCGTTCCTTTCGAAAAGTACAGTACAAGATAAGCACAGCAACGGTAAGGATTGGAAGAACGAAATATAAAAGACCGATTTTGCGATATATAAATCTAAATTGAAAAAATAATTTTGTCGATTGAAGGTTGCAGGAGAAACGTCTGTATACATGAAAATTCTCGTGAATACTGAAAGTGGGGTTCGTAGTCGATTGAAATTAAAATGACAGGATATAACAGTAAAAACAAAAGCCTACTGGGACCCCACTATTCAGACTATTCTAAATTCTAATCTGGCCACCTTAGCTTTTACAAAAAAAAATTGTTAAAGAAATTAAAAAATAAACTCAATGCAAAAATGGAAGGGGCAACACTTTGGCGTCTTCAGCTGGCGCATCAGCGCCAATATAAGGAGTGGGACAGGATCGGCAGACGTTTAAAGCGGCTAACGGGCAAGAAGTCCAGTGATTTGCTTCTCCACGATCCGCTCCTGCAGCCGTCATTCGTCGCCATTAATGGCCAGCGGATGTGGGTACGGATGAGTGGAGGCCAGCAAGTACCAATACCTATCGAAAAGAATCGAGCAACGCAAAAACACCGAAATGAACAGAATAAGTCGGGTATTAAAATTATACCACCCAAGAATCCTTTAGACCTTGTCATCGTGGGCCAACAGCTGCATATGCATCAGCCACCCGGCCGACGGCATGTGCGGCTCGAGAATCCATCATCTAGGACTCACCTGCAAATGGAGGAGTATGTTCATTTTCATTCTTTCCGCAACTACTATAAGTTTGACCACTGGGGTCCTTATAGTCAGGAAGAATCTTATGCCGTGATAGATGCACGATTTATGATGGAGCTATTTAACGAACTGCTCATGGATGTTTCCAGTCCCACACATACGAATTCGTTTTGATTTTGTACTTTCAATTGTTTTAATTTATTCTGCTTGCATTTACAAATCAAATCGGACCATTAAACAAACAATTTGCTTACCTAAAATAATAAAAGAGAGACTACACAAGTGTGCGGCAAATATGGGGCGGGATTTTTTGGGGGCTCATTGCAAAAGAGTCTCAGTTTCGTGGCTACAATCAATATCGGTTGCTTCAGTAAAAATATATAACTATATGTATATACAAAGTTTGTGGACTCGTTGTGCCTCCATTACAATGTTTGGTGAGGTGATTGAGGATTGCATGCGGAGTTCATATGCTAAGCTAAGCCTAAGTCATTGTTGCTTTAAAACCTAGAGGTTAACAAATTTCCTTGTCATTGCTATTTAGTTTTGTTTCGTTGGAGATTGGATGATTGAGTAGTTGTAGTTGTTGGTTTGTTGGTGAAGTGGGGTTGCCTGATTGGGCGTCTGGCAAGCGGAAGGCACCTCGTCCTTGGTTTTTTGCTGCTGCTTTTTCTTGAGTAGACATCCCCGCCTTGATTGGTTTTGCCTATATAGCTAGTTTTTGGTTTCATTATTCGCGTTGCTCCTATTCTCCTTGTCTTCATCCTTGTCTCTCAGCTGCCCTGTCCTTACTCGGCCATCCTGCTCCTGCGGCTGCTCCTGCTCGGATACTGTGGCTTGATCAGCAACATTGGCTACGTCGGCAGTCACATCCGTCTGCTTTCCACCCCTATTCCAATCGCGATCCCGTTTATCTTCTATATGTCTAGCCTCTTCCTTGGCGCGCTCACCCATCCTGTTGGTCGTCGGCGGCGTTGACTGTGTGGACTTGTCTATTTTGCGGTCTAGCTTCAGGTCTAGCTCAACATCCGAATCCATTTCTGTCTCGGAGAAGGACAATGAATTGCCAGCACGCGGAACTTGGATGCGCCGTCGATCCTGTGTAAAAGTATATTAATAGAAAATTCCAATTATGATGAGCCCATTGCCGTTGATATTCCAAATTGGAGGCCACCTACCGTATTTAGTGTTGTTGGCTCCGAGATGTAGCCATCACAGTCTTCGTCCTCACTGAAGAGTTCCGCCGTGTTTACAGCGTACGTCTCCGGCAGCCGGCACACGATCTGCGCCAGATCGATGAACGTGTATTCATTCAGCGAGGCGTGGTTGACCCTCTTGGGTGGTTCCTTATTAAACCACTGGTTAAACCTTCCCAGCCGACCAGCCTTGGCCATGTTTTCAAAGTAGTTCTTTCCAAACACATAGCCCACATCACGAATCTCGTCAAAGCTGCCGAAGGCCAATGTCTTGTACTTATCAATCGGCGGTCGGATATACTCGCAGTAGTCGGAATTTTTAACCTCCTGATAAAATATGTGTGAATGCGGTCAGTTGTTAAACAAAAATTCGAGTTCTTAACTTTGTCAAGTACATGTACATATGTATATCTTACCTCGAGCTGACGGACACAGGAGACGTATGCGAGTCGAGACTGGATATCCGGTAGATCGGGCACCTTTACGGGCGACGTAAAGGGATTCCATTTTTTGTAAAGTAGCCACCAACCACTGAGGTCATCACCGTAGTTGGTGAGGTCGGTGTCATCCTGGGATCCCACATCGATGGCGATTATGTGAGCAGCCCCAAGATTGTGCATCACGTCGGCTAAACGGCGATCAAGGAAATGAAGTGGCGAGCATGCGTGTGGTGTTGTTTTTTTTTTTTTACCAGTGGGCGATATGGATGCAAATGTTCAGTTAGTTGTTGTCATTAAGATTTTTGAAAATCAATTCCTAAAACTGTGTTTATTCTGCGATTGAAAATTTTATACAAATATTTTTGTACTTTTACAATTATTTATTTTTAAAGAAGATTATTAATAATGGAAATCGCAATCATAAACACATTTTAAGTAGTATTCTTTTTCCCACAGCATTTTAATTCTACTTTCAAGTTCTTTTCAATTTTTTAGCGAATTATTAATTTTTATATTGCAAAATCTGAGAATTTTGATAGGAGATTTGGAAATGAAGAACTTAAATGCTGGGGGATTCCCAAAACTGGAGCGGACGCAGGGCCGACGCAGAGTGTTGGAACGGATAATCTATTGCTGTGGATGTTGAGGCGTGGATCTTGAAACGCCGAGGTGGATGCTGTATTTTTTTTTACCTGGAACGTTATTCGTGTAGCAACCATCGAGCAACAAGTGGCCGTCGCGATAATCACAAAACGGCGGGAAGACGCCGGCAATCGACATGCTGGCGCGGCAGTACCGCCACAGGTGTCCTGTTTTTTTTTTCACCGTTAGCAAATCACAGGTAAGACAGAACAACAACAGCACAGGGTTGTGGATTATATTGTTTGCGGATGACACGGACACGTGAATTTGTGTTGGTTTTTCAATTGTTGTGGTGTGTGTGTGAGAGAGAGGTCATGTGTTTTAAAGATAAGAGAGAGAGAAAAAGAGAAAGACACACTTTTATCCACGAAATAACGGTTTATTTTAGTGCTACAACTACAAATGATATCGGGTTTTACATGTATGTACATATGTACGCATTACAACAGAATGACCAGAAACAACAATTGTGGATAAAACAAACTAAAAGCAAACTCAAAAATACCATCAAAAACTAAAATAATTACGGGAAAAACCAAAGAAATTTTGTGCACTCAGTCGTAGGAGTATGTGTAGCATTGTAAATGTGTGTGTTGTCGTGTGTGGTTATGTGAGTGGGAATGAGACAGAGGGCATAAACAAAATGCACTTTTACCGTTTGAAATGCAGGCCACACAAACTATCGATAGGCAGCAAACAGCATTGCTTTAGCCCCGGAAAATTCTTAAACTTTTATACATACATCTTTAAAAACAAGAACAACATATATAACAGCATTTCAAGGATTTTTTTTGTATGGAAACGGGGTCGAGAAACGGAGCGGAACGGAATGGGACTAGGAGCATGTGGAACTTGGAACGCAGGCAAGCATGATCGAACAAGAGGAATTTCCAACACTCTGCGCGCTCTGTGTGCCGTAACAAACTCAGCTCTAGATTGGAAATTGAAAGTGAGATTTTGGATTAACGCCCGGGGTTAAGTATTTGTTTTATTTTTTGTTAAATTGTATTTGCTAGTTGCTAAGTGCTAATTGCTAAATGCTAATTACCTGGCAGATTATTCACATAGCCGCCATCCAGCAAGAGGTGTCCATCTTTAGGATCGCACAACGGCGGCATGTAACCACTGAGCGACATGGAGGAGCGTACGTAACGCCACAGATATCCTAGTGTTATATATATATCAACGACAGACACATGCCAGTTATGATAAGTCGGTGGGGTGTGTGTTATTAGGTGTTTTTTTTTTATTGTTGTGTGTTTTTTGGGGAGGAGAAGAGAAAAAATAAGAAAGAGATTGAGAGAAAATAGCGCTTAGCAATTTTTTCTTTTTTATTTTTTTTTTTGGGCGAGGATAATGGGGAATGGAATGGAAAATATTGGGATGAGGAGCACCAATGGAATGGATTCAAAGCAACAATGGATATTATTTAAGGGGAGCAACAAGTTTAGCCTCTAGCAAAAAGCACACGAGCCGTAATTTTTGGCACAAGCTTTCCAAACGACAACAACAACAGCAACAACAATTAGATTTGTATCTTGATTTGTTAAATTTCAAATTGAAACATAACGGCACATTCGATTGGCAGCGCAACGCCGCCAACAAGTCGATTTGACGGCAGAAAAGAACATTTAGAAACGTGGAAATGCCTCTAATAAATTGCGGGCCATATGTGGAATGGGGCTGTGTATGTTTGTTTGTGTATGGGTGGGCGCGTGCTTGTGTGGGTGTCTCATTGTCGAGGGTTATATTTCTGAAGTACACTAAATTCTAAGGCTATTAAATCAAAAGGATCTGAAACCACAGAACGGATACAAAAGCAAATCGGAAACAAAAAGTAACTAACTGAGCATTAATTATGGGAATCCCAGGATCATTATCAACTAAAAACATATCTAATCACAAAAAGCAAACAAAGTGGAAATATTAAAAAAAAAAAAGTCGAGTTAAGTGCAGTTGATGTCGAAGCCATTAAAGCCATGTTTACAATTTGTAATTATTAAAACTACTTAGTCGAATTTAAGTGTTCGAGTAAATAAGCAATAATGAATAGTCGCACCGAATTTAAAGTTAAGTTAAATCAAAGTTTCTTTAAATTAAGCTTTAAGACACCAAAAGCAAGAATTTTTAAAATATATAGTTACTGCTTGAATATAAAATAAAATCTTAATATTTACCAAATACCAAATTAAATTGCAAATAAAGCTAGATCTCTGAAAAAAGATTCCAATAATTTAAAGCCCTATTAACCGATTAACCACTTCACTAAAAACGGATTAGAAAGAGACAGATAAGGACAGAGACAGACACATACAAAGCGAAAGAGAGAGAAGGCAAATGCGGAGATCGGTTGACTCACCATTGGTATGAATGCGATGGCAACTGGCGGTGATATCGGTGGTGAGAGTGAAGTAGGGTATCCACAAGTCCTCGATGCTCACGTCCCCAAAAGTGTCGTGGATCGTCTTGTTGAACTCCCGTCCGGAGAACATCGATGTGATCGGGTAAGTAAGGTCCAGTAGTTGTAGGAACCATTTTGTCATTTTCTAAACGGAAATATTAAGTTATTTATTTTTCCACTTATTTTTTTTTTTTAATCTCAAAACTAACCTTTGACCACTCACGCGCCTTTTGTGTAACAGTTGTAATATTACGCTCTGAGCACCAGAGAGCTCCCATCAAAGCGCCTATGCTGACACCACCAACCATGTCGATGGGTATGCCTGCCTCCTGAATAGCCTTCAACATTCCAATGTGGGCTGCACCGCGCGCCCCACCGCCACCCAACACAAGGCCAATCGAGTTGCCCGTAAGCCAGCGGGCAAGACGCGAGAAGTCGGAATGCATGTTCGGCTCGGACAGCAGGACGCGACTGTAGAGATCATTCTGTAAAAAAAAAATACACCAAAAAGTAAGTTAAATTTTTGTTTTAGCTGACATACCGATTTACATTTAATTACGGTTACCCTATCTAAAAAATTGATTTGTGCATGAAATCGTTCATTATGTCAATGATAGATTTCCAAGTATAGATAAAAAAAAATTTGATAATGGGCTCCTTGTGCACGAAATCAGATTGTGTAATCTTTATTATGCGCAGTGTCACGGAAGTTAAATTGAATGTAGTGGCCATCGTTAAACGATAAACTATTGTATTAACACAATTGCTTCGATTATCTTAACATGGCAATAAATCGAGAAATCAAAAACATGTTTGGGCTTTATCGTTATATGGAGTATTTTTCGAAGTTGTATATGAATTAATTATGGACCTATCATACTTACAATGCGGTATTGACTTTTGCGCGTGAAGATGCGCTTGACACAGAGCACATGATGGTGCTTGGTCACCCAGGGACGGGCATTCAACCAGCTAAGGGTATTGGCCGGCTTGGCATTGGTGGTCTCCGGATATAATAGGACCAGCTCCTTTTGCGTTCGCATCGCCAAACGGTCGATCTCACGTTCAAATTTCCCGACCAGATGAGAGCGATCGCCGAGGCCTACGATCAGGATAACGTCCGCCTGCCGCATGCAGCGCTGTGTCCAGGCGCTCAACGAACTGTCGCACTGATACAGGGTGATGATGTTACGGTCCTCCTGCTGTGCCAGCCACGAGGTCAGCCGGTATTCATTGGCAGCCTCGAAGATGTTTGGACCCAACTGCTTGCGCACCACATCTGAGGTCAAACGGAGTACGGGTCCTAAGTCAAGAAACAGAAGAGACACATTAATATGGGCTGATATTTTGGAGCTATAGCGCAGCAATGTGAAACGTTACCGGACTTATCCATCGTGTTCTGAATAAATCTTAGCGGAAAAAAATATAAAATGTTCTATAAGCTGAAATCTGGTTGAACTCTGGTCTTGAACTCTATACCTGCCATTACCTTTTCCTATTCCCATCAACTTTCTCATTACTAAGTTCATTATCGCTAAAAAATAAAATATAACACGTTGGTGCTATTCCAAAACATAATTTATAATATTAAATGTGTTTGATGGCAAATTAATCTGCTCAGAAATCAGATTTTAAACTGTTAGGATATGAATCAAATCATAAAACGTAAAGATGAGTTCAAAATACGATTTCTCCTTTAGTTGTTAATGCCCATTTGAAAAATGTTGCTAGCTACACCCATAATTCAGCTGTTTTTAAAAAAAATTATCAATAACAAACTATAAACAATAATTATTGACAAATCGACTGAACGGTTCACCGGGCTTATACGAACCTATGGCACAGAGCGAATGGTAGAGCTCGTAGGTGAAGGGCGTCAGCGGCACCTCGTCGGTGATGGGCACCAGGGCCACCGTGGAGTACTTGTGCGTGACGGGATTAGCCTCAACGGGCGCGCCCGGCGCCCCGCTGCCCGAGCGCGTCTGCATCGAGCCGAGGAAGCGGTGGCTAAGGAAGCTAATCAGCTTGGTCACCACGATGGGGTAGCGCAGCTTGATGGCATTGAACAGGCCCTCGGGCAGCTTGGCCAGCTCCGAGTCGCGCACAGCCATCACCGTCGTGGTGCGCGACGTTTCTGTAATCATTTCGACGATGCCCACGAGATCCCCCTTGCCATATTCGCCAACAATTTCCTTTTTGCCACCAGGATGCGTGATTACGGAACGCATTCGCCCGCTGAGAACAATATAAGTGCTGTCGCTGCTCTCGTCTTGCCGATAGACAGCTCTACCCGACTCCAGGAAGATCCAATCTAAAGCGTAGTCACACTGCCTCACCAGTGGCGATAGGCGGCGTACTACTCCGTTGCCCAGATCTAAAACTATGCGGGGTCGTTGTCGCATAATCCTAACATGAAAGAAAAGCAAACATGTAGTATTTAGATAACATATTTTTTTGTCAAAACTTACTGGTAAATGGCTGCACGTCTTATGAAGGCTATCCGGCAGTTATTTCTTGAACGAATTGTATACGCACTGGCCTCTCCCGTCAACATGGCTAGTCCGCCAACGATTTCCCCGGGATGTACAAAGTGGATGAGCATGTCGCTTTTATCCTGCTTAGCGCGAGTGGCATCCTGATTACTCTGGTAGACAGCCAAAGTGCCGGTCATCACAAACCACACACAAACATCGTCTGCATTGCCCTCGGTAATGAGAGTGACATTTGGCTCCAGCTCTCGTACCTCCACAAAAGGTTCAATAATGTGGGCATCCTCTTCCGGTAGGCCCAGCTCCTTTCGCAGACTGTCTACAGCAGAGGACTGCACTAGGCGCACATCTATCGAGGTCGCCACTCCTGGACCGGCAGGGACGGTCACTGAACCCTCGGTCGTCATTTGAGTGATTGAACTGCGACGCGTTGAAAGATTACCCACCGAGTGTTGCTGTTGGTGAAATAGATCTGCATTCGGTGCATCGCCATGCACCTCCGTGAATACACTGCTAGTCCCTTGGACACTGACATCCGGATTAGGATTCGGATCGGATAGTGTGTGCTCCTCACGCGAGTGCCGAGATGGTGACTGTGGCGGCCGGGTTACAGTCACCGAGACACCCGGTCCCGTTTGCGAAACAGCGGACTGAATCAGATTTATCTGTGAGACCACCGTGGCCGGACCATTGGGCGCATGTCTTGAGGATTGCGAGGACTGTGAGTTGATCGGTCCACCCATCGTGGACACGCTCTTGTAGCGCATATGATTCTGCACCAGTTCGGCATTTAAACCGAGGTAGTTGCGCAGGGCGGTGAAGAGTACACGTTGCAGCCGGATCATAATCACCTGGATGACGCGAATCATCACATCTGGATTATCCTGGAACACTTCTTCGAAGGCCTGCAAGTGAATAAAACAAAAATAGTGAGTAAAAAACGTTGTTGAAGCTTAAAAATCAAAGACTCACCTGCATGGGCAGACGAATGACTACTGACTTCTCGATGGCTTTGGCGGTGACCGTCTTGTAGTAGCTGGGATTCCCCGACAGGACATCTATAAAGCTTAGCAGCGAGGTCACAGACTCGCCTTTTCGCACCGTCTTCAAGGATAGAGTGCTGCCATCGGCATTGGAGATGTACACATTGATCATGCCCGACTGGACGATGTAGACACTATCATCCGGATCGGTGATCTTGAAAAGATAATCGCCGGCCATCAATTCCAGCAGTTGGGTATGCTTGCAGAGGCGTAGGAAGACGGGCTTCTCGAAGTGCCCAAAGATGCGTATGCTCTGGAGCATATAGAGGGCATCGGGTGGCACTCTATCACTGCCCTCAATGGTCTCCTCGAGATATTCAGCTGGCGGTTCTACGGTACGCATCTCTAGCGGCATATTATCCCGCCGCAGCTGAAGTATCCGCCTGGCGAATCTCATCACAGCCCGACGTTTGTAGCCCTTCCCGCTGCTATACATCTGACCACTGACGTTCTTTACTTTGCGCAACATTCGTCGCCCGTAGAACAGCATCTTGTCCCGCTTGCGAAATCGCAAGCCACGTAGATCTCCGCCAGAAGACATAGCGCTGAGGGAACGGGCAATCTCATCGTGCAGTCGCAGCCGCGCCAATCGCTTGAAGTACATGAACCAGGCGAGAAACAGGATGCCCAGCAAGCCCAAAGCGCAATACACGTACATCTGCAAATTAATTAAATACAAATTAAACAGGATTAGTATATAAACTATTTTAAAAGCTCTCATTTTGACTGTTTATTATAAAAACTTAAGGCACAAATGACAATGCCTTTTTGCTGTCAGATTTTGTTTGCGGCTCAATTCAAATTGTTGGCATATCGAACTGGTTCCGATTTAATTACCTAGAAAATATCTGATATTTTGCCAATTCTTTAAAATAAAAAGAAACCTCATTTTCTTTCGCCTTTATTTTTTAAATGGGTTTCGAATTCTTGAGAATGGTTTAAATGATATGGTTCTCGTATTAAGAATAAAAAAGAATCCAAAGCTATTGATTTCATATGGCTACCTAACAAGCTCTGCCTTTTTCACCAAATCAATTATGCACCATGAGCACCTGTATTTTCCCAAACGCTGATTCCCAACAAGACTTCACACTTCCATTATTGTAATTACTTATCAGAACATAACTTTTACTAAAAACTTTCTAAATGATTTCCTTGGTTTTATATTATGTATATGATATGATCGCGAATTACCTAGGTATTCCTTCCTTATTAAACTTTATAAAATTGGTTTTCTACGATTTTCTTGAATCAGTTTTCTTTAGTTTAAGATTAAAAATACCTACGATTTATTACATATAAAAAAAAGACTTTTGTAGTTTGTGTCCATTATAATTTTCTTATGAATTTGCTGTTCTTTTTACAATGAGTGCACTATTAAAACGACGCCCAGACAATTTATGAATTATTCAGCACGAAAACACTTGTAATTTCCCAAAAGCTGATTTCCAGCAAGTGTCACGCCCGTATAATCAAGCGCATCAGCTGTGGTTTGTTGTTGTTTTTCCGTATTCTTATTGTTTTTATTTTTGTTTTGCATAGTTTTGTTGCTTTAAAGCTTTTGTTGTTGTTGCTATCGCAATTGTTATTGCATTCAGCACTTTGACATTGAAATGACGACGCAACGTCGCTGCACTTGTTCTTTTTTTTTTTTTGCTTTGAGTTGTTCTTGTTGTTGTTTGTTTCTCTGACGATTTATTGTTGCGCCCCCATTTGTTATTGTCTGCAGTTTCCGCATTGTACTCTCGTATTTGATACTACACAGAGGAAAAATAAAACACAACAGCTAGATATTTACATTTTTCCAAATTATATTAATAGGAAGAAATCTAAATTTATTCAAATAAGAGCAAAATATTTGTAGAAATATATTATAGAATAAATGATAGTTTTTTTTTTAAATAAATTAGTCATTTGCACAATTTTCTTGCTGTGCACCTACTGTTACTTTTATATTTACCACAAGCAATTATTGTTTGTTTACAGTTTATTTTTACAACAGGTTTGCGAAATGTACAAAAGAAATATCATAAAATCCAATTGACTCAGTCTGTCTAATTGGAAGCCAAAGCCACGCCACGCATGCATTTATCCAATTGGATTTGCTTGGATCTGATCAGACAGCCGCACACGCAAGCATTTGGGTACACGATAACGATAAAATTTGAACAGTCACAAGGCGGCTAAATTGATGTGGCCCCAAGGGGTTAATTGAATTATTGAAAACTGATTTCGTACGCACCCCCTCGCCAACAATTGCACGTGCTTCTGATTAGCAATCAGTTATAGTTATCAGCTTTAGTAGTTTAGTTTTTTTCCCTCCTGTTCGGAGCTGCCATTATCAATATTATTGGCCGTGTGGTGTTATCATGTGGCTACTGTAGTCAGTGGTTTTTGTAGTTTTGTTTTCTTTAGTTTAATGTAAGGCCACAAAACAATTCCGAATTGAAGGCGACAAATCAGAACACGGAAGTTCCCCAAGTTTCCTGTCTTTATCATTTGTCTGGTACTTAAACCAACTGAATAGAATCTTACATCCTACATACCTCTCTTTTTGACCTAGGCTGGTATACAAGCTTATGATAAAGGGCCAGAACAGCTTAAAACTTCAAAATGAAAGTATACTGTAAAGTAAATTCCCATTAAGATAATGATACTCAAAAATATAAAAAATAGTAGACTGAAGAAAACTGACACAGGTGTTCACCCTCAACACTTCAATGGGTTTCACAAAAAGTTTGTTTACCTTATTTCGGCTAATAAAACTTGCTTTATCGCTCGCTCAGTGATTTTTATCAGGGACCTTAATCTTTATACTTAGATGTTGCCACAAAAGAAACCCGTTTTCATTTTGAAAATTTAAATTATATAAATTGGATGAATTCGCAGTATTTTTAATATATATTTTCATTTTTTAAAATGTTCTATAAAACTTATGCTTTTGAATATATTTTCAATTTGCATCTTTATCTTAGATAAGAACCTCTCACAGCTGTTATCCTGCACACTAGGGGGGGTGCAGTTTACAATTTTCTTTACCGCTCTTTTTATGTGTGGACCCAAAACAGCTGTAATATCGTTCTCCCTGCTACCTACCACCCTGCGCCAAATTTTACCAATCTTTCCAGCTGCCTTTCCTTTCTGAAGTCTTGCTCTTCACTCTCTTTAAATTGAAATGAAATTGACTCACTCTTTCTGCCAAAATCAAAACGAATGACAAAAAGACAAAGAAAGGGTAAAGTGCACTTACCGCTGCTGTGATCTCCTTGGAAACGTACTGGCACCATGCGTCTGAAAAGAGAGTATTGTAGCCACCGTTGGTGCTGGCGCGCAGCATTTCCAGGATATCCATTGTGCTCTCTTAGGCTACCAGTTTTCCAACGAATCCGTTCACACAGTCTCTCTTTCCTCTCTCCCACAAAACTATTCGATTATTTATTTAACTTTTTTTGTTGTTCTAGCTGTTATGACTTATGTATGTTCCGTTTATTTGGTAAATACGCAAGTGTCAAGACGGGGCGGGGGAGAGGGTGGGGGCCCAAATAAAATCACAGCCCTTTGTTGTTGCCGTACTGCCTCTATCGTTCTCTCTTTATATGTCGCGCTCTGTCGCACTTACACTTTCAGACACCCCCGCCCCTCGTTTGTCTTGGTTTTTGTGCAATTATTGTAATGCACGCACCGCGCGCACACACACACGCTCACACACTTGAATACCACTTCTTTTTTAATTTGAATTTATTCTCTTGTTGTTTTTGCCGTTACGAGAATCACCAAAGTAATTGTTGTTTTTGTTGCTGGTTCCTTGCGGAAATATTTCGTTTTCTTTATGTGTTGTTGTTGCCGTGTATCCCTCTCGCTCTTTTTGGTTCTATCTCTCTATCTTTCTGCCAGAGGCCAGGGGTGGTCGGCTGTTTAGGTGGGGGCGTGGCAACGCACAACGACAATTTACTTAATTCAATAAGCCGAAATATACGAGCATTTTGCTATGTAACTACAAACTAATAAACTGAAATGCACTCATTTTTGTTGTTCTAATAACTAGAGATGGGAAACTGTCGACCGTAATATCGATGACCTTTTTTAAAGGCTTAAAAATCATCGATATACCGGATGTCGATGACTTAACAGCTGTGTGTCAAGAAGCCAGTATGGCCAGGTGCCGTTCGTTATTAAACGGTTATTTCAAAATTAATGAATTTGGTTTTGGTTTTAGCAATTTGTTAGCAAAATATTATAATTTCCAATAGTATTTTGGGCAAATAATTTCACTGCATGTGACATTGGAATTAGTTCAAAGAATTTGTTATTAGAAAGTTGACCTAACGTTAGTCTGAGCTGAGGTTTAGAAATTATTTACTATTGATTATTATTACCCTTAATATGTTGAAATGATAAATTTAAATAAAGATTATTGGGGATTTAAAAAGAACTTTAATTTGAAATTAGAGTTTAATGACTATGAACAGCTGTGATCAGGGTTAAAGAGAATTAATTCACCATAATTTATAAATTAAATAAACTATGAAATAGACCAAAATCAACATTTTAATCCAGAACAATACAGAAGAAATCTAGAAAGTTCAATGGTGCTCTGAAATATGTAAATGATTTATCTTTATAATTTCAATGAAAATAAAGGTTGTTGACATGACAACCTATGTGTTTAATGCGATAAGTATAAAATCAGTGCTATGGAAACGACAAACTTTGCTGGCAGCGCGCTGTAAGTTTAAATTATAATAAAAACATACATAGTTGAATGAAAAACGACTTGGTATGCAGTTAAACATTAATTTGCGGGCATAATTAACTCCGCTTAAGATTTCTGGTACCCAAGGAGCCGTGAAGAGCAGAGACGGCCGACGTTAATATTCAGTGATTAACAACTGTAAAGTCTAAAATTAGTATAAATATTCATGTGTGTTGATTTAAAGGATTTTGGTGAAATCCGGGCCCAAATCGGAACGGAGGTCCGAAACTAACGTGCAGCATTCAATAAAAGCAAGTGCAGCGCAGGTTATTAGAGCATAAAACACCTGGGGCTTAGACTCAATCTGAATCCGAATCTCGACTAAAGTCTCGGTCGCCAGCCAAGCAAAACGACTGAGACGCGTCTTTCGGGTGGCCAGCTGCAGTTTCGGATGCAGTTTCGGCTGCAGTTGCAATTAAATATGCAATGCGCTTAAGTTATGCACATTTCCTTTGCTCAGGCACCGTTACGATTTCGGATTTTAAATCCCGCGCGAAAGTTAACACCACTGTTAGCAAGCAGACGTTGTTTACTGTTACTGTAAGGCAACAGAGACCGTTGGCTGTCTCTTATTTTGTCTGTGCTGAGGCTATATATTTTACATCACATATAAAAAGGTTTACCGAAATGTTAACTTGCTTCTTTTTTATTTATTTAAAAATTAGTTTACACATAATTTAACTTATTTTTATTATTTAAATTATATTCTTCAGGTGTTTTTGAAGTTCTAAAAGTTTAGCTAGAAAGATAGCCAATCCCGCCTTTTCAGCGGGAAATCGCAACAAACACAACAGCGGCATCTCTGGCGGGCGATACAAATAGTGCGGCCTCACTCGCAACGGGTTTCATTCCCACTCGAGTGCAATTCGTGAACGGTCGTTCTCTCCTCTCTATCTGTCTCGAAGCAAAGGCAATAGCAGAAATCAAACTTAACTTTTGTGCGCGCATGCGTCTCGTCTCAGAAAAACCTGCAATCAGAAATCTCGAATCGTGAAAATCCTTTCCTGCCATACCAAAAAAGAGCCGGACAAAGCAAAGCGTTCGATTGCCTTCTGCCGATTTGAGCAGGGTAACGTACAAAGTAAAGAAAAATACAAATTAATTACCGCCCTGACCGTGATTTGTTTACGTTTTTTTCTTCAACTTTTTTTTTTTGCATTGTGTGAAGTGTGAGAAGTAAAATTTCTGGCCAAAATATTCCCAGATATATATATTCGAATTTCGAATTGGCGAAGTGAAGGGTGTGACGACAGACACGCACACAAACGCACACGAACGCACTGAAAAAACACCGGCTAAAAGGTAGACAAAAAGGAGACGAGAGAGCGAGTGCTAAATAGAAAACGAAAAGAAAAACAGGATAATAACCAACAACCTAATACTTTAAAACAAGCGACTAAGTGACATCTCGATCTCGCCGAGAAACAACAACAACAACTGTAAAACCACAACAACAAAAGCACCATAAACAACACCGAAGGCAGAGCAGCAGCAAAGAGCGAAGAGCCAAAAAGAAGGAGCAGCAAAAGCAAAGAAAGTAAGTGGAATTCCTTGCCCAAAGATGGCTCTCCTTTGCTCTCTCATCCAGTCTAGTGGTGGCCCATTATCTTGCTTTGATTCGTGTCGCGAAACAATATGTTTTATAAACATATTTAAGAAATTCTTAATATTTGATTTTGGTCCTTAGGTTAATTTTATTTGCATACGTCTTCTTTGCAATTTTAAAAAGTTAATTTATTTTCTATTGCCGTGCACTTTACGAAACAAATTATGTTTGGGCAAATTTTATGCCCCAGAATTCAAGATAATAAAGTTAAAAAACAAAGAATTTCGAATTATCATGTCACATTACCATCTCTATATCCAGACGTCTTGTGCAAATTAGACAGAGCCGTCTGCTGCTCCATTTCCAGGTGTAAAAGCCAATGGCCACGGTTTTTACTCTGGGCCTCTTGCAAGTCATAAAATCTATGGCAGTTGTCAGTTCGCTTTGCTGCCTATTTTTTTCTTCTGTTTTTTCCGCCTCTCCACTTATTTTCGCTTTAGCATTTTTCACTTTAGCATTTCATTTTGAGCTCTCCTTCGGCTACTCCACCTTGTGGCATTGTTTTCCAGTTCAGACCGCTGATTTTTCCAACCGGCTTTCGGCTGGCTAATTGCCTTGACATTGGCATTCCTCTCTTCTCTACTTCTTCTTTTGCAATCCTCTCTTTTCTGACTCGTTTCAATCATTCAAGTTCAACTATAAACAGACATAAACACGCAGTCCAGGTGCCACCACCCCTTTCTAACTGTTATTTCTCTATGTCTTATTTCTCTTTGTGTTTAGTTTTGCCTTGTTTATGTTTTCTCCTGCTCCTTTCTTTTGGCTGCACAGAGTTTACTTTTTGTTCCTTTGTTTCCATGCTCGAAAATGCATCCAATCCGAATCGTATTTGTATTCGTATTTCTGTGTATGTATCCGTGTCTGCTCTTCCGCTCCTGTCCGTCCATAAGTTCCGTTTGTCCTGTCGTCCGTCTACACCGGGAAAAATATAAATGCGCAATATTAAATCCGATTTCACGTAAAATTATATTTTCTCATTGTTCAAAATTACTTCCATGAACTTATATATCTCTTGAATATTAAGAAGATTAAAAAAGGTGTTCGCTTACTCCTTAAATAATTTACTTTATCACATACATTTTTCTTTATGTACTTCATGTTCACGTTGGGCGTTTTCCTTATTGCGCTTAAATCACTTTAAAAAGTGAAAATTACCGTACAGTATTAAAAAAAATGTATGATTTCACTTCGACAAAACAATTAGGAATTAGTTAACAATTTGTTTCCTCTTAAAGTTGTTTAAAAATCGAAAAAAAACAAATAAATTTTCGTTCCTTTCACAAAAATTCAGCCAACCACCATTGTGGCAGAGGGATGTATTATGTTTTTTCAGTCGAAGTTTTGCATTCAATTGGAAAATTGCAATTTGGCTTTGACAAACATTTTTTGGACCCATGGTGGGCGACCAACGACGACACGTCATAAATATTTCTTTTGTTTTCGCAGTGCGTTTCTGCCTCATTTTGCACAATCACCCCTCGGGCACCCCCGAAAACCCCTACCAACCTCTGGGCACTCCCCCATCGGTGTTGTATCCTGCCCTATCCCAGTAAAATGGCAAATCAATAATTTTCAATGAGGATTTTGCATTTTAGCCGGCTTTTTCGTTTTGGGTTCTCGGTATCAATTAGTATGCCAGGAGCGAAATTCCCCTGAAAATGGATGGAAGGTAGACTTGTAGCACATAAAACCCCTCCTGTCACTGACTCACGTTTTGTTTGTGTGATTTTGCTTGTACTATTGGCAACGTCTCCCATATCATCATATATATAAATATATATATATAAAGATACGTATATAAAGTCTTCCCGGCTGCTTATGTGGAATGGCAATCGAATGCTTCCGTTGCGCGCCGGAAATCAGGTACATCGACAATGACAACCCCCACCCACACCACCTTTATTCAAGTCGATGCCCCCAGCCCTCTCAAATTGCCCACCCATCGAGCTGCTTCCTCACTTTTTCATTTCTTAAAGTTTTTGTCCGCAGAAGCCATTGTCGCAAAAGTCTGCTTAAGACTAAGTACATACAAAACAGCTATGGACAAAACACTAGTTGTTTTTTCATGAAAATATAATATTATATTCTATATATTAAGTCTTTCAGATACAACACCAAGAGTTCTTTATAGATTCCTTAACTATACTTTTAACCACTTTTAAAATACTTCCTAAAATCGTGTCCGCATCTGTATGTATGCGCCTATTTATGGGAGTGTGCCTATGTACTTGTTTTTGGATTTCGGCTGCATATGCTGGCATTACACCCCCGTCTTGTGTCGTCTCCACCTTACCCATACACCCTCGTATCTGTCATCAATTGCAGCTGTCGCCCGTCCTTGAACGCACTTTACGCACTCATTGTCACTGGGGATAGGGACGTTTCGATGGTTAAGGGGGGTGAGAGGATGAGTTGTGAGGAGATTTGGGTGTGTCTAGGGTTGAACGGAATGCAAGCCACTGGATAAGCTATTTATGTATATCTCCCAGATGAACCCTTCTTTCATTTAACTCAAATTTCTTTGTTCGATTTTGCATTTATTTTTTCGTTATTTTTAAATTATATATTTTTGTGATTAACGCATATATTCATTTTTTATTCGAAGAAGAAAATCACTTTACAGATTACGAATTTTATATATACCACAGAGCTTATATACAATTTATATTTCCTTCTTGGAATCTCAATACGATTGAATCATTAATTTCTTTTGACTTGTAGAAATTTTTGTGCTGTTTATAGGATAATAATTAATCAGGGCTGCTAATTATAAATCAACCGCAAGCAAGAACATTTTCTTCCCATTTTATTTACTCAATTTCCATTTACTAATCCCTGCGGGCTAAAAAAGGGTTTCAGTTTCGTTTGATAGCGATTCCCTTCCGATTGTTTGTTAGTTTCTTAGGCAATACAGCACTGCCCCTTTGTTGTGTATACGAGCATTTTGTACTCCCGTATATCTGTTGCTGCTGTTGAGTCATGTCCCCTAACATTGTTGTATTCCTGTTCCTTACTCCTTTTTTTTGTTGTATATATTTTTCTTGTTGACTGGTTTCGCTTTCAACGGCACGCCCTAACCCCTTCCCGAGTATACAACCAAGTTCCCAACGTCCCGACTACTTGTGATTCAAGCTGCCTCTTGTGTTTTGCCTTTCCTGCCAACTTAAAAAACTCACTTAAGGCCCATATATCAATGGCCCGCGTTGACTCCCCGACTTGTGGGCATTATCAATGCAAATGGGCATGGTATTTTGAAATCTTCGAAGGGAAGGGGTTCCAAAGGCGCCCGCCTGTCGTTGTCGTCGCCGTTGCTGCACTTGGCCGTTGCTGCACTTCCACATCCCAATACCCCATCCCCAATACCCATCTGAATCCCTTTCATTGCCGCGATTGCAGTACAAATAATTGATATGCTCTCGGGTCTTTGCCGTCAGCCTTTTCAGATTTTTCTTCCGGCGATATTTTGTTGGGTTCATTGGCCCTTTAGTATCGCAGGCCCAAACATTAAAACGCTTCCGTTTGATAATGCTAAATGCATAAATATAAAACGGAATTATCAACAAAAATTGATTGAATTCACAAAAGAACTCTACTAAGGCCGATAATAACAATTGAAAGGGTGTGAAAAACGTTAAAGGGGTATACATTTTTTATTGTTTGCTGCCCAAAACAGTCGTTTATTTGATTGTGGGATTTGATTTGATGACAAAGATACAACAAAATATGACCAATGATTGTTGACTAGTGACCTTAAAAGTAGTAATCCTGATTTTTTGCCAAACAAGAACTTATTTTGTTTATAACTAAGCCAAGACGATGGTACCCACAGAATGGTACAAAGTTTGAGCTTAACTATTGCTGACACTTTATCTTTATTATTTTGTGTCAAAAGTAGTAATATTTCAAAAATAATATTTCATAAAGTCATGTGTCTTTTGTTCTTTATGTGTTATTTGTTCCAAATGTAAAAATATTTGAAAACAATTTGATTTCTTTATGTGATAGTTGTTAAACCTTGTTATCTTCATATTCGTATATGCATTTTTTTCTCAGCTCAGTAAAACAATATAGTTTTTTTGCATCTTTGAGAGATTTATGCTAATTTCGTCAGCGACGGGTGGTAAATGGCGATGGGATTTTTACCCGAAGGTGTCGCCAAAAATTCATTTTGTGAGGCGGCTGGCAGACTATAGGGGCGTGGCAATTGGCGCATGCCACACAAGTGCAAGTTGCAGTTGCAGTTTTTTGCCGCTGATAAACTTGTTGCGATGATGAAGAAAAAAAAAGGTAGAAAAAACCGCAACCAGATGCCAAAGATGCTTTTGGGTGAAGTGCAGTGACTGGAGGCCATTGCAACTCCGAATCCGAATGCGAATGCGAATCCCACTGCAACTGGTTCAGCTGGTTGTCAAGTGAGACATAAATGCCATGCCATTTGGCTTTGGCTCCAGGTTCAGTTTAAGGTTAACCAAAATTAAAAGACATTTTGCATTTTTAAGGCAATTTAACTAACAAAATGTTGGAATTGTTTTAATTTAACACACCATTTTCTAAGGCATTTGCCGTATTTATTCCAAAACTACATTAAATCTTGATGGTTGCTTAAAATATGCAATAATAAATAATAAATGAACTCCTTTGAAAACACTCTGAATAAATCTTAGCAGATTTGAGTTTTCTATAAAACTAAATGTAGTCCAAAACTAGCACTAGCTCTGCGAATAATTCATAGCAATAATAATAATAATAAATTCGAATTGAATGGCTTCAAACAGCCAGCCCCTTAATTCGATTGAATCCATTTGCCCGGAATTCTTTGTGAAAGATGGTGAAAAAAAATATTGATCCAGGGTAAGCAAAAAAAATGCATTTTTTCATGTCTGCCAGAGGCATCTGCTCTATGCAATTTGCTCGACTCCGTGATATTTATG